CTCTCATCATATAGCATTACTGTATTTCACATGCAAAATCAGCCTTCATCTACAATCACTTAATTTGTTTTTAGAAATCTTAAATTACTCCTGCATCATAAATCATCCACAGTAATTCTGAATGTAATATTGTGGAGCAGTGGTCCCCAACCTTTTGTTGGCTGTGGGCCACAATTTTCCTTGTAAATACCGTATAGTGAAGGGCACCAAAACTTTGGATCGACGTTCAAGAAAAAAATCTCATATACCTGTATGCTGTACACTTATTTGCAGATTTACACGTCTAACTGTTACCAGTGACATACATTTTACATTTACTGTTGGACAGGACGTGTTTATTTACCCCAGTGTGAAGGCTGGCTCTCTCTCTGGGTCCGGTCTGGGGTAAATACACATGTCCTGTACTTGACAGACTCGGGACAAATGCGCAGTTCCTCTCTCTCTTACTATGAAGTTGTATCAAGTTATTACATATTTTCATTAATTTCACTGACAAAGAACCCTAAATATTTCCCAATTTTCTTATAAATTCTTGCAGGCTTCATAATATAGTTCTGCTGGTGCAATGGTGCCCCTGTAGTGGATTTCTCCCCTACAAACGCTGTTTGTCGCTGAGTAGCCGACCCCGCGAATTCCACAGTGTATGCCTCGTGGTCTAGGTCAACCAACGCCGCCCACGGAGCGGGGGTCAACTATTAAGCCACGCCTACCCCCGCTATTTAAGACCTGACCTCGTGGTGATCGCTCTCTTTTCTACCTACACCAACCAGCAAGCAACACCTCCTCCTCCTCCGCCTGCCTGGCGGTCCTCGCTCCCGCCGGCGAGCTTGGCGACCCACAAGCTTGTCCTCCTCTGAGCACCCTCACCAACCAGCTCTCTCTTTTCTACCTACACCAACCAGCCAGCAACACCTCCTCCTCCTCCGCCTGCCTGGCGGTCCTTGCTCCCGCCGGCGAGCTTGGCAACCCACAAGCTTGTCCTCCTCTGAGCACCCTCACCAACCAGCTCTCTCTACATCACGCTTGTAACCACGCTGCCACTTCCCAGCACCAAGCTGCATTGTACATCCAATACAATATATATACAGTGAGCACATTGTGAGTTTCCTTTCTCCATCCCATTTGTGGCGTACTGTATGTGGCCAGTTGTCAATTATCTTAGTATGGGCACACAAATTTATGTACATGTAGATATCTCACACTCAGGAATGAGGTAGAATAGAAACTCACAATGCGCTTTTTGTATATATATTGTTGTATAGCGCAGTGCTTAGGAGTGACTAGGTGGAAAAGCTTGCTCAGAGGTCCTGTAGGGCGAGGAGGTTTCTGAAAAACATAACGTACCCCACACCTCGAACTACAGCACACTGAAGCACAGCACTGATCAGATCAGGTGTCCAAGTCATATGTAATATTACACAATTCAGCCCTTGAAAGACAAAGATTTTTTTTAATCTGCTCTAAATCTTGAAACCATAAGGTTACTAAAGGATACACTCATTGCATAAAAGCATAAAATATAACACTCTGATAAGTGATGAAATGATAAATAATGCTGCAGTCCTTAAGGTTTTTTTGTGGTGAAGGTCTGTTCAACTTTGTCTTCTACATTTTCTTGAGACACAGCCACCAAGTACCTTACCAGTAAATCAAACTCTGAGGATCATTCTCCTCACAAACCAATTCTTAATCACACCTGAATCATATTGGGCATAAACAACAAATTCCATGATCAGGAGACATTACTTACACACTGCTTGTATTTATTTCATCAAAATTTTCTGACACTCTCCTTCCAGCTGAACCTTTATCAGAGTTCCTTCCTCATATGATCTGAGGGCTGGTGACCACAGTCTTCCACTCTAAATGTTCTTGGGCTGTTTTTACCATTCCTACAAAAAACTTTCTAGAAACTCTTCCATCTGTTGTTTTCACCTGACCTATTGCTTGTCTATTTCATTGACCATATCTATCACGGGTTTGTTATCTCTTGGATATTTTCATTCCTACACTCTAACACTTAATAACCTGTGCTAATCATATTTACAGCCAATGTACTTCTCACACTGTCACATCATGCAGCAAACCTTGGCTTCAGACTTGTTCCTTCTAGTCCTAAGTTTGGTCTATTTTTGTGTCCCCCCACTGAGCTGCGGTAAACTTTTCTGAGAATGAATTATTACAGCTGGGAAAACACTGCATCATTACATGACTCCTCCAGTATCTCCTACATCCTTAGGATTCTGGTCCCTAATGTACAGTAGCTAAAACAACTACAGTATCTGTGCAGGTGGGGATCGATATGCTCCAAAATTTTACGTGTGACTAGTGACAGCCCTCATATACCAATATTTATCGTCCATGGTCTCACATTGTTTCCAACAAAGTATGCACAGATAGTTGTTTTAGCTACTGTACATAGAATATAAGTAGGACTTTTCTTCTCATCACCCCTTATACTGTAATAAATTTTATCTGTTTTTGGAACCTTGAAACTTCACAGAGGGAAGAAATAAATTATTCTTCATGCAGCTTCTTGCATATTCCACATCTGCCTTTCCAATCATGAGTTACATGCAACTACTTCAATTCTTCTTACTTGCATCAAACTACAATCAAATTTCACATCCGAATATATAATATTATTACATAGTATTACAGTACTGTATGTATACACAAATCCCCCAAATTTGAGTCAATTCCTCACCTCCAGCTAATCTAGTTACCTGTCTCCTCTTTTTCCAACATTAAAACTTCAGTTGTTACATTCTTTCATTTTCAATTTTCCTCTCTTGAATATTTAATTAATAAATCACTTAACCTTCTAGCCATAAGAATTATTTAACACTATGTAACAAACATGGAGTTAAATATCTATCCACGATCACATATAAAACAAAACTTTCTTCTCGACCCAACATTTACTGAAACCTACATTTCCAGTTAACATCATGCATTACTGTATGATGTCACAAACTTGAGACTGAATGCATGTAAGTCTTTAGATGGATCAATTTGTTAGCTAAAAGAAGGAAAGCATAAAACGAGATTGTGGTTAAGAGAATAAAAAATGCTTTAAAGAGATACAGAAGGGGCTCTATGGAAGGATATGTTTGTAGAAAAGGTAAATGTAGTTGTTTGGATTAAATTGACTTGGCAACAATATACTGTATAGCCTAAGAGGTGATTCAAGTAGACTGTAGCAAATATTAAAAATATATGGAAAGGGAGGAGGGAAGTCCAAGGTCGTACAGTAGTAGAATATTCACTGAGCAAGGCTTGTGAATTACTGTACAGTATATGTAAAATTATTCAGTGGAGTGTATATGGTGAGGAGGGTGAAAAGTAAATTATTTTTTATAATTAAGGTGGTAGTGTACAAGAGAAGAGACTTGTAGTATGTATTAGGGACAGCTGGATGATGGTAAGAGATTAAAAGAGTAAAAAGGATCAGAATCTCAAAAGTTTATATCGTGAAGTCCAAATGCAATCTTTCACCCCTTATTAAGACAAGAATAATGTACATATCTGAGAATTCAGTCCCAAGATCAAAGATATCTAGGAGCTTGACAACATGTGAGCCAGAAGATGTGGCAGATTTTACTATACCTGAGTATGTTTGAAGAGGAAACACAGGTATACAAAATTAAAATGACAGATGAAATTTTGATAAGACTGCCCATAGAGGATGAGGAGTAAACACAGTTTGAAAATCTTTGGGGATTTACAGTATTTGGAATAAAGAAAGGAATGGGTGAAGAATAAATAGAGAAAGCAGACAGCCTGGGCCAGTTCAAAGAAGACATGGTGCAGTACAAATAAAGATGCATGAAAGTGAGCGAGGAAAGTAGAAGAGGAAGGGGAAATTAATAATAAATGTGTAGAACAAAAGTGAGAGTACAGCATGTTTAAAAAAATTTGAATACAGTACTGTACTGTACTTCAATACCTGTGTACAGTGATCCCTCGGTTAACGATTTACCCTCCATAAGATTCTTAACTTAGGTTAATGAGCAATCCCTCGATTAACGAGTTTTTTACGAGCCGACTTCAACATGTTTTCGCTTGCATTTGGCGGTCCACCAGCTGTAATATTAGTCCGCCAATACAGTAATCAGTTTTAGGGCTTAAATTCCTTACTATTTTAGTAAATATCAAGAAGTTTATACTATTCAATAATTTTATAAGTTTAATATTAACTTTTTAATAGTCATTTTAACAATTATTGAACATAATTGAAGGTAAAGAAACTAGTTTCTGGCGTGCCATCCAGCCTAACACACCAGACAGGCGTTAGTCTCTCTCTGTTTTCAGTGGAGGTAACATCTTGCTTGAGACTCTCTTCAACTAAACGCTTTTTTCTGTGTTTCCAAGCAAATTATTGGTCATTTTGAAATTTATTTTACATATTGACAATATATAATGCAGTGCAGTGTTGATTTAAAGAAAATAATCTTGAATTACACCAAGAGAACTAAAATTTTATGGGTGAAATGGTGCCATGGGGTGACTTCTCTTCCACCCCAATGCCTTCTCTTCCCCCTTCTCCTCCACCCCCATTCTAATTCCCATCATCATCATCATCATCCAGGAGCCTTCTACATACACACCTCAAAGTAAGTGTACTTTCTACCTTTTTGTTGAATTTAGGCAATTTTCAGTGAGCTGGAACCAATTACCCAAAAACCCATTGAAACAATTTCGGTTAACGAGTTTTTCGGTTAACGAGCAACCTGCTGGAACGAATTGTGCTCGTTAACCGAGAAACCACTGTACAGTATCATGAATCTCATCACCTCTCCCCTACTTTATTGAAATTTGCAGTTTTACAGTACATGTATGCTCAACTTATGAGTCAAAACATAGTGACACAAGAATATGGATTAGTGTCAGGAAGGAAGTGCATTGCAAAACACTGGCATGGAAGTGACTGGATGAGCCACTCTACCTGAGCAATGATGGTAACACATTAACTGGATATACTGTATAAAGAGATGCACTACCCAAACAACTGTTTTATTAATACTGTACAGTATTCATAAGATCCATATATTACAAGCTTAGTTTTGTTCCCATACATTTAAAGGCAACAACTCCACACCACCTGCAATTTTGACTAGCAATGACACAAAAGTTTACAAGCAACGCTAAACTTTACAATTGCAGAGTACCCTGGACATGTATCTCCTTAACTCATACCCCTATTTAAACTAAATACTAATTCAAACATCTGTGTCTTGTTAATTTCCCACATCTATGGCAGAATTCTCCATAAAGATTTACAGTATTACTAAAGTTTACAGCCCCACTTGTAAAAATTAGAGAGCATTCTAAGTGACACAATTCACCACCAAACTCAGGGTTAATTTTTACAATTGAATAACTTTTTACAACCTACACATTTTTATGCAAATCTTTTAACCCTTTCACTGTGCATATAGACTGAAGTTGATTTGAAAATTATCGTGCTCACCACAAAAATCTACTGTAGTCCATGGTCAAAATCATTTTGTTACTCTCTACTTGAATCAACTGTTCCAAGAGTTTCAATGCACTGCCAGCCCTGGGTTGTGCTGCCATCTTTCAACAAAAGGCTCAAGTACGACACAAATATGCAGAGTTGCAGACAATGCCAGAAGCCTAAGCCCAGCTATTGCCAACTGTCAAATTATATTTTTTATCGCCTATCATCCCAATAAATAAGGCAAGTTTTTATTCTATTATATGAGGACAGGCAGTGTAAGTACATCACTTACAAAAATATATATAAAAGAACGAATACTGCTGAACTACTACAGTTTTTGGTTTCCCATCTTTTGCAGTGATGTAAAGGGGAAAATGAATATTTTGTAGTAACCAAGGCATATTTTTACTGACTACAGTATTATTACTGGTATTTTTTGTTACTTGCTATTGGAGGTGTTAGTACAGATTTTGTCTCTTTTTACAGAACCATGAGTGTAAGATGGAAGATGATTTTTGGGAAGGGTTGTGCCACTTCCTTACAAGGAAGTTTATAAAATGCTTTTTTTATGGTTTACAAAATAAGTGAAAATATACAAGTTTGATATGTTTATTGAAATAAATGTGTTTGTATTGTCTGTTTTGTTTGGTTTCACCCAAAATGATTCCAGGTGAGGTACCAATATTGGACCTCAAAACCTGGTTATAACTTACAAGAAAAATGAATTTCGAGTGATGAATAATTTGCTTGAGGGGCATGATCCATGCTTCTGGAGGCAATTTTGACAACATCTGATTTCCTCAGACCACTTAACCTGCAGAATACCCAAGTAACAAATTATTATTATTATTATTTTTAAATATTGTTCATAAAAAACATTTCCACTAGCTACCCACATTTCAAAGGAATTTTTATGCCAGATATGGAAACTTCATGTTCTTCTCATACTGTAATGTAAAAGTAATAAAAAAGCTCAAATTAGCACTTTGATTTTTTGGTGACAATGACACTTGTTGGGAATAATTATGACATTGGACAATGCAGTGAAAGGGTTAAACACTGCAGAGCATAGAGAAATGGCAGTGACCTGAATGATCTGCACATATTTTTTTATACAAGTATTTGTGTTAAGATTTTTTGACATAATTCACATTTAATTGTTAAACAAACAAAAGTTGCCTAAAATTATGGCTTATACTGAGACTTTCCAGAAACTTGCATTTATGAAGAGACAGTTGTTGTGTACATTATATTACTGGTGGAAATGATCATCAGTTGTCAGTGGAGAATCTATTCATAGTATGTGTGTGTGTGTGTGTGTGCCAAGAGGAAGCAGGTTTTATATTAAAGTGATGATGTCTCTTTGCTACAAAAACCCTGACAGCTAGGCACTACACAGAACAGGTGACAGTTTTACTCCCGGACAATACTGTATACAGTACAGTACTGTATACCACACGCCCCTTCTCAATTCCCCTAATGATCCATCTCACTGACTGTATTAAGTAACAATGCTAAGAATAATATAACAAAAATAAATTACAGTATGGTCTCAGAGTACACGAGGGTTACAATCCTGGGATCCCCAAATAAATGCGAATTCGGGTCCTCCCTGAATACGCATAACCCTTTTTTTATACTAAGGTAACCGGCACGCAACTTCAGAGTTCGATACGCCACTCCTTAGTAAAGTAGCAATATCTTGACTTTTTCTTCAAAACTTCTCACAGTATGCATTTTTTTTTTCAATCATCACCATGAGTACTGCCACTAATTCACCAGTAGAGAAAAACGTTACCAGTGCAAATGCCTCGGAGATGTTCACAGAACCAGTGCAAGAGAGAGAAGGACCCCAGAGTCATGTTATCGTTATTTTTCTACTTGTAACTTCGGGTAGATATACGTAATTTTCTTATTTTTTTTTTCACTCTGTTACATGCAAACACAATCTTTCAAACAGAATGTGCAAAAAAAATAAAATAATAATAATTACCATAAGGTCAAAAGCATAAAGGAAATAAACATTTCTTCGTGCAGGGGAGGGGGGAACAGTGTGCGGGATATCAACTGCTACATGTCTCCAGTACTGTATATAGTGAAATGATTGCTAATGACAACACAGTACTTTTTCCTTAGATTTTATTTATTAGGACATATTATCATTATTTATTCCTCACATTCACTGATAAAGTATATATTACTTTATGTACAAAGAATAGCTCCTTTCTCACTTAAACCAGCCTCTGGGCAACGTGACACAGTTCAGCCACTCAGCAAGAGCATGACCCAAGTGTAAGGGTGGTTCAGGGGGTCAGACGCGTATAAATGGGGTCGGGTACTATGGATACACGTATACTCTGAAACCCTACTGTACATGATGTTATCTATTTCTAAAATTAAGTAAGATAAAAATAACATTTCTAATAGGGAAAAGTATGGAAGGAAGTGAAAAATACATTTGGAAGAAAATGAGATCAAAAGAAATTAAATGGTCATCTTCATAACTTCTGAACTATGAAATATTACCAGAGACATAGTAAGGAATAATAGACAGAAAATGCTTGAAATTACATGAATGTTTAAGAAAACACAGTAACATCATTAAATTAATCAGAGTAATATAACAAGAGGAAACTGTGAAGAAAAAAATAAATACAGTACTGTACCATAGAAATACCCGAGATATAATATGCCAATTTCATTCATCTCTATTTATTCCCGCTACAAGTCCATAACATAATAATTATTAAATAAACCTTTTTACAAGTTATAGTACAAGTGGAATTCAGTACACAAAATTACAAATAGCCCAGAATGCACTATCTACCAACACATACTGAACTATTACTTCATTTCTTGTGTTGTTCTTGGAGAAACTGGAACACGGACGAAAAGTCCTTCTCAGCTAAGCCAGAGTTGGTCATTAGTCGGTAAATCTGAAGAAATTTATAATACACATAATTGGTCAGTAATCTTGAAAAACATAAATCATTATAATCATTGTGTAACTAAACAGTATACAGTATTAGAATTACTCCTTACTCTATAGTAGTGTAATGTAAAGAATAATCTTTGTGATAAATATAATGTCAATCATTTTGTGAAAGTTGTTTCAAGTAAATCTAAGTATTGATACATTAATCTATTATTTTTACAGTACCCTGTATTCCTTATATTTTGAGAGAGAGATATGTCCCATGGGGATAGTGAGGATACAACACACTGTATAATATGCGTTGAATAAACAAGAAGATAGTGTGGCCAACACAACATTCAACAATTTTCACTTCCCAATTGTAAAATTAGGTGCCCATCTGCAGCTGGGTACATCACAATAGTGCAAACACAAATTCTAGTACAGTTCTATAGTAATAATTAATCTACTACTCTTTCTGTCAGTTTCTCTTCCATTTTACACCTGGACCCAGTAGCTATATCAAATCCCAAATTTGGCCAATTGTTGTCACAGCATCTAGCAATGTTATTTACTCCTAAAGCAATGTTACAAAAACTTTGTATGCACAGAGAAGGAATTTGACAAGGTTCCATGTGAAATAGTAAAGTGGGGAATGTGAAAGTTAGGAGTCAATGAGTACCTTATTTGAGTGGTATATGAGGACTCAAAAACCTCTGTGAATGTAAATGGTGAGGAGTGAGGTAATAATAGTCCATAAGGGGTCTGTCTTGAGTCCACTTCTAGTTATCATTGTGCTAGAGGTAATATCATTGGACTAAGCTGGCCTGTCCTGGGATTTGTTGTATGCTGATGACTTAGTGCACATTGCATATAGTACTGAAGAAGCAGTGGAGAAATTTAAGAAAGGGAATGAAAGAAAGGCAGCAAAAGGCCTGGGAGTGAATGGGGTGAAAACATAAATATTGATTAGTGGTGTGGGTGAAAAACACATGATATAAAGTGGAAAATGGCCACATACTGTCTGCAAGAAAGGTGTTGGCAGCAATTCAATAATGCAGTGTGAGGAAGGTGGGTACAGAAGAGATGCAGTGGAGTAGATGACAGACTGTGGGATGTTGCTAACTTTAAGTGCAACCAAGTGCCCAAAGTAAGGCTGGAGAAACCCAACAATGGGAATACGAGTAAATCTCTGAAGTGTGTTGAGGAGTTCTGTTACCTGGATGACAAGATCAGTGGTGGTGAAGGGAGTTGCAGTCTGCCCAGTTGCAAAAATCAAGAGTGGCTGGAGGATGTTTGGAGAGCTCCTACCTCTATTGATGACAAGGGGACCTTCTCTCAGAGGGAAAGGAAGAACATGTGTGGTTGGTGTGATAAGTGTGATGTTGTATGGCAGTGAAGCATAGGCAGTGAAAGAGAATGACGTAAGCAGGCTTACACAAACTGAAGTGAGAATTGTGAGATGAATGTGTAACATGACACTGAAAGACAGGAGCTATGGGGACAGCTAGGTAATGAGAGTACAGTATTGGTGAAGTTCCTGCATAGAATCAGACCAAGATGGTTAGGGCATGAGGAGAGAATGGAAGAGACCAATTGGATCAAGAGGAGCATGAGTCAAAATGTGGAGGGGAGGCAGCAATGGGTACTACATAGGCCAACAATGACAAAGGGAAAGGTTATAAGAAATTACATTAATTAGGAGATGCCATCAGGTAACTGTGGTTTAACCCAAACAAGCATGGTGGAAAAAGCAATAAAATGATGATAATTGATGACTATATAAGACTACACTGACCTGGTGTGAGAGAGAACCAAGAGGTGTTGGAGAGAGGGTCTTGGTCGCCGCATCTTGAGCTAGACCCAAATCTTTTGTCATGAGTGCCGTTCCAAAGCCACCCTATATATGAGGAAAAAGTTGGAGTGCTGAACAAAATCATTAAAATATTTTTTTTATGGGTAATGCCAAAATTCAATTTAGAAAACAAATGGAAGCATTTCTAATACATTTCATGTTCAAAACAAACCTCGTAGTTATTAGATGAAGGTACATTTTCTAGCACGCCAGGAACTGGGTTGTACAGTTCCATGGCCCAGCAGCGGCCAGTGGCTGTACTGATAATACTGGCCATCAGCTTGGGCTCCAGTCCTAACCTGCAGCAGGGAAAAGAATATTATCTAAACAATTATGATCAGAATACTAATTCAAACTATTCCTTTTAGTAGACAAAGATATTGCTGGAAATCCAGGAGGTTGAAGTAATTCAGATATTTACTAACCATACTTGGGCATGTGATAACCGCTACTAAATACTGGTTGCCCATACAAGCTTTTACTTGCCTTGATATTTCTGTAGGCTTTAAGTAAAACATACCAATTACAGTACTCGTATTCTGCACCCAAGTATAAGTAAATTGTTCATTTAGCGATTTAGTTAAGAGTCCTTCACAAAGTCACACTGAGAGTTGCTGGTGCAGCTAAAAGCAATATTGGAAAGATCATCAGCAATCAAAGATCACACTTTTTTAAATAGTTAATTGTTTTTATTTTCTTTATATATGACACAACACTGAACAACCAACTTATCTTATTACATCCTATAAATGGAGGTTTTCATCCATTTATATGAATGAATTTTTTCACCTAATATAAAAAAAATATATATGATTTAATCATGCACAAAGACCAGTCACCTCTAGAGGTTGGTAATTGTACATGTTATTAAATGTTTTGGTAACATCCTACCAACAATATGCTTCACAACATGACAGATTAGGATGGCATGCAAATAGTAGTCACCAAAAACAGTAAAATAAGACTAAATAAATTAGATGAAATGGAAAAAGAAAATTATTATACTTTCATTGTCACAACAACAATAAATAGGAATAGTGTAAATTGGTTTATCCAATAAGCAAGTGAAGATGTAGTTTAAACTTGCTCATTGTTATTTTTTATTGTTTCAGGCAAAGAGTTATGGGGATCGTCCAATTGGAACTTTTTTTTTATTTGTGGATGAATTTATATGAAAATTTCCAGCATTATTTAGAATCACCCAACAGTGTGTGTCTAGAAAATACTCTCACAAATAATCAAAGAAATTTATAATAAATGTGAATCTACCTACAAGCCTGTACTCTATTACAGTACTTTATTAATAGAGCACTGACTTGAGGGTAGACTGTCACATTTTTAATAAATTTGTTTCTGATTATTTGTGAGAAGATTTTCCAAATATTATTTATTTGTATGTGTTTTGTGTGTGTGTGTGTGTGTGTGTGTCTATACACATACACACACACACACATACACAACATATTCAATACTGCAGGCAAAAGAAATAATTGTCCTAAGGGCAAACACATAAAGGGAATGTACATTTCTTTGTACACGAGTAAAAATTTACCCCCCCCCCCTCCCAGGTCCGCAAATGTTATTCGCGGATTTGGCGAATCGCGGCCATTTTGAGAACCTAACCCAAGCGAATTTGGGGGGCCCCCTGTACAGTATGTCATTTGCTCATACTGTAATACTATTAAGATGACAATAGAAAACAAGAATCAACCTACAACTGACTACAGGGTAAGGGAAAATGGGTCTTTTGTGATTTGTTATTTTTTGGTAGATGTTATTGCACATCATTCATACTAGGCAGTGATGTAACTAGAGGTTGCCCAAATTCAGAGGATTTTTCTTTTAGAAAATCTGATTTTTCATAATTTTTGGATCGCTTGCAGAAGGATGATCACCTTAGTGGTACTACAACATCTGAATACATACACATCACTCAATGTATACTACAGGGTATATTCATAATCCTAACAAAAAACACACCTCGTATGATTTCACAGCTCATACTGCTTAATCACAATGTAAAGACGTAATCATGTGATCCTGCAACTGTCCTTCTTTGTCCATCTATTTAGGTATCCACCCACCATCTTTCTTCCAACCCTAACAGCAAATTAATATAAAAAAGTCCACTTTCTTACATTAGAACACTGAAATATTATCTAACATACCTCATTCCCAAATTCATGGTCTCAGCAGCACCAATCATTGTGATAGCTAATAGCATGTTGTTGCAGATCTTAACAGCCTGTCCATTTCCAATAGCACCGCAGTATACAATGTTTTTGCCCATGGATAATAGAAGTTCTTTTGCTGCCTCAAATTCTTTTTCGTCTCCTCCAACCATGAATGTGAGGGTTCCACCCTTTGCAGCATTTACACCTGAAGAGTATCAAGATATGTTAAAAAAGTAGAAGATAGAAGTGAATCTTAAATCAATCTCATTCAAAGAAGTTCAGGTGCTCCTCTACTTAAGAACGTTAAACTTACAAACTTTCAGAGATACAAACATCATCACTGAGGGGGGTTACCTGCCAGAACAGGTGTTTAATGTGGATGAGACTGGATTATTTTGAAGAAAATTCCAGATAGAACAAGCATTACCTAAGAGGAGAAGAGTGAACCAGGTTTTAAGGCTGTATTAAAGGGTATAGCTGTACTAAATATCCACAATCTTTTAATTTTTTACAATATGTTTGGTATCCACAAGAGTAAGGCTGGACTTACAAACAGGCCTCAGGAACGTAACTCGTTCGTAAGTAGAGGAGCACCTGTATATTCTTGTGCTACAGATAATAAACCAAATGAAACAATAATAATACCATTTATTTTTATTTTTTTAGAAAATACCATTAAAGAGACATAAGATTTATAAGAATAAAGTTTGTTTACTATCATGTTGGTCAGAAAACAAAAATCGTATACATATTATTATAATGGATGTTGACAGCAATTTCATGCGAGGTGACTACAGCCATTTAAGTCTCTGTCCAAATAATCCTCTCCACATACAGTAAGTCAATCAAAAGAAGATTAAGCAAAAACTTAATGTGAGCAAGGGACTGGGAGGGCAGTAACAGGGCATACCCAAGGCCAGATGAGTGCACATTATGGAGAATCTATGTAAATACCAGTATGGTAAGTCATGTACTGTATTTGGACAACAGCATGATAAAACGATCAAGTAATGTTTAATATTGTAAGTGTTTTTTACAATTCACCTCCAATTTCTTTGAGGTGGCCTATAAATCATTAAATGTCTTCACAAAACCTCTGTATAGAAAGAGGATAACACACCTCCAGACACAGGTGCATCCATGAAGACAGCACCTTTCTTAAGTGCAGCACCAGCCAACTCCTTAGACACACTGGGGTCAATGGTGCTACTGTCCACAATGAGTGTCCCAGGTTGCACTGTCCTGTTCAAATTGTAAAAGTAGCTAATATTAACTTAAGTAACAAGCATGTATGCACACACACACACACATGAAAGGTAAAGCTCGCAATAAATGCATTTATCGTGTTTAGAAGCGAACACAAAAGTTTATGTAATTATAACTGAACATGCAATGCTAAGAACACTATACAAGTACAGGTACACTACCGATTTTGCGGCACCCTTGGTTCCAAAGCCTTGCCGGATTATCCGTTTTGCCGGACCAACTGAGGTCAGGTAATAACAATTCAACAATACACCTCTGACCCACTAATTATACACCTCCTGTGTCTCTAAAGCACCATGGACTGCTATAAATTTAAATTAAACAAATATTAAATGTAAATTAAATGTGAAAATGCCATAATTTTGAGCAACATTATTGTACACACTTTATCCTCAAATGTACTGTACTACACTAGACTAAAAATTTTATCTCTTGTGAAAACTATGTGATGTTTATACTCAAATTAATCACTATATTACATAATCACTACATTACAAGGATTCCAGCAATGCAATTTATATTTTGCTAAGTCTAGTCAGCTACATTTTATAAGATAAAAACTATAAGCCTAAAACTAGCTTCACCCAGGCTGGGAGGGAGGGAGGGAATTTAAGCGCCCCCTCATAATTTTGTCCCGACTAAAGGAGGTGCCGGACCATCAGTTCCCAGATAATCGGTGGTGTACCTGTACAGTATAAAGCTAAAAAATCCAAGTACATGTACCTTAGAACCAAGCAATGTGTAAATTTCTGAATGTTACCATATGCTATATTGTCTGGAGTGGTATGGAGCTCAGATTGTGGTTTTGAATACAAAATTAATGCCTTGAAATGGTATATGAATGTAATAAATATAATTATACACAAATACGGTGGGGTATGCTATAACGAACGGATCCTACTACGAATATTCCTATAACGAATGGTTTTACCTATAAAATTGAGAATGCTATAACGAACGAAACTCCTACAACGAACATTATTTAATTTTTTTTTTTTTACTAATTTATTGTTTTTGTATTACAAGTATTAATGATATTCTTTATTTCAGGGGTTTAGATGCATATTTATGCACTTTTTTAAAATTTTTACAATTTTATATTATATTTTTCACTGTTAAGTGGTTGTATTTGGGGGCCTGGAACGGATTAATCCTATAACGAACGAATGCTATAACGAACAAGGTTATAGAACCAATTAGATTCGTTATAGCATACCCCACTAAATGCAAGGATACATAAATAAAATAAAACAAATTCTGATACGAAGTTAGAGGTTATAGGTACGTGTATGTGTTATGTTACCAGTACACATCGATTTATGCATTATTTTCAAATTAAGGTGAACCTGTCTGGTCTTTTCAAACCAAGGGGACAGAATTAGGCATCCCTTCAATTTTCTGTTGCTAGAATACTGATGCATTCTTTCAAGCCTTTTCCCACTTATCACAGGGCAGCTGGTACAGCTACACACACACACACACTTTCCCATCGTTCATTTCTCTGTGAAAGAAGTGTTTTGCTATACAGTAGTACAGTACAGTACTCCCCTTCCATTCAAGGCCTCAAAATTGGTTTATCCAATCATTATACACAGTAAAGAGATTTAAAACAAATAATGCAGCCTTCAGGAAACTCATCACTTTAGACTGAATTTCAGAGCACTGATTCTTTTGAAATCAGTTTCACTGCCATAAGTCAAGATAGGATGTGCAGTGTCACAATATCTCTTTAATTTCTATATCCATCAAACCATTTTCATTTAATACTACATACAGTACTTTCAAATACAAGCCCTCATCCTCCTCTTTTAATTCATTCTGCATTAAAATTTTACATTCTAAATCACTAGGCTTTCTATTCTGCATGGTTTACCAAAATGCACTCAGAAACTATCACAATACCTTGCCCAAATTAATCACAGCTTTTTTGCAGTTCCTGTTTGCTCTCTCTAAAAGGCACTGCACCTAACCACACTACTGTACCAAACTATTTAATGTATCTATTTCCATAGATTATTTTTCTCTCCCCTTTCCTTCTAGTCTAATTGCAAGATCTTGAAATGCATCCCTTCTCTTCTCTACTTCATTCATTCTATTCGCATGTAATGCTCCCAGTCTAATATTGTACTATCCTCTCTAAAGGCCTCCTATACTATGTTGCCATCTTTTCACCCACATAGGACCACAGATTGGGGGTTCATAAAAAAAACAATTACAGTCTCTCCTCGACTTACAACGGGGTTCCGTCCCGACGACCAGGTCGTAAGTCGAATTAGTCGTAAGTTGAAAAGTCGAAAATAATACATAGAAATTCTTAAATGGGTGTCTCTTTTTCTTCTCAGCACCACGAGAACTCTCACTTTTACGCTTGACAGCCATTTTAAAGGGAATTACAAACGAAAAAATTTTCAGTACACAGCGTGATCATTAACGTCAGGACTCGAAAATACGCAAAGTGAAAAATATTTTATACGACCACGGAGGTCGTATGTCCGGGTTATCGTAAGTCGAGGAGTACCTGTATGGCCTTGGGACTAATGGATCTTACCGATTCACCAGCAAACAAATAAACTTTTTATACTGTATTTGTAATAAAATTCTGACTCAATAAAAAATCCAACCTCACCAAATGAACTTACTCAAAGACACCTTTCTCTCCAGTATAACATGACCTCACATGCTGTGAATTAGGCAGCATAGTGATGATACTATCAACTTTACTGGCCACTTCAGCTGGGCTGGATACAATGCTTGCACCTTCATCCTGCAGACATTCCATCGCCTCAACGTTAACATCATACGCCACAACACTGTGACCCTGAAAACAAATACTGTACAGTATTGCTAATACGTATGCACATTCCTACATCCTGGATGTCCGTCATCCTCACCTCTAGAACACCCATCTCCTTTCTGGTCTCTTACAAGCACAGGAAATATATGTACAGGCTGTAGACTTTTCCAAGATGTTGCCATTAAGAAGACTTTTTATCATCTTTTCCCACCCATCACTTAAAAAGAATTATAAAACATAAGGCTTCATTAGTAAGATGTGCTAAATGATCAATTTACTAAATGTAATCAGGCAATGGTAAAACAATATTGTAGCATTTTATAGTTTCAATATGGTAAATCAAAGTAACTGAAAGTCTTCAGCTTAGTGAACCATTTCAAAATAATAATAAAGTTGCGATATTTTATATCTCACCTTCTTTATTAGATTGGTAGCCATTGGTCTTCCCATGTTCCCAAGTCCAATAAATCCCACTGTGGTTTGAGAGTTACACTGTTTGTGACTGACTGCAAAGAGATAATTGTTATAATGAACAAACCCACTTAGTGTAGTACATCGCTACCTATTGTATGTATCTATTTCCCCAAGCTCCTCCACATAAAAATTGAGAGCACTGTAAATTTCAGATCATCCTATGCTCTTAATAATTATGATCTGCACCCTAATATTTGAATCTTGTTTCTGTTGCCCAATGTCACTTCCTTGATTCAACCCATAAATCAGGGAGTGGTAACTGCTTGTAAATTTCACTTTTATTAGTTTACATGTTTTTGCCAAAATACTGATGGAACACAGAAAATATGGATGCCAGTGAGTTAATAGAGCTCTGAAAAAAAATTACGGTGACTCTTGCCTGAACTTTATAGAAATTAGTCACTTGAGTAATGCTAAGGAATCGCCAGTAGCACACAAATCTTTTTACAGTGAGTTCCAAAAATACTGTATGCAAAATCCTCAAAAAGTACTTGTAAATTTATATTCATTTTAATAATTCATAAATATGTACAGCATCACCAAAAGAATGCAGCTTTTTTTTTTTAAGAACATCTGAATGAGTGAAAAATGCTTGAGCTTCTGCCAAGACGGCTGAGACTGCAGTCAGCAAGCGCAGTGATAGAAAGCTTATAATTTTACAAAATAATAATTGTGGAAAATAAAAGTTTGAAACAGTTTTACGATTTGATGTGAAGAACACTTCCTCTACAAAACTTGAAAAGAAAATACAGTACGTATGGTAATTTTCGAGAACAGCATTGCCACCAGAAGGAATTGTTCAATTTCATTCATTTTTTCCACAGATGTTCTTATCATTATAGTAAGTAATTTAAGAGATGAAAAATTTATATTTTGATTATAATTATTTATTTATATTTTTTAATTTTTCTCTATCCATATAACGAGATATTTAACATTTTATTATGTACTGTATGAAACTTTATCTTTCACTTGTTGCCACTTAACGAATCTCAGGAATTTTATAGTTGCAATCGGTAATTTTGACAAATCTAAGACACCTTTCTTCAATGGCATTTTTGGCGCTAATTATGTATAAGCGAAATATTTAACATTTTATTGTGTAATGCAAGTCTCTGTTCTGTTTGTTTACATCTAACCTTCTCGGTCTGAGCGTTCTCTCATGTCCACCAAAATATGAAAATTACATCATGACGATTCAACAAAGTTCTTTTCACTGGTACTAAATATCAAAATAACCTGTAAGTAATTTCTATTTAATGTGACAAGGGGTCCAGGGGGGCTTGAAGTTAGCTTGGGTTAGGTAGATTTCTTTGGTTTGTTAGGTCAGGTTCTATAATGATCAAGTAAATGTTGCCTCTTAAAACACTTAGTATAATGATAAGAACATCTGTGAGAAATATTAACGAAATCGAACAACTCATTGTAGTGATAGTGCTGTTCTCAGACATTACTGCAAATGGCTAATATTTGGATCTTTACTGTTGCTAGTTTGGCAGAATATTGTGGTCTCATTTTGCTCAATATCTGATGCTTAATGCAATGAAGACACTCTTTTTTGTGAAAACATTAAAATTTATTTATTTTTTCAAATTCCGTGATGAGAATAAAAAAGTAAAAAAAAAAAGAGCTTTATTTATGTTACTAAGAATGTTTTCTATTGAAAAGCAAAAAAAAAAATTGAGGAAAATGAAACCTTAAAATTGTGGAAATGATTAATACCTAAAAGTGATTTTGATTGTGGAAGTCAGTTTTTGTCAATGGGGAAAGTTATCGGCTGAAGATGGTACAGTATCGTTCCAGCCCCCTCTGAACTCTCAGTCATTTTCTGCATCAGCCACTCTGTGACTTCACTGTGTGACAACACGTAGGATCGGTTAGGTTAGGTTATGATTAGTAAAGTTAGGTTTGGCAAGGTTATGATTGGTAAGGATAGGTTATGATTTGTAAGGTTAGGCTTGGTAAGGGTTAGTCAAGGTTAGGTTGTAGTAACGTATAATTTTTTTTTTTTTTTACTTCGTGATTCTCAATTTGGAAGTTGAAAAAGCACATTTTTAGCATCTCCCCCCAAGGACTATCTCCATTGTTTTAAGCATTAAATACATGTATTTGGTATTAGGTATCATATTACTTTTGGACATAGCGCGCCTGAAAGTTACAAACTACTAAAACATTTAATTGGTAAAAATCGGGTATTATTTTAATTTCGGACATAGCAGGCCCTAAACTTATAAACTACTAAAACATTTAGATCTCCCTATTCTGACCATTTTGAACCCCATATATACCTGGAGGAAATGGATAATAACGACACAATTTAATTTAATTGATTTTGCGTACTTTTCAGTCTTCGTCTATGTGAACATAAGAACATAAGAAAATAAGGAGTCTGCAATAAGCCGGTTGGCCTGTGCATGGCAGCTCCTGTCGAGAGTTACTACCACTCTCTATCATCCATGAATCTATCTAGCCTCCTTTTAAAACTTTCCAGCGTTCCAGCACTTACTACAAAGTTGCTATGCTTGTTCCCCTCGTCCACCACCCTATTTGTGAACCAGTTCCTTCCTATCTCCCTCCTAAACCTAAACTTATCCAACTTAAATCCGTTGTTACGAGTCCTATCCTGTTCGGATATTATAACAACTTTTATCTATATCTCCTTTATTGATTCCTTTCACCCAATTAAATACTTATATCATATCTCCCCGCACTCTTCGTCTTTCTAGGAAATGCAAGTTTAGTTTCGTTAACCTATCTTGATATGGAAGGTTTCTAAGTCCCAGAATCATTTTCGTCATTCTACACTGCACCATCTCCAGTGAATTGATACCCATTCTATAATAAGGACACCAGAACTGAATAGCATAATCGAGAGATGTTATCGTCGTGAAAGTGAGCTAATTATGAGCGTGTTTACATCACGCATGCGTGACATCTTCCAGTCGTGACCAATGATGTAGTGATCTCATCACGCGAATTTTTTTCGACCAATCAAATTTGAATTTTTTCAAAGGGAGGAGCCAAGGTACGGATCTCAAGGATTTCAATTTCAATGACCAGTGTGACAATGGACGTGGTAGAGGTTGGGTGTAAATCATGCCCCTATGATTATTTTAAGTTTATTGCCGAGTTTTACAAGAAAGACGATCAAGCTATCCAATTCCTACGTAATCACAGTGTTCTCCCTACGTCTGTTGAGTGCCCGCACTGTAAATTGCCTTGTAAATTTAGAAAGAACAAGCATCAGAGGTTGACCCTGAACCTATCCCTGGTCCTTCTACTTCTAACTAAAGTATTGTACTTTCTGACATGGCACGCTCCAAAGTTTAAAACTACGGAAACATTTAGATCTCATTATTTTGAGTTGGAAATTAATAAGATAGGTTAGGTTAGGTTAGTTGAAGCTAAGCCTACCGGGGGTTCGGGGGCTTCCCCGGCGAGGGGTTAAGTTAGACGACTCATTTTCGTGTTTTCCCCCCACCCAAAACCCCAATTACCCAGGGGTTACCCAGGCTCTCCCCCTCGGTACATGCACACAATCTATTAACTCAGATTAAAGTAAGTTTTCCAATTTTTTGTGACTTTCTGACACCAAATACTAGTCGAGAAGTGATTGGCAGTCCGATTTAATCATCTAGGACCATTATTTGACTTCATTCCGGCTATATTTGGCTACATTTGGGTAATTAGTCGGACCCGATCCACGTTTGGCATAAGCCGGATTTTAACCCGTTGTATAACGTGTTGCTCAGTCAGTTGTCCTGACAAATCCAACACACTAACCTAATGGGGAAGGATTCTCAAGCATACCTGATAGGTTTCGCCTAAAAATGGTGTTCGCAGAAAGACGAGAAACTCTATAAAGCGAAGAACACAGCGTCCTAGAGTATGCCATACTTGAGAGGTTTCTTCTTTTTTTAACTACCGGTTGTTAATTATTACTCTCGTACGTGCTCCTGTGTATCCACTCTTTCTCTTCTTTCTTGTTATGTGATTGAATTTCTTCCAGTAATAACGAGCTGAGAAATGAGCACCTCACAGTTACTGCATTGCGGACTAGAGGTAAAGCTGAGGGCTGCAGGTAATGACTACTGAGGGTGTTGCTCCAGGCTCAGGTGGTAGACCAATAGCAGTGAAGGACCTCACGCTCTCAACCAATCATAGAGCACCGTACCTTCATTAACAGTTTCTGAGTGTTACACGGGGTAGTTAAACCATCCTCACTTGGTGTTAAAATGGATAAGAGATATTTTAGTTGTGTGATATACAAGTGGTGGTAACGTAAATGTCGGGTAAGTTTTTCTTCTCTATGAACATTTGAAATAATTGTAAATACTATTCTGCATTGTCTAATAATGTCTTCTGTGATACACGGGATTCGTTCTTTTGCTATTAATTTTCCTGCTCTTGTGGGTTGTATTATTTGTATAAACATATTAATGTACTGTGCTAAATTGTATGTGGTTTGATTACTGTATCTCCTTATCGAATGTGAGTTAAAAGTCGAGAACTAGATCGCATGTTTGTGCTTATGCATTAGGCTGCGCTGGGAATAACTGCACTAAACTCATTGCACCATGCAAAGAAGACTGCAATATATACTAAAGACAGGAATGAGTGCAAAATAGTCGGTAATAATACTAGCTGAGACCTCAAGGCACAGTGACGTCACTTTATGTAGTCCAGAATTAGGACGGCGCTGCAGTCGTACTTCTGTGATGTCATGTTGTTGCATGTATTAAAAATCTTGGATTACAGCCAAGAATAGCTATTTTATAATCAGTAAAATTATTGATGACACCATTATATTTAAGTCTAACTTTGATGTCATAGATACTAAGAAATTCGTCCTTTTATTAAAGAAAAAGTGGGTACTCTTTTGGATACTGTAGCGTACTGTATGTGGCCAGTTGTCAATTCTCTTAGTATGGGCACACAAACGTACGTACATGTAGATATCTCACACTCAGGAATGAGGTAGGATAGAAACTCACAATGCGCTTTCTGTATATAGTTGTACAGCGCAGTGCTTAGGAGTGACTAGGTAAGGAGAAACTTGCTCAGAGGTCCCGTAGGGCGAGGAGGTTTCTGAGGAAGCTGAGTGGTGAGGAGCTGTGAGAGATGGTAGCCAGGCATGGCCGTATTTGTACAATTTACGAGGATCAGGATTTGGGGTGAGCGTAACGAGAGGACCAATCACAGCGGCTTAAGCGTAAGGTGCGAGATTATGGATACGTTTTTACTTTTTTAGTACTTCTGTGGGTGTTTTTATGATTCCCAGGGGCATTGTGGCAGCACTGTAACCAAGACTTCTGGACGCGCAATTCAACATGCGGGGTAGATCGTATCCCTGCGTTATTTGCAAGAGGAGAAAGGACACACATCCACATTTCATTTTCATCTGTCCCCAAAGTACAGATATAGGTTGTGGGGGTATGAGATATTGGTTCACACTCAGGATGGGATGGAGAAAGGAAACTCACAATGTGCTCACTGTATACATATTGTATTGGATGTACAATGCAGCTTGTTGCTGGGTAGATAGCATGGTAATAAGCGTTGAGTAGAGAGAGCTGGGTGGTGAGGGTGCCCAGAGGAGGGACACCCGGCTTGAGGGACGTCAAGGTCGCTGGCGGGAGCGGGAGCCGCCAGGCTGGCGCGGAGGAGGAGGTGTTGCTTGCTGGTGGTACTGGGTAGAAAAGAGGGTGGTCACAGCGGTGTCAGGCCTTATAAGGTGGGGTAGGCGTGGATAGATCGTTGACACCCGCTCCGTGGGCGGCGCTGGAGGTGTAGGCTGGGGAATTCGATAAGGTTCGGTGCTTGTAGGGGAGGAATCCACTACAATACTCCCCTTCCCCTCAGGGCGCGGCGGGAGGCTGAAGGTTGGCAGAGTTGCGTGCCACATGTGAGGCAGAACGGGCGGTGTGTGCCACATGTGAGAGTGAGACATAACGGCGAGGGCGTGGATGAGCCGGCCACTAGGGGGGAGGGGGCAACTCTGTCTAGATACACGAGATCTGTGGGAGAAAAGAGGGAGAAGAAGGGTTATGGAGGCGATGAATGTTGTGCTTCACTCGCGACAGGTACAGAGTCGCCAGATGCGCCTGCTGGGGTGTGTGGGCTTGGTCAGGAGCAGGGGCTGCATTAGGAAGAGTGTCCACGACAGCAGCAGGGTGCATGACAGCAATAGGGTCCACGACAGTAGCAGGGGGTACCTGCGGGAGAAAAGAGGGGTGTGTGGGTCAGCGTCAGGAGCAGGGGTTGCGTCAGGAGCGGCAGGGGGTACTGCTGGGCTGGGGGCGGCGTCTGAGGCAGGACGGGTGTGTTGGGGTCGGTAGGACTTGGTGTTTGGGGCAGGAAGAGGAGCGGCTGTCTGCTTAGAGTAGCAGAGCTGCTCTAGGGTGTCTAACCTGCAGTGAAGAGACAGTAGTTATAGAGTCGATGAGAGCTGCCTCTGCGTGGGTAAGCCAGTCTTCCATGTTGCTTGAAGACTGGGAGAGTGATCAGTTTCTCCTCCATCCTGTGTGAGTGCGAATCTCCGGGGGTCACCATTTGTGGGGTTATGAGATATTGGTTCACACTCAGGATGGGATGGAGAAAGGAAACTCACAATGTGCTCACTGTATACATATTGTATTGGATGTACAGTGCAGCTTGTTGCTGGGTAGGTAGCATGGTAATAAGCATTGAGTAGAGAGTGCTGGGTGGTGAGGGTGCCCAGAGAAGGGACACGCGGCTTGAAGGACGCCAAGGTGGACGCTTGCTGGTGGTACTGGGTAGAAAAGAAGATGGTCACAGCGGTGTCAGGCCTTATAAGGCGGGGGTAGGCGTGGGTAGATAGTTGACCCCCGCTCCGTGGGCGGCGCTGGAGGCGTAGGCTGGGGAATTCGAGAAGGTTCGGTGCTTGTAGGGGAGGAATCCACTACAAGGTAACTTAAGTATTTAACCTCTTGTGAGTTACAGTGAAAATGTGCAATTATATATCGAAATACATTTCAAATCAGAGGCAGCAGCTTCATCAGTCACTCCACTGACATTTTTTTTTTATCCTCTTCGCCACTGATCGGCTTGTTAACCGATTGGGCGATCGGTCACGTCTTTGATTACTTTTACTTTTCATTTATCTTCTTCACCAAATGATCGTCCTACTAGCCGCCCGGGCGATCGGTCACGTCTCTGTCACGCACTGTTGGCAAATACTGGGAATGCACCGGCTCCTGAATGTACCTGAACCCTCTCCAGCGTTGGTCAAGTCTTGTCTTGAAAGAGCTCACACTCAGTGCCATTGTGGGGTACGGGTTATTTGGTTCACACTCAGGATGGGATGGAAAAAGGAAACTCACAATGTGCTCTCTGTATACATATTGTATTGGATGTACAATGCAGCTTGGTGCTGGAAAGGCAGCATGGTTACAAGCGTTGAGTAGAGAGAGCTGGTTGGTGAGGGTGCTCAGAGGAGGACCAGCTTGTGGGTCGCCATGCTCGCCGGCGGGAGCAAGGGCCGCCAGGCAGGAGGAGGAGGAGGTGTTGTTACTTGAAGACTGGCTGTAGGTAGTAAGAGAGCACATTCCGGAGGTAGGCATGGCTTAATAGTTGACTTCCGTCATGTAAGGAGGCGCTGGTTGACCTAGACCACGAGGCATACACTGGGGAATTCGCGGGGTCGGCTACTCAGCGACAAACAGCGTTTGTAGGGGAGGAATCCACTGCACCATCACAACACTCTGATAAATGGTTCCAAGAGTTTACAACCCTCACTCCGAAAAAGTTTGCCCTCACAGTTTTCTGGACTTGCAGCTTCTTCAATCTTGAGCTGTGACCCCTTGTGGGGTGAGCGTCCGCCAGCTCCAGGTAAGGACACTCAACTGAGTAGTGCCCCTGAGATGCTTATACACCTCAACTAGGTCCCCCCTTGCCCGTCTGCAGTATAAGCTAGGCAAGTTCAGGCGCTCCAATCTCTCAGGGTAACTGAGGTGCCGAAGTGCAGGCACCAGTCTGGTGGCCCTCTTTTGAACATTTTCAACCAACTGGCAGTCCCTAGCATATCTCGAGGACCAGATGGGGTGACAGCACTCCAGATGGGGAAGCACTTCACTCCTGAAGATCGTTACGAGGGACGGACCGTCTAGATATCTGAAAGACCTTCTTATAAGGCCCAATAATTTATTTGCCTGATTTACCTTCTTCTCGCAATGGCCCGAGAACTTCAGCTCATTGTCAACATACACACCAAGGTCCTTCTCACATACAGTCTCAACTAGTGCAGTTTCTTTATCCCGTTAGGACATATGATACGCCTCCTTACCATTGGTACACCCCAAGTGCATCCTCTTACACTTTGTGACATTGAATCTCAGCAGCCATTTCTTCGACCATTCCTGGAGCCCACAGAGGTCCTTCTGCAGCTCTTCAGAGTCCGTTTGGTTCTTAATTTCCCGAAATAACTTGGCGTCATCGGCAAACATTTGTATGGAGGAGTGTACAACGTCAGGCATGTCATTTATGAAACAAACAAACAACAGTGGGCCCAATACACTGCCCTGTGGTACCCCACTTGTGACAGGTACAGATGACGATTTCATGCCATTAATCACCACACACTGCTTGCGGTCATGTAGAAAGTCTTCTATCCACGCTAGGACATTTCACCGAATTCCGTACCCTTCCAGTTTGATTTTCAGCCTTCCGTGGGGTACACTGTCGAAAGTCTTGCCAAATCTAGGTAAATATTGTTGATATTACCACCCCGTTCCAGAATATGGGTCCAAATATCCAATACCTTGAGCAATTGTGTAAAGCAGGGGCGCCCCGGCATAAAACCGTGTTGGCAATCTTTTACAAGGTTGTTTCATATTAGATGTTCCATTGCGGCATCTCTGATAATACTCTCAAGTACTTTACATATTATGCTGGTCAGGCTCACCGGTCTATAGTTGTTCGTGGAGTGACGATCACCCTTCTTGAAGATAGGACTCACATAAGCCACTTTCCATTCACTGGGGACCATTTGTTCATCCAGGCATTTAGAAAACAGGATCTTCAGGGGCTCTACAAGCTCGTTGCACAACTCTCTTAGCACTCTAGGATGCACTATGTCAGGTCCAAGACTCTTATGGACCTTTAGCCTGGATAGTTTATTTCTAATACCCTCTTCTGTGAACACAATGTGGATCAGTGCTGTGTCGAACCATCTGTCCTCAAACGCAGGAAGGTTAGTTGCATCCTCTCTTGTGAACACCGAGGAAAAGAAGCGGTTCAATGCCTCAGCTTTATCCTGGTCAGAATCTGCGTAACTACTCCTACTCACGTTTTCAATTTCGACTTTGCATAGCGGTAAAACGCCTTTGGGTTTGACTTGACCTCGCTTACAACCAGCCTCTGGAACTCTCTTTTCAGCCCTCCTACACTCTATCTTTGCTTGGTTTCTGGCCCTTGCATACATCCTCCTGTCTTGCTCATCATTTGACCCAACCCACATCTTGAATTTCTGGGTTTTCTTCTTAATTTTGTCGACCGCCGCATGGTTCATGTAAGGGATCCCCTCGTATTCCTAGAAGCACTGGGTTTGGTCTTGGGTATATATTTATCGATCAAATGGGTCACTTTACTAGTTATGATATTCAGTGTAGTGTCTGCGTTCTTGTACCTTAATGAGTCAGGCCAGTTGATACCCCTCATCTCTTCCCTCATCCCATTGTAATTTCCCTTGTAATATTTGCACCTTGATACAAAATTGACAGGTGTCGCAGATAGCAAAATGCTATTGACATTCCCAGAACATACGTGAAGAATTGTGTGAAATTGCACAGAAGTAATATATATATTGTGCATGATTAATAATTATTAATAATGTTAATTTTTATGGTAATGTAGTATGTTACTCTACTTTACTTTTATCCTCTTCAACACTGATCGGCTCGTTAGTCACTTGGGCGATCGGTCACGTCTGTTACTTTTCCTTTTCTTTTATCCTCTTCACCAAATGATCGGCTCGTTTGCTGCTTGGGCGATCGGTCACGTCTCTGTTACGCACTGTTGGCAAGTACTGGGCATGCACCGGCTCCTGAATGCATCTGAACCTGCTCCAGTGTTGGTCAAGTCTTGTCTTGAAAGAGCTCACACTCGGTGCCGTCACAACACTTTCTAGTAGATTGTTCCAAGAGTTCACAACTCTCACTCCGAAAAAGTTTGCCCTCACAGTTTTCTGGACTTGCGGATTCTTCAATCTTGAGCTGTGACCCCTTGTGGGGCGAGTGTCCGCCAGCTCTAAGTAAGGACACTCGACTGAGTAGTGCCCTTTGAGATGCTTATATATTTTCAATCAACTGACAGTCCCTAGCATATCTCAGGGACCAGACGGGGTGACAGTACTCTAGATGGGGAAGCACTTCACTCTTGAAGATTGTTACGAGGGACGGACCGTCATGATATCTGAATGACCTTCTTATAAGACCTAATAATTAAGATGCCTGATTTACCTTCTTCTCCCAATGGCCCAAGAACTTCAGCTCATTGTCAACATACACACTTAGGTCCTTTTCACATTCAGTTTCAATTAACGCAGTTTCTTCGTCCCGTTGGGACATATGATATGCCTCCTTACTGTTGGTATGTCCCAGGTGCATCCTCTTACATTTCGTGACATTGAATCTTAGCAGCCATTTCTTCAACCATTCTTGAAGCTCACAGAGATCCTTCTGCAGCTCTTCACAGTCTGCTTGGTTCTTCATTTCCTTAAATAACTTGGCGTCATCCGCAAACTTTTGTATGGTGGAATGTACAGCGTCAGGCATAGCATTTATGAAGCAAACAAACAACAGCGGGCCCAATACACTGCCCCGTGGTACCCCGCTTGTGACAGGTACATATGATGATTTCTCGCCGTTAATCACCACACACTGCTTGCGTTCAAGTAGAAAGTCTCCGATCCACTCTAGGACATTTCCCAAAATCCTGTACCCTTCCAGTTTAATTTTCAGCCTTTCATGGAAGGGTACAGGATTTGGGGTATATTATTGTCGATGTTACCAACCTGTTTCAGAATTTGGGTCCAAACATTCGGTACCTTGAGTAATTGTGTTAAGTATGAGCACCCATGCATAAAACTGTGTTGGCAATCCTTTACAAGGTTGTTTCGTAGATGTTCCATCATGGCATCTTTCATAATGCTCTCAAATACTTTACATACTAATCTGGTCAGGCTCACCGGTCTATAGTTGTTCATAGAGTAACGATCGCCGTTCTTGAAGATAGGACTCGCATAAGCCATTTTCCAATCACTTGGGACCTTTTGTTCATCCAGGTATTTACAGAACAGGATCTTCAGCTGCTCAGCAAGCTCGATGCACAACTCTCTTAGTACTCTGAGATGCACCATGATGTTGAATGCTGCATGAGGCGAGTTTTACATCCAACGTAATTCCTTTACAGGCTGTTTTAGCACTACTGTTTTCACTTGCACTTGATGGTCTCTTTCCACTCATCTTGAATAAGAGGATACTATACTGGACAATCTTGATATGTAAATAAGTGTTAAATCCATGAGCTGGGGCCAAGAGATCAAGCGTACAGTACACGCTAGGTGATAACAACACACTGCGCCAGCGTACCCACACTTGGTGGTAACAAATACCAAGGAATCCACACAAAATAAATTATAATTTTCCGATTTTTGGGGGGTTTATATTACGATTTTTGTGTTGAAAATGTTGAAAATTTACACCATTTCTGTAAGTTCGAATCTACAGGCTATCCCAAATTAAGTGGTTATAATTTACAAATTCCGTACGGGTGAAATTTCCGTAATGTAGGGGATAACCGTATTATCTACTTTTACTGTACAAGCTTGGAAACTCTAACTTCAGAAAAACCTAGCATCCTTAGAAAAGGTGCAACACAGAGCAATTAAGATTATTCTGGAATTACTTCATCTTGGTTATCCAGGTAGACTGAAGGCCTTAGGACTAGCAACTCTTCAGACAAGACACAATAGGGTTATCTTATAAGAGACATTCAAAATCTTTATATAAATGGAAAACAAGAACCTGGGTCATTTTTTGTGATATCATGCACCACCAACATGAGGGGATATAACTTTAAGCTCACCAAGATATCATGCAGGACAAATAAGGAAATGCAGTACTTTTTCACACAGAGGATGGCAGATCTATGGAACAGTCTACCAGCCCAAGCTGTGGATCAAGAACAATATTGGGCTTGAAAATAGCCCAAGGAAAGACTTATCAATAACAATGGAGTGATACTACATGGGTCACTGGTCACCTTCCCTCAACATGGCCACCTCTAGTTTGGGTGACTATTAGGTAAATATCAGGTCAACTTGCAGCATAAAGACAACAAACAAAATCACTTTATGGACTCATTAGGCTTCAAAACTTAATTGGTGGCCGTTCCTTTTTTATGGTATTTGATCTTTATGCACATACAGGTATAGCTACTGTACCAGTATATGTTAAACTACTTGATAGGTAAATACATTCCTAAGACCAAGCCCACTAGTTCCAGGACAACTGAGAGCACAAAGATAAGAAGAAATCTCCATTTCATGACATGAGTGGCTACAAATGACAAGCCAAGTCAAATTGTAGTAGGGCAGAAAAGGAGTTTGAGGTAGATAAAAAAAACAAAAAAAAAACAAGGTTAGAATGCTCACATATACTGTACTGTATAGATTTGATGGGCGAGAGGGAAACACAGGGTATGGCCAACTTTCTTTATTTCTGTAACATTTCAGGCTACACAGAGCCCATCTTCAATGAGATGGGCTCGGTTTAGCCCGAAACGTTTGAATAATAAAGTCAGCTCAACCCATTGTTTCCCTGCCACTGACCTATCAAATCCACTTGTTGTCCAGAGTCTTATGAGTACCTCATAGTTCAAAGGATCAGGCTCCCAATATTAATTTTTGTAATTCCTTACTCTGCTGTAGTCTGATTAGTGCCTTATTGGGAAGATTCGAAGTTGTTCCAAGGAATTAAAGAAATACAAGACTTTGGTGATATTTATTATGAAACAAGTCTTTTACAAGCAATTTGAGCTATGCAGAAGAATGTGATTGGCAGCTGTTGCAACAGAGGGGTGATGTTACGAGATCAGCAATAATGGCCTGGACTTGACCAGAAGCACACAAATATTTGGAATAAAGATGAAATCATGAAAAATTATTCAATAAGGAAAGAATGAATTGTTGACCATCACATAACTTAATATTCAAGTTTGATTTTTGTGTGAAGAAGTTTCTTGGATAAAAGATTACATTAATATTTTTACCTGTTTGAGAATTTAAAAAAATAAAGATTTGAGAAATATAAATAGTTTTGCTTTTCTTGTTCATACTCTGCCTAACTTAGGGTACATACAGATCTATATTTATTGTATTTTTCAAGGCTTGCACAAGTGTAATCTTTTACTTGGGTACAAGTTATTTGTTGTAATATAATCCTTTTCATTGACAAGATTTGAAGAGATCTTTAATTTTACCAAATCATTATTGCTCAAATAGATTAACTTGAATTGTTGCAGTTTTGCCGTGGATGAAGTTTTGTCTTATTACACAAGACAAATATTACAAATAATTAACCATTCAGTTACCTCCTGGGTATAAGTTAGTGGTTTTATCATAGAAATGTGTATGATGTTGGGAACGACTTCACAATCTGTTGCACGGAATGAGTGAGTCACTAATGTATGAAAGTGGTGAAATGGTGTAAATAATATGTGAAGGTTTTTTTTATTTTGAAGGAATGCAGAGTTGTTGTATGAAATATAGGTGGCACAGAATGACTACACTGTTACTTGTATCTAAATACAGCTGTATGTTTTATTTGTATGGAATGTGTAATTAATTTGTTGTTGAGGATGAGTAAATATCTTGTGTGGGTTGAGTGCATCGCTAAACAGAATGAGCTACTCCTGTATGCTGTATAGTACACCACTAAATAGAATAAGCTTCTCCTGTATGCTGTATAATGTTTGTTGTATACTGTATGTTGAACAGAATAAGGAGTGTTCAATTTATGGAAGGAATGCAATATTTATTGTGTGGACAGAGGTCTATTTTTATTGCAAGATATTAATTGATGATTTATTTTATGGTATTAAGAGTCTTGTCTAATGTTTGGAATGAGTATTAAGTTCTCCTATGGAAGCAAAACCAAGTAATAGCATTGAAATGCCAAAGGAAACACCATTCTCCTAATGGCTACCTTTCTCTCACATTCACACAGCATCTCCAGGCAGCAGTCTACCATGTATTCTCAAACTTATATAATATCATAAATATTCCCCAATTTATTTTGCTTCTTTCTTCCCCATTCCATTGCAGTCAACATAACCTGTGGGGAAACCCTAAGTATTCTGATAAATATCCAATTCCAAATAGGAGAAAATTTTGACTGCACTAAATTATGTCAAAAATATTTCAGGCATTGCTGTTTGATCCTTGACAATACAATGTGTTGAGAATTGGCGATCAGTATTTGGGAAAGATGCCAACTACTGGTCCACCATTTTGCTTTGAAATGTGGCAAGAAACATATACAACACACATCAAGATATGGACAAAATAATTGCATTCAATGTTATATGGAATGAGTGCATAGTTTGTATAAGCTTTTATGTCACTGTTTTATTTGGAGGCTGGCTATCATGGAAATTTATTATTGCGATGATTTCACATCATAAACAGTTTGAAGTAAATAGATTTTTTTTAATTACATAGAAACAGATAGTTTTTAATAGTTAAATTTAAATTTTACTTTAAAACTATTTAAAATTATGCTGTATAATTTTTTGTGAAAATTATTTGCTTTCTTATTAAATTAATAATTAATATAGTAAATAAATTTAATGAACAATAAACAGTCTTGTATGAATTATATAAAGCATGATGCAGCCTCTCCTTATATAAGCTTCTCTCTCTAAACATTGTCTGATACTTAATACTATAGTGAGATTTTAAAAATGAAACAAGTGATGTCCTTTGGCAGTGAGGAGGAACAATGCTTAGACCGAACTGGACACAGCATCTCCCTAAATGTAAATGTTGTGATTCAAATACAGCATCAGTAATTGAAACAAAAGATTACAATTATCGAAGGATTTATATCAGACAAAGACCCATATTGAAAATCTAAATTTCATGTCACTATCCCTCAGAAAAAAAGTGTCACCAACAATAAAACAATACCAGCATACAGTAATGCAATAATATAACATACCCTTCAAGAGATGCAATGTCCCAGGACTAGACATTATGATTGTTCAAAAATTGGACAACACGTGACACCAGAGGTCTCCCACCAGACCTGACCTAATACCATGGTAACCACATGTCTACATGTTTATTGTACAGTATAATGTGAAACTATGCAAAAATACCTACCTGTAGTACATTATGTTCTGATGGTTAACATGACTTTGAGACAGAATCTGGCATTAGAACCTCACTGAACAGTTGTGTAAAGACTCGGGCATTCCTGTCATTTTTTCATAAAATTGAGAAATGGACTACATATAAATAGAGTAAAATATCATATTTATTATAATATAAATCTCAGTATAGATTCTGATTCCTAACAACTGAGAGAGAGATGAATGACATGTACATTGCTACCAGTAGCAAGACACATCTGTTCAGTTCTGTTAAAAAAAAAATGGTTCCTACATTACTACTAAATACATAAGTAAGCTAAGCCAAGTGAATATTAGCACCTTCAAAAATATCACCATTATAATATTAATTTATCTAATAATAACTACAATATTTTCAGCTTCACATATCACTAATGTTACTATTGAAGAGGAAAGAAAGCACTAAAGACTACTAAGTACACTAAACTCCAATGTACATGAAATACTATCATGGAGAAGAGAAAATTAGAAAAACATGGCAATTTATGCAGAAATCTGCTGTCAATCTTATTTTCTGGCAATTATTTAAAGTCCCAGGTTAATGCAAGTTTGTATCACGACACTCAAAATTTTCTGGCTTTTAAAACACAATGTACTTGTTTCTGAAAACCAATATCTGAAATACCATTTTTTTCATTTAAGAATCAAAGGTTTAACACTGTCATCACTGGAAATCAATTACATATGACATGTTAGTTTGTAAACATTATATCAGTAAAAACTCTGAATCCACAGACAAGTCATTCTGGAAGTCTTGTCACCCACTGGGTGTGGCTGTATATCACTACTCAAACCAGCAGCTTGTGGTTACGTATATATATATACAGTATATATATAATCACAATTTCAATGTGAAATACTTAGCTGTTTTTTTATGTATCTTGATTTAAAAGAAAATGTTATGGATCCACATCCACATATACACTTTATGCTTTATCTTAGTGTGTCACAATGATCCTAAGGTTTACGTCAAGGTCACTATGCGCTTGGTCACTGATGTTAGAATAATCGAGCGGTCGTCCTGTAATCTCTATATCGTATGTGGCTGGTTGATGTAAACGTCGGCGGAAGTGTAGTGATGTGGTTCCATGGTGTGATCGCATTTCAAACACACTGTCTTCATTACCTCTCACTAATTCATATTTTACATTATTCTGAAAGGGAATAAAATTAAAATATATTTATTGTAGAAATTGTTTTTAAATCTGTACCGTTTAATTTGTTTACAGAATGGTAACTTCAGATTCATATAAAATATTGAGAGTGTAAGTACAATAAAATGAGGCTTGTCTAGGCCACTATTTACATATAAGAACTCAGCCTTTAACAGTCCAAACTTCCATATCTGCAGGCATCTTTCATTAACAATGTGATTACACTAAGCAAAAGAAAACCTGGTAACACCTTTGACAAGAGATGCAGATTCCATGTCATGTCATGATGGAGAATACGGGGCAAATTCCAACATATTCCAGAGACACCCATCATAAAATACTGTACAAATATGATTATGGCAATCACAGATTTTCCATCTGGATGTTACCATTGATCGTGTCATATTGAAAATACTCTGTACCCTGTATATGCTATATTAATACAGGTGCTTAGTTTCTAAAAACCATAAGGTAACAGTATACAAATGCCATGAGCTAAAGCAGTCTTTTTAATCTGATATACTGTACAGTATAGTATATTACTGATATGTTATGGCCAGTAGTGAAATGGTATTATAATCATCTTAACCATTTTTATTATTTAATTTATCTACAATCTTGACAATCAGAATGGAGATATGTACCATAGTAGTTGTACTGTAGTTTGTTTGAAGTTTATTAAATGTCTAAATTATGTTACCTAATTTTCTTCATACATGAAAAGTGAAAGAGGGTCACACAGGCCTGATGCCACATTAAGGATGGTGTGGATAAACACTGTATGCCAAGTCTTTTGTGCACAAGGAGGAAGTATAGGCAGTTTTGCACTTGACTGCCTTCACTTCCCCAACTGTAAACTTAGGTATCCATTTAAAACTTGATCAATTATGGATGCACTAGGTGTCAACCAACAACTCTTAGGACTGGAGGCAAGCACTGTATCCAGTCAGCTGCTGCACCACTAATGGTACACAGGAATACTTAATGTTTAAGAAATATTTTTCCATAATTAGAAATCATAAGATCTTTGGAAAAGACTGTTTCTGATTGCCTGAAAAAAAAGAACCACCAAAGATATGATTTCACACTGGTATGTTCTGCAATTAATGAAATAGGTGATATCTGATAAAGCACAATATGAATACCCAACTTATGAACATCCACACTTATAAAAGGGATCCCAATACAATATATTCATCATAAAAATCTGTAACTAAAATCCCATTTTTTACATGACCTTATATTGTTTAGCATCACCTTATTTACAGTACAGTATTAAATTATTTGTTATGTATGGTATATTACTGTTGATTTGTGTGGGCAGGATTGTGCTTTAAGCTAATCTAACCTAAAGAATTAACACCGTTCCTACTTACGAACAGGGTCTACGAACGTAACTTGTTCGTAACTGCTGAAAAATAAATTACAGTACAATATATGATTATTAGCATGTGTCAGGAACAAACTGTATCGACCACAGCGCTGTGCAGAAAATAAATAATATTTAGTAAAAAATTACAGGAAACAATTGTTATACTGACCTGTAAGTATGTAATTGCTGGCTTTAGTTTGATAAGTCTCATTCTATGTTTAGTTTGATCAAGGGAAACTTTGAGTATGATTGGATTTTTGGCTGCTTTGAGAGATATACTGTCTTGTCGCTTGAACTCTGCTTGTAAACTACGCCGCACCACCTGTTGTTGCAAGAAAAAATCAACATAATTAATAATAAATTGGCTCTTAATTTTTAATCAGTCTCCAACTGTACCTTTTACAAATTAATATAAATTGTACTTAATTTACCGAGTCTCTGACCATAAATCAAGAACCAAGCGGACTGTGAAGAGCTGCAGAAGGACCTCTGTGGGCTCCAAGAATGGTCGAAGAAATGGCTGCTGTGATTCAATGCCATGAAGTGTAAGAGGATGCACCTGGGGTGTACCAATGGTTAGGAGGCGTATCATATGTCCAAATGGGATGAAGAAACTGCACTATTTGAGACTGAATGTGAGAAGAACCTAGGTGTGTATGTTGACAATGAGCTGAAGTTCTCGGGCCATTGCAAGAAGGTAAATCACGCAAATAAATTATTGGGTCTTATAAGAAAGTCGTTCAGATATCTAGACGGTCCATCCCTCGAAACCATCTTCAAGAGTGAAGTGCTTCCCCATCTGGAGTACTATCACCCCATCTGGTCCCTGAGATATGCTAGGGACTGTTAGTTGGTTGAAAATGTTCAAAGGAGGGCCACCAGACTGGTGCCTGCCCTTCAGTACCTCAGCTACCCTGAGAGATTGGAGTGCCTGAACTTGCCAAGCTTATACTACAGACGGGCACAAAGGGTGACCTAATTGAGGTGTATAAGCATCTCAAGGGACACTACTCAGTCGAGTGTCCTTACTTGGAGCTGGCGGACGCTCTCCCCACAAGGGGTCACAGCTCAAGATTGAAGAAGCCGCAAGTCCAGAAAACTATGAGGGCAAACTTTTTCGGAGTGAGAGTTGTGAACTCTTGGAACAATCTACCAGAAAGTGTTGTGATGGCACCGAGGCTCTTTCAAGACAAGACTTGACCAACACTGGAGCGGGTTCAGGTACATTCAGAAGCCGGTGCATGCCCAGTACTTGCCAACAGTACGTAACAGAGATGTGACCAATTGCCCAAGCAGCTAACGAGCCGATCTTTTGGTGAAGAGGATAAAAGAAAAGGAAAAGTAATCAGAGACGTGACCGATCGCCCAAGCAGCTAATGAGCCAATCAGTGGCGAAGAGGATAAAAGTAAGTAAAGTAAATAAATGTTTTTAATTGTATGAATTGGCTATGATAATTTATTGTTTTTCATGGCAGTTTTTGAATCACTGAAATGAATACAAGAATTACAAGAAACTATTCTAAATCTAAGAACATGCTTAGTAAAATATTAAAATAAACTTGTAAGTGAACCCGAGAACAATAAACCAGAAAATTGATTATAAAAGACACCAATTTGGGAACCCTAGTATGGGGAAGTGGAGGCAGCACCTGTAATCACAAAGAAAATGACAGAGCCATGTAATCTGGCTGCCAACCCAAAGAATACCTTGACCTGATGTGATTTAGTTTAACATGAAATTTTCTGATCGTTCACAGGGTTGGTTAGGAAATGGTATACCCGGTAATACTGTACTGCAGTCCTTGCACAGTTTGTCAGTGACCACTATAGATTTTCTAGCAACTCTGTCAGTTGTAAGTAATAAGAAAAATCTAAAACCCTGCTGCTAGGTTTAAATATTGTGTGAGCAAAAAGTTGGCAGTCAATTAGGTATCATCCAAATCCTTATTTATCTTACTTACCTAATAGCTACCCACTAGTAATGGCCATGCCGAGGGAAGGAGGCCAGTGGCCTGTGTTGGATTCATCCATTGTTCTTAACAATTTTGTCAAGGGCTATTTTGAAACCCAGTACACTCCTGTTCTTAATTCCACAGATTGGGCTAGAAAACCATTCCATAAGTCTACCACCCTCTATATGAAAAAGTATTTCCTTATACAGTACAGTATTCGTTTTGCAAGATAACTTGGCAAGCTTGTAGTTAAGTCCTCTCGTGTTGGTGGTGTGTGACATCACAAAGAAATGTCCAGGGTTCACATTTTCCATCCGTTATAGGATTTTGAATGTTTAAATGAGATCTTCCCTATTGTGCCTTGTCTAAAGGGTTGTTAATCCTAAGGCCCTCAGTCTTCTTGGATAATCGAGATGACATACCCAGTAGTTACAGAATCATCGTAGTCGCTCTGTGATGCACCTTTTCGAGGGATGTTAGATCTTTCTGGAGGAGGTAGGGTTTCCATGTCCATACACAGTAATCCAGACTGGGATGTACTTGAGATTTGTACAGTTGAAGGAGCATTTTCCTATCATTGTATTCAAAGGTACTCTTTATTATTCCCAAATCTAGATTTGCTTTCCTCACTACTGTGCTTTGGGTTATTGTATCTTACATGTAGGGTCTTGCATTTTGTAATGTTAAAGAGCATTTGGCAGTCTCAAGACCATATGAACAGCTCATGCAGGTCTTTCTGAATTGTTGCAACATTGTCTTGACTTGCTACCTTCCCAAATATCTTGTGTTATCCTCAAACTTGAACCCTCAACTCCATTCCGTACTTTGTTATTAATACAGTACGGAGTAGACTTGAGAGTAGACTCAACATTTTTAATAAATTTCTTAATGATTATTTTTGAGAGGATTTTCCCATTATTTTTTATTTGTATGTGTTTTGTGTGTCTGTGTCTACACACACACACACACATAATACATTACAGGTAAAAGTATTAATTGTCCTAAGGGCAAACACATAAGGGAATATGCATTTCTTTGTACACAAGTAAAAATGTAACCCCCCCCCCTCCTATCAGCAAATGTTCTTCGCGGATTTGGCGATTCGTGGCCATTTTGAGAACCTAACCCAGAATTTGAAGGGCACGCTGTACCATGAATTTGTAGGTATGATAATGTTTTACTAAAAGAAAGCCGTTAATTCAGAGTTGCTGGTTTATAGAATGCAAGATAAGAGATGCAAAGAGAGGGTCAACCTGCACTGATCTTGAAGACAAAAGACACAAATGAGTTACCTAATGAAATATGACACAACACTTCTTTACTGCATTTTTATGATTTAACCCTGTGAATGCCTATGCCAGTCTTAAAAAAATTCTGAAATGCAAATGATTTTCAGAGTGTGACTAAAAAGAATCTCATAAAAATACAACGCAAAATCGCCAAAAAAAAAATCATCATAGTTACAAGTAACCAAATACTGACATTAAAAACAATAGTGGGATTCAGTAAGATATTGATCTACAGCTCGGAAAATGAAGCTCAGATTAATTTTTCTGTATCTGTGAAATTAAAAAATTACAAACTTGGCATAATGCAATATAAATACTGTACTCCCACCACATTCATATCAAATGATCCATTTTAACACAGTGTATACAATTGTAAATAACTTTAGATGACCAATCAATATACTTACCCTATGTGTATAGTTGTTAGCAAGAACCAACACTACCTCGTCATCAGTAAAATTAGCAGTAGCTGGGACTAGTACCAACTGGTTCAGAGCAGCTGATGATACTACTGATCGCCTCCGCCGCCCAGGTGGACTGTGCTTCCCATTAAACTAAAAAATTTTTAGTTAATTAGTAAAACATATTTATTTATGATTAATATATTACATGACATTTCAATTGCAACTACAATTCATTTCCTTTGAATATCCTGACTTAATGAATTAAATGCTGGAATAAAATCTTAATTACATATTGGAAGATACTTCTATAACTCGAAAACCCCCATAAGTTTGAGGAGACTCTGAGTGTCTGGCTTGGGGGGGGGGGGTCATGTTTCGGAAGCAAGCATGAGGCGGCAGCTAAGCGAGGCATCAGTTACTGCATGTCTATTGTCAAGATTACTGTACCATCACACACACTGGTTTTTTTTTTTTTTTTTTCATAACCATTGCTTCCCAAGAGAATTATTTTGGCATCTAAAGCAAGCAAAGGCAAAACAACAACACTATGGAGGACAACTGGGAGAAAAGGAATGACACTTAAAACTCTACCAATGGAAGAGAAACTGAAGACACATGTGGCAAAATTGATGCTGGGTTCTCCATGAATATGATATGTGGGGAATTTGGGCTGAAGTGGAGTACTTTTTATGACACCAACCAGATTTAAGAGTATTAGATACAAGTGAAACTAAATATAAATGTAATTAAATATAAGTACGTATAATTAAATATAAAGTGCAATTAAATACAGGGTACTGTATAAGTGTAATTAAATATACTGTAAAATGCAATTAAATATAAGTGTGAATATACTGTAGGTGTTATAAGTGTAAGCAGCTCTCCATCGTCCTCCACCTCAAGATTCATCTGCTACAATTAAAGTAAGTGCTGTGTAAATGTTTAATGATAACTTTAATATTATTTCTTGATTATTTTTTTAGCAAAATTTCAACTCACTATCAGCTTCAACGTATTTAAACTCCTTTATATACAGTCAACCCTCACTTTACGCGGTTAATTGAACCCACGGTGGCCCGCGTAAAGTGAGAAACGAGTAAAGTGAACAACATAACATATGGGATTAATTGAAATAGAGACCAGACCGACCCCCAAACTCCACTTTTTCAGACACAATACCTACGTTGTAGTAAAAATAACTTCTTAATTTTATGATGGTATGCACACACAATTAATAATTAAGAGAAATATCAATAATATTAGGTTTTTTAACACTTACATTAGTAGAAAAGATGGCTGGGCACATGGGGATGGGCGGTTAGTTCCGAGGCAGAGGGCAGATTATTGGCCCTCACCTGTATCACTTGTATCAATTGTATCACTATCCACCACAGAGGCTTGCAGGGCCTCTTTGTCAAACCACTCAAAGTCCATATAAGTCCATATCCTCACTATCATTATCACTATCACTGACTTGGGCCGGCTGTGGTGGGTGGCGGGTGAAGAACTCGGTAATGTTTTGATGACTGGGCGACCTTGTGCGCACCCTGCTCGCGCCGTCTCCGCGTAAAAGGGTACACACACCGCGGAAAGTGAGCATTCCGGTTTCGGCAGGGTACCGCGTAAACGCGTAAAGTGGGACCGCGTAAAGCAAGGGTTGACTGTAATGCATTTTTCTATATATTCTTGGGGAGGGGGGGGGGAGGGAGGGGAATATATTAGGATATAACTACTGTATAGCTAGTTTTGGTATTGTTCAGTATAGCTACTGTTCAGCTAATCTGAAACTTTTAATTCACCAGCATTTCCCCACACATTTAACTGATGTCTTCTGATTATCATCAGCATTTTTCTCAGATAGTTTACAGTAGAAATAAAACTAAAATAATTAGGTTAGATAAAAACAGTGAGTTTTAAAATTATATACTGGGTTTGGCTGACAACATAATCATGGTTTGTTTAAAAAAAAAAAAAGCGAAAAACTAACTTATTATGTGGGAAGGTAATCCTTGCCTCTCTTATACTTCAATGATTTTTGAAGGTATGTCTGTAGGGATTTCATTGGTTTTAATGAGTGACAGTGATACTCCTGTGTGATAATGTTATCATGTAGATATACTTACAGAGTGCTGGTGAGGCCTATGTCACTCAGGGAAACACTTGGGTGAAGTCACATCTCACACACCCTAACACTATTTTCCTTTTATAAAGGTACAGTAGTTCTTTATTCTCTTCTTCATCTATGATCTCAAAATGCTCATTTTCATTTACCTCATATGAAATGAGCTCATTTCTCTAATTTTAAATATGCACATTTGCCAATTCATTCTATCTAACTTCTGTATTCATGACCACTTGGTAACTTTTCCGTAACACACCCATCTCTATATTATATTCTAGCACCCTTGATAATTTTTTTTCATTTTCACCATGTCAGTTCCAGTAATTTTTTAATGCTATTTTTAAGAATCCCTCTAAACTATTGGCACTCCCCAAGCAAGATTACAGATTTCTTTTGTACTGCATGGTAAAACACCAACTTACTTTGCATGAGAAGCAACCCTCAGTGGAGATGATGTTTTCATTGCTGCCATGTGGGTCTTGTTGGCCGATAGGAAAGGTAGGAACGCCACCCAGATCATACTGACTTGATCCATAGCTGTAGCTACCACCAGTGTAGGTGGTCCCACCAGCATATCCACCTCCACCAGTGCCAGAACCGTACCCACCAGGAAATCCACCAGTGGCAGTACCAAATCCACCAGAACCAGTAGTAAATCCACCAGAACCAGCAGGAAATCCTCCAGGACTACCTCCACTAGCACCAAATCCACCAGTACCACCACTTCCAGCACCAAATCCACCAGGACCACCACCTCCAGCACCAAATCCACCAGGACCACCACTTCCAGCACCAAATCCACCAGGACCACCACCTCCAGCACCAAATCCACCAGGACTACCACCTCCAGAACCAAATCCACCAGGACCACCACCTCCAGCACCAAATCCACCAGGACCACCACCACCAGCACCAAATCCACCAGGACCACGACCGCCAGCACCAAATCCACCAGGACCACCACTGCCAGCACCAAATCCACCAGGACCACGACTGCCAGTACCCCCACTAACATCAAATCCACCACCACCAGCTCCAAAACCAACACCACCACCAGGAAATCCACTACTGCTACCACCATACCCAGGGCCATAACCACCGCTGCCAACTGGTGGATTTAAGGTGGACATACAGTGACCCTGTAAAGTGATAGACATATATAAACATACAATACTGTACCTAGGTAACACCCATTTTATCACTTTAAAAGCCCTAAAACAATTTTTTAGGTTAAAATCAATTTATTTACAAACTATATATATATATATATATATATATATATATATATATATATATATATATATATATATATATATATATATATATATATATATATATATATATATATATATATATATATATATATATATCTTAAACTTTATAAATGTTAGAGAAAAATGTCAGCCCTGTACCAGGGCCTTTATTACATATAATAAGTCCTGATATAAATAAATAAATTCAGTCTATTTGTGGAGTTGTAAAATGTGATTTGCATCATAGTTTTTTCACACTGGAGAAACATTATCTAATGTAGAAGTGGTCTAAATTCATATACAGTATAAAGTTTAAGTAACAGAGAATCTCAACAAGAACTCTACAGAATCAAATATATCCAACAATCATTTTATTTTACTTTTTTATGGGGATTATCCAACCTGGGCACAGGTCACTGACCCACATTGGGGCCTGGGGGCAAAAATATAGTAATAATAATAATAAACAGTAATCAAACTTACAGAGCCAATTCTTGAGAAACCTGAAGGACAGCCACACGCAACAGCATCATCACCCAGAGCATTACAGCCAAATGCACAGGGACTGGAAACACAGCTGTCATCCACCTGTAACATAATTCTTTACAATTTCAGATTGTAGTGACCAGGCATAATGAAAATGTCTACTCTACCTACAGTCCTGTATCTCTATCATTGATATTAGGACTTGAAGGTGACCACAGGTTGAAACTTTCACAAATAACTAAATAACTTCACACCTGTAAGAATTAAAGATTGTGCCTATGCTTGTAACATTTGTTGTAGGAATTCTACACACCATTTCCTCTTTAAAAATAAATATCCCCATGCACCTATAAAAGAATACTGTGCAGTGTCCTATTATACAAAATGTTTTCAAAGCAACATCATTGTAATCTTTTCAAGACACCTGTCTCTTACCCAATCCACTAACTACACTTACTCAAAAATTCTTTCTGAAAATCCTCATCTAAATATTTAATATACTATACGAGTTTATCCTTAAGAATAAAAAAACAAACAAACACTATCTCATGTTGAATTACTTGTATCTTCAATGTACAGACAGTTAAATGGAATCCTCATGAACAAACCTGAATACAGACAAACAGGGCAATGTTGAAAGAATATCCATTAGGACAAAGACATTTGTATGAGCCAAGAGTGTTCTGACAGTCTGCAGAGCCACACATAGTGCCCTGGGAACATTCATCATCATCCACACATTGGTTGTAGTAGTGGTGGCGGCGGTAACCATCTGGGCACCCACACAAGAATCCACCCTGTAGATTCTATATAAATACATAATACAACATTGATTAACAATAAACAAATTTTGGTTCAGTAAACATTAGAAGCAAAAGTAATATCAATAAAAGTAAACCAAGTATATAAAAGCAGTAATCATCAATTAAATTATAAAAGTTCAGAGAGTTCACCTCGCATCCTGAGTCACAAGATCCATCAACTGTGCATTCATCAGAATCAATACACATCGTCCCTGAAGGATCAAGACGATAGCCACGAGGACACATACACCTAAAGCTTCCCCTTGTGTTTACACATGTACCCAGTGGACCACACAGACCCGTCTGCTCCAAGCATTCGTTGATATCTGATTGTAAGAGAGGATTGCTTTTTTCTCACTTCATTTTGATCATGCTATTTTAGAAAAATACTTATTATATCATGAATGACAAAAACATCTTAAATTTTACGGTAAAATTATACAAATAAAAAGCTATCTACATACCAATGCACTGCTCGCCAACTTCATTGTAGCCCTGAGCACAGGTGCACTTGTAAGAACCTTGAGTATTGACACATTCATTTTCACATGTGTGTTGACCAGTTGCACATTCATCAAGATCTCTACAAGTGATGCCATCAGGGTTAAGAGTATAGCCACGTGGGCAGGAACAACGATAAGACCCTTCAGTATTCTGGCAAGTAAACTTGCATGGTGGAGGTGTACGTTCACACTCATTCACATCAATACACCTTGTTCCTGAATGGTCAGGCTTGTAACCTTTATCACATATACAGCGGTAAGAGCCCATAGTGTTGATGCATTTTCCATTCCTACATAGATTGGGCATCTGGCATTCATCAATATCAAGGCCATCTATAGAAAAGCCAGCCTCCATACAAATTTCATCATATTCAGGAGTGCCTCGACGTGGACAGTGTTCACACATTGGACCCCAAGCCAGACCCATTGTGCAACAGCAGTCAGCCTTGGTCACCTGTTGGGATAAGATCCATATTCATTGTTTTAATAAAGATATCTCAAATCTTTCATTTTGGAAATTACCAATAAAATGTTCAAAGTTAAGCATAGGTTCACAATAACAACAGAATGCTAGTCATACCTTAACCAGGCTGTCACTTGTGGTTGAGCACATACCACCGATGAGCTGCCTGAAGCAAAATCCTTCACGACGATCAATACACTGTTTTCCATCTCTGCTGGGTACAAAGCCTTCATAGCACTCACATCTGTATGAACCCTTGGTATTGGTGCATCGACCACTCTTACAGATGTTAGGGTTGAGTGCACATTCATTGACATCCTTACAGTCATCAGTCATGCCCACCTGTTTCATAGTTATGGAGTGAATTCAGTGTTTAGATAATAACAATCTAAAAAATACTGAACATTTTATTCTATAGAATTTCTTTTAGAACACCTTATAAGATAAAGAGTAATATTTAGTGTAAGACATTAACTGAAGCTTAACTTGAACTGCAATACAGTATGCTTCTCACTGAAATATTGAGTGACAAAAAAAAATCCATTTTGTATAGGCTTCTCTTATTCATCTATACTTTGCTTTCTATTCCAAAGCATAAAAGTATCTGGAAGTGGATTTTAATAAATTTTCAAAGACAGCATGTGTATTGTAGTCTCCAAGTCCCTCTTCTCTCTGTTGTCATTAACAACAAATTTTCATGAATTGTATTTCTAAATTTACTAATACTGTATCCATACTTCTGGTAGTGTATGACAACGTAGCAAAGTAAGCCATAAATACACCAAATCAAACAATATAGATTCACTGCCAAGTTATGAAATGATAAAAAAAAGGATTCAAGCGCATGACAGTTACTCAAAAAAGTAATGTAAGGAAGTAAACTTAGGGGATACTGCACTCATATGGAATTTACAGTTCACACACATATTTATTATCTCAGAAACTAGATCATACCTGTTGATATCCTTCAGGACATATGCACATGAAAGTTCCAATCAAATTTTTGCAGAGAAATCTGCAGTTGTTTGCTGGAGTGGAGCATTCATCAACATCTTGGCAGTGGCGACCATCAGGAGCTAAAGTGTAACCATAAGGGCAAATGCAGCGGAAGGCTCCAGCCATGTTGTGACACCGGAAGGCACATTGGTGACCAAGTTCCTCACACTCATCAACATCCTCACAGGTCTGTCATGCAAAATATAAGATTATAAGACCATTTATGTGCACCTTTGTATTGTACATTAGCATATACCTGTATTACTATTCTGATGTCTTCATAAAATATTACAGCAGAACCTCTAAAATTTAGAATAATTGGGACCTGGCCCTTTCTGAATTTTAGAATAAATCAAAAGATGTAAGTATATTGCAGTATGATATGAAAACATATCACTTCAAGGAAAGACATTAATAAATGCATTACATGAGGCAATGTGGATATTAGTGATGACCTCAATATGTATGTAAAAATCTGTTTTTTATGGTAATATTTTCAGAGCCGGAAGAAGAGAAAATATTGTACAATGTCATAAGATGCCTGGTCATCATCAGTACAGTATTGGAAAAATTAGATATAAAGTATTTGAAGAAGTGTATGAGTACTGCATATTGGGTGAGTGCTTGTGGTCTTGGTGTTGGCTGGGTGAATATCAATGATAACCTGGAAAGATGACTGGGCCAATCGGTGCCATGTATGGGCTCTGGATAACAGTGGCACCTCCCATCCTTATAATATATATATATACAGTGACCCCTCCGTTAACGAACTCAATCCGTTCCAGAAGGTCGTTCGTTAACCGAAAAGTTCGTTAACCGAAACCATAGTTTCAATGGGTTTTGGGTAATTGGTTCCAGCTCACCGAAAATTTCCTAAATTCAACAAAAATGGTAGAAAAGTTCACTTACTTTGAGGTGTGTATGTAGAAGGCTCCTGGATGATGATGATGATGATGATGGGATTTAGAATGGGGGTGGAGGAGAAGGAAGAAGAGAAGGCATTGGGGTGGAAGAGAAGTCACCCCATGGCGCCATTTCACCCCTAAAATTTTAACTCTCTGGTGTAATTCAAGATTATTTTCTTTAAATCAACACTGCACTGCATTATATATTGTCAATATGTAAAATATATTTCAAAATGACCAATAATTTGCTTGGAAACACAGAAAAAAGCGTTTAGTTGAAGAGAGTCTCAAGCAAGATGTTACCTCCAGTGAAAACAGAGAGAGACTAACTCCTGTTTGCTGTGTTAAGAAGCTGGATGCCGCACATTAAACTAGTCACTTTACCTTCAATTATGTTCAATAATTGTTAAAATGACTAAAAAATTGAATATTAAACTTTTAAAATTATTGAATAGTATAAACTTCTTGATATTTACTAAAATAGTAAGGAATTTAAGCCCTAGAACCGATTAATGTATTGGCGGACTGATACTAAAGCTGGTTGCCCGGTCAGTGCAAGCGAAAACATGTTGAAGTCGGTTTGTAAGAACTTCGTTAACCGATTTTTTTTCGTTAACCGAATTGAAGATCCTTATGGAAGGCAGTTCGTTAATCGAAATTACGTTAACCGAGGTGTTCGTTAAACGAGGGGTCACTGTATATATATATATATATATATATATATATATATATATATATATATATATATATATATATATATATATATATATATATATATATATATATATATATATATATATATATATATATATATATATATATATATATATATATATATATATATATATATATATATATATATATATATATATATATATATATATATATATATATATATATATATATATATAGTACAGTACTGTATTATTAAACTCATGTCCACATACTTGCATTGGTCCTGGGGCAAATCCATCTTGGCAAGAACACTCAAACCCACCCTCAACATTACTACACGTTCCATTACCACATATGTTGGAAAGTACACACTCATTGTCATCTGTAAAACACAGGGAAGAATACGTTACTATAATTCCATGTTATCAAATCAAAACCTAACACTGAGCAACACTATTCTCAAAACATTACAATGCTTCTTTTTTGCATTAATTTTCTTATCATTCCATATAAAATATTTCATACTTATGTGTAGTTAGCACCTCTGATAGTTACTAACCTATACAGCGGCGCCCAGAGCTGTCAAGGACATAGCCCATGGGGCATTCACATCGGAAGGAACCATCGGTATTAACACAGTCACCTCCTTCACAAGATCCTGGCATGATCTCACACTCGTTCAGATCAGCACCTGACTCTGATCGGCCAGGACCAAGTGGGCACAGCTTCTCAAACTCAGCTAAGGATTGTAGAAGAGTCAGTACAGTAATCAACTTCTTTTAAATTATGTGTCTGCAACTGAAAAATAAATCCAATATTATGTACAACATTATTGCCTTAATGTTCTGAGGCCTAATAAAACACTAGCAGATGCATATACATGTCTCATTACTTTGTATATGACTCACCTGCAAAATGTTGACTATCTCCACATTTTTTATAATAATGTGTAAAATATCCAAATAAAAATTTGCCTAACAAGCATTCAGTGTTTTAAAACATCAGAGACTCCTAACCAGTTTGATTTTCATCCCCCAAAATGAATGAGCTATTTTCACCATTTTTTATATTTCCTTAGTGGTTTTATGAGGGTTTTTATAATTGCCAAAGAAGAATTTTTTTTTAATCAAAATCGAAATTTTTCTTTTTCAAAGAAACACTGGCCAAGACAATCCTCAAAGCATGCCAAACTACAGATATATTTTATATAACTGTGATACAGAATTACATAAGTTGTACAGGTATAAGTAAAAAAAGGAACACATGAACTCTTGCTTCCCATTTGGGCATTGTAATGCTTGAGCGCTTTGCCTCCCACATGATCTAAGGGGGTGCCAAGAAAGCTAGCCCCTGCACTGCAAGAAGCAATTCTGATTCTGAATGCCCTTAGACTTCTTATAGAGGTACTGTATGTTAAGAGTTATGTTTTCCAAATCCCACAAACATTGGAACACTTTGTTCGAAGATAACCGATGGCTTCAAAAGAGTGACTAAAGAAAATGTTAAGTCAAAATGTGAAATGAAGTGGAGTATCATTTGGATGTACTACAGCCCGCTAATGGTGCACATGTTGAGGTACACTGAAGAATTTATTTTTGAAGCGCAAATAAATAAATAAATAAATAAATAAATAAATGAATACGTACATACATACATACCTGTGACCAACTTTATGATTACGTAACATCACTGCTCCTGTTAGTCATGTTATTTGGATAAAAACATCAATGAGTTTTAATATAATAGAAAAATAAACTAAATATATTATGTGTTCAAGGTTAAAAGTGCATACCCCCCTGTACTAAACTTCTTTGTCAACAGGTTTCAGTAACAGCAGCAGCTGAAGAGAAACTAAAAAGCAGCAATGACATATGGAGGCAAATAAAATCCATTTTACACAAAATTTAAAAGGTGGACAAAGGAGTCAAAGGAAGTAATAACACAGAAGAGTTTGAGATTAGAAGAAAAGGAAGGTTGGATGAAGTATTGGTGAAGAGTCAGGATAGGTGAGGTACTGGTAAAGAAGAAGGATGAGTAAGGTACTGGTGAAGAGGCAGGACACGTAGAAGAATGGGTGAGGGAGAAAGATGGAAAGGATATATGTTAATGAAACACTGTACAAGTGAAAGAACAAGATGAGCAACACACTGATGAAGGGAAAGGCAGAATGGGATACCGAAGAAGAATAATGACTTCATATTGGTGAATGGGCACTTTGGGTAGTGATTAGGCTAATAGTGATTGAGAAGAATAAGTAAAATGAGAATAATGAACTAGATAGGCACAATCCAGTACAGGTGGAGTGGGCAATTAGAGTAGAGTTGTAAAAATGATAACAACTCACGAGAACTGATGGGCGGGCAGCGGTCACAGGTGATACCCCAGGCAGCACCAGAGGAGCAACAACATTCCTTTTTGAGAATCCTCACAGGCCGGGGATCGAAACATCTACCTGCAGTGCATATTCAAATCAATATGCTGCTTCAAAGCAAAATATACATATGGATTCTTTCATAATAGGAATAATGACTGTACAGTCTGATGGTCTTTGGGAAAATTAATTTCTTAAATTTGAAATTGTTCTATCCACCTGAATATTAGACAGCATGAACAGGGCACAATGCTATGGTAAAAAAATAAAAACCCAAATTTTAAGATGTAACATAGTTAGTTACTGTACATGACAACTCTGCTTTATTTTTCTGCAGTTTTGTGTTACTTATATTTTAATCTTATCTAATACATATTTAAACCTCTGAATGTACTTTTCTTTATCTTAATTATTACATGGATACTTATGAAATTTTGTGCTTAATAAATACAATCTTTTACACAAAATGTTTTCTGATCTTGAAATCCATTACATTACTGTGATAATACCATATATATATATATATATATATATATATATATATATATATATATATATATATATATATATATATATATATATATATATATATATATATATATACACACACACACACACTCACCTCTTTGGTATTTCTCATAACACTCTTCCTGACGACGATCAATACATTTTGTACCATCTGCACTCACTTCAAAGCCAGGTGGACACCTGCACTGGTATGTTCCACGTCCATTGACACACTCGCCATTCTCACAGATATCCTCAATGGTAGCACACTCGTCAATATCTAGAATTGAAATAATTTTATAATTTGTTGTGAGCTTGTACATCTTTTGACTTAATACATTAATACATAAGTTTCAGGACTTAAACTAAAAGAAGCACACATCATTGAAAATAGGTGGCTTGTAGCTACCTCACAGAGGGTTATTTTCCATTATTACTGTAAGATATTGGTGGCGGTATATTTTTTTTAAGTATTTGTGAAAATGGGTAAGACAAATAGTCTACTTTATTCATTTTATTCAGCTAAGCCAGGGGTTTTTTTTAAGTATTTGTGAAAATGGGTAAGACAAATAGTCTACTTTATTCATTTTATTCAGCTAAGCCAGGGGTGGGCAATTATTTTTGATGGAGGGCCACTTCATGAATGGTGGCACACTTCGAGGGCCACAGGTTAACAGCAACGAGCCAGTGTTGCTGCTATGTCCACCCAACTTGCAAAATTGTCCTTTCTGTAATTAATAAGAATTTTTTTTCTGATTGTCAAATGCAGTGGCAGGCCACAGAAATAATTTGGCGGGCCAAATGTGGCCCGTGGGCCGCACTTTGCCCACCCATGAGCTTGGGCCGCACTTTGCCCACCCCTGAGCTTGGGCCGCACTTTGCCCACCCCTGAGCTAAGCTGCAGTTAGAATATCACCTTGTCCTGTTTGATTACTGTACATTAACAAAAATACTTCTCAACAGCAGCTGTCTTTTCACTTCATAACTGGGCCCCACAGTTATAAAAGTAAAAGGTTTCTATATGAAATGAGTGTTGACCTGACAATTGAAAGATAACATGAAGATGGCAGTCTTCCCAGGCTATTTCTCCACTTCACCCCAGTCTCAAAAATCATAACTGGGTCAAACCTCTAACTTCTCTTGTCATCCTTATGTCTAGCTGCTTGAGCCACATCAGCTAGACAAAGTTTCATTGATCCAACATTTCTGGTCTTTCTGAGTTTCAATGGCAGCTAAAAGGTTTCAAATATACTTAATATAGCTTACATCCTTCTGTGCATTACTTGATATGATGTAAGGTAAGAAACTTACATGATAGGGAAAATGGCCAACTCATTTGAGTAATAACTGTTGATGGTTTTGGTTGCTTTGCAATTGTTACCTAAAACTGCCAGACTGTGAAACTGGCATTCTAAGACTGAATATACGAGATCCTAAAAACATTAACAGTAAAACAAAAATATTTTATGAGTGGTGGTCCACCTAGACTGAATATTCAGTTGTCAAGGATAATGTAACAGGATAATGGTGACCCAAGCTCTAGGTTTATGGTTATTCTTCAGATATCCAGGTTTCCACCAGATATCAGCCAGAAGAAAGGAATTAGGTACTTCCTTTATTTCAATATGTAAATTTTACAGACCTCTTTAAAGGACCTGAGGCTTTCATAGTTGATTACAGGGTAAGAGTTCGGAATTTTCTTGTGGAGTTGGTGGTAGAGTGGCAGCACCAATGCATCCCAGGTTCAATCCCCAGGTTAAATGTGAAAGGGGCATTTACCAGTGATCCTGCAAACCACTGCAGTTTTCTCAAGAATATCTGTTTTTCTTCAGTACTAACACTGCACAATGAAAGGCAACCTCATCCAGTACAATGAAGGATTAAACAAACTAACAGCTTCTTTTCTCAATCAAAGAGGTAAATTTGTAGCCCAAAACATTCCTGCATATCTGAGTTTTATTCCTTACTGACAGAATTTTGTTACTTGTTAGATTTTTATTCCTAATAAAAGTCTGCTCGCACCACTAGCATCAAGGAAGGGAAGAAAATTCTCAATGGTGTAAATACTGTACCATGGTAGCTGCAAACAGAATGTTTACTGCCCAAGTAATTTTTAAAGATTTTAAAATTACAAAATCCCGAGCTTACGAACTATCTTAGATCAACCTTAAGCACTTACCTTCCTCTTATAGTACATTTGAAGATGCTTTTGTAAAGATAATTGGAACTAATCTAAAATAAATTTAACCCAAAACTGCAGTAGTGATTCGCTGATCAACCTCCCAGTGCGCAAAAATCACACACAAAAAACATGTAATGTATATCTATTTTTCCCAAACATCATTTTAACTCCTGTGGATTAAACAATACTATGTAGAAGAATGTGGAAATCAAATATGAGTCCATTACTTACCTTAGTTTGGCCACCAGTCACTCAAGGCAGAAAAAAGATTCTAACCTCTATTGTTCACCCCAACGCTCGACTTATTTGACAATTTCACTAAAAGTAAATATACAGTAGTTGAACCTTTCAACATCACTCTCAATGTATCTTCAATGCAATGTTTCAGCTATAAGTAGGTATGGTGCAGTATATATATCTTACGGTAACACACGCAGTCATTCATAATTTCCAATATACTGTATAGTATATACAACATCAACATGAAATTTTGTGAGATTTCTGAAACGGAGGATAGAGAAAACATACATCTCAGTAGGGGGGACTCAAGAAACTGACAAGTGTAATCATCCCATACTTGACCCTGCAAGATATAAAAAATTTTGTGGGCTGCATTCAAAACGCTCTGAATTTCAGAATATATGTCGCACCCCTCCACTTATCATTCGAGAATGTATGTCACAGTTATTGGGTTAAATGAAGAATCCAAATTTTCATTCAGTTCAAAAACTTATGAATTATAGAAAGTTATTGACCTAACATTATAACAAATACTGTACCAGGGTGCTTTAATAAGGAGTTAAGTGATAGATCATCATATCCATTCCCTTTATACAGTAAATATTCTGTGTTAAGGAAACATATTCATTCTTTGTAGTATTTCTTTCTAATAACAGCAGACACACACCATAATACAGTACATCTGAGTGAATAAGTTTCCTATCATGACCAACTGCATACAGTACCTAAGCAACCAAGACGCTGGTTAGTGCCAGGCCATCTCATCCAAATGTTGTACGATCATGTCTCCTACATCACACAGGGATATACAGTATCAAATTAAACTTGAAAAAAATACAATAAAATAAACAAAATAACAAATAATAATAAACTCTGAATGAAAGAAAATCCTTGAAAATTTTCAGAAAAAAATCAACTGTTTGTCAAGTTTCCTCCAATTATTTGGACTGCTGCTCCTGCAATTATTTTTCATATCTACTTTTTTCATGATGAAAAGAGTGGTTCTCCTTATCATATGGACTGTTCCCAAGAAATTATAAGATACTATTTTCATGCATCATTTTTTCCCTGTTAAACAATCTGCTATTTCAGTTTACTCAGCATTTCTGTTATTTTTTCATGGGAGCAGTTCACAGTCCTTATCATTTTATTTCAAATTTTCTAATATGCTGTACTGTTGAAAGTAAACCCTTTCTTCACCAGGGTAATTTAAGCATACAGTAATACCCCACTTTACGCGGTTTCACTTTCCACGATTTCGCATTTACGCGGTACCTCGCCAGAACCGGACTTTCACTTTACGCAGTGCATCTACTCATATACGCGGGAAGCGGCGCGGGCAGGATGCGCACAAGGTCGCCCAGTCATCAAAACATTACCGAGTTCTTCACCCGCCACCCACCACAGCCGGCCCAAGTCAGTGATAGTGAGGATATGGACTTATATGGACTTTGAGGGGTTTGACAAAGAGACCCTGCAAGCCTATGTGGTGGATAGTGATACAATTGATACAAGTGATACAGGTGAGGGCCAATAATCTGCCCTCTGCCTCGGAACCAACCGCCCATCCCTGTGTGCCCAGCCATCTTTTCTACTAATGTAAGTGTTAAAAAAACTAATATTATTGATATTTCTCTTAATTATTAATTGTGTGTGCATACCATCATAAAATTAAGATGTAATTTTTACTACAACGTAGGTATTGTGTCTGAAAAAGTGAAGTTTGGGGGTCGGGCCAGTCTCTATTGGAATTAATCCCATATGTTCTGTTGTTCACTTTACGCGGTACCCCATGGGTTCAATTGATCGCGTAAATCGGGGTACTACTATACATTCTAATAAGATCACCTCTTACTTTTGTGTACTATAAAAATAAAGTACTGTGCTTAACATATAATTAAAGATTTACATATATATATATTCAATATCTTACCAATGCATGACATTCCATCACGAGCCAATGTGAATCCTTCAGGACAATCACAGATGAAGGATCCCATTAGGTTCTGGCAACGGCCAGGGGCGGGGCAAACATCTTCACGCTATGGAAGATAAAAATGCATAATGCTGAAGTCTTTACTCACTTTAGTATCTAAAATCTAAAGCAGGAGATTGAATTAACTGGATCATTAATATACCTGTAATTAGTTTTCTAAAACATTTTTTTTAGATAATTTTCAAATTTTGATATACAGTAATTAAAACATGGAATATTCATAACATAGATGAGCAAGTTAAATTCTCTTTGTGGGGGTCAATGACTTAGTGTTACTTGAAATCAAATTTATACCTATATACTGTATAACACTAAATGGAGAGTCAAATATCTGAATATTAATGTAAAACCTAAAGTATTTTTTTTTTCAGGGATTTGTATGGGTGTCATTATATACAGTACTGTATACATACATACATTACTGCTTGAAGCATTATAATCTTCAGCAAAGCAAACACAATGACAAACACTACTCAAAGGGATGCTTGTGAATATAATGCTTGGAATAACAGGTAATGACAGATACAGGTTGAACCTCCCTAATCCGGTACTCTATTGTTCGGCACCTCCCGTCGTCCGGCATAATTTTAGTTTGCCGGACGGCCGCTAGTACCCACCGGCGCTAGTATCCATGGTTCGGCATACCCTTTGTTTACATCTGGTCCTCGTAGAGTTTGGTGCGTTCCTAGATATTTCAAGTGTTTCTGTAATATTTCACTTGTTATTTACCCTTAATATGCCTCCTAAGCATATTTATTTTATTATTTCATTTACTGTACAGATATTTTTCTTCTTTACAGGAGAACATCACCAATTTATGTACAGGTACCATAATTATTTTGTCATTTTAAGTGCAGAATGAGAATTATTGTTTATCTATTTTCGTTTATTACAATTACACTGCACAGTAGAACATGGATATAACATGAGATATGTTCCAAGAGAGGTTACTTTAAACCGAATTCGCACTAAATCAAAGTGTTGTTTAAATAGAATAATTTAGTTTGGTAGAGAAACACAAAATACTAAAAAGAATGAGTCTACCCAGATGCACTTCAGCCCATCTCCTAGAATAAAAAAACAAAACATTGTTTTTTGTAGTAGAATTATGTTAAAACAAACACTCATAAATCAACACAGCTAAAATTAAGGGATGCAAAATGGTCTATTTACTGGCTTGGAAGATGGGGGGAGGAAGGGAGGTGAGGTGATATGTTTGACAGTTGATGCCAAGGTCTAGTGCTTATTTATTAATCTCTCCTTAAGAGTGACTTCAAGTTTTTCTCTTATAAAATGTCACTAAACTGACATGGGAGAATATAATTAACATTGCTGGAATTCTTATAAGATAGTGATTAATTTGAATATAAACATGCTATAGCTTGCATTAGACATACAAAGAGCAAAAATTTTTATCTTCTGCAAAATATATGATGTTTATATTCAAATTATTTGCTGTCTTGCAAGGATTCCAGCAATGCAAATTACATTCTGTTAACTTTAGTCTGTGATATTATATAAGATAAAAACTTAAAGCCTACTGTATAACCACCAAACCCTGGCTGGGAGGGGGGGGAAGGAGGAATGGGAGGTGACAGTGACATGTTTGACAGTTGGTGCTGAAGGTCTAGTGAAGTATTTATTTGTTTATTTATGTCCTTCAGCTTGAGTTTATGTTTTTTGCTTATAAAATGTCACAGAAGGGACCGGGGAGAATATAATTTACAGTACATTGCTGGAATTCTTATAAGATTGTGATTAATTTGAATATAAACATGCTATAATTTGCACTAGACAGAAATTTTAGTAATCATTTAGTACATTATTTTGAGTACATGTACAGTACAGCTTTGCCCTTAGGATAGTGTAGCATGCCCAGAGAAACATTAGGGGCAAAATGTGAAATGATGCGCCAGATTGGCGCAGCAATATTACTATGTATTTTACAAAGATCACCTGTGGTTCGGAAAATTCTATAGTCCGGAACCGGTCAGGTCAAAATGGGTGCCGGATTAGGGAGGTTCAACCTGTAAAAATAATATTTATAACTTCTCTGGTGTCTGGTCACAGCAGATTATGTCAAAGAAGATATTATCCTACCTCAGAGCACTCATTAATATCACGACACTGTTCTCCGTTGGGTGTGAGAGTATATCCATCGGCACACTCACATCTGAATGAACCTTCCGTGTTGCGACAGCGACCATTAAGACAGAGACCTACGTTGATCAGACACTCATTCACATCTGTCCAAAAGAATGTACTGTACTATAAAAGTTTGTGGGTTATGTATGAGGTACAGAAATGCACACTCACTTATGCACATGCATGCACATTCTATAAGAAAAAGATACACTGTATGGCAAAGTGATAAAAAACTTCTCTACAGCAAAGTTTTTCACCAAGCCAAATGCAAAAATGCATTGTGTCTGTGATCACAAAAAGAGGATATACAGTATAGAGCTCCAATCAGAAGATATCTACTCATAAAAACAGAGAAAGTTCCTCATTATCTATTCGGGATCAGAATAATGAATAAAATCAATTAGTGTACAAATTTACTGCAAAAAATACTTGGACCATTCTGATTTACATAAATGACTTTTATATTTTCATGTTCAGTCATATATGTATTTGTACTGTATACTGTATATTCCTTAAACAGTTTCATGAAGTACTTCCTCTGAAATAAATTTAACATCTAATTTTTTTACATTTCACTCCCTGTAAATCTTAAATACTGTACCACTTTTTCCTTGTCAGATATTAGAACTAAACTAAAGGTAGTAAACCAGTACAGCAAATTAATTTACAATTCCAAGACAAAAGAGTTTTCAAGCTATGCTAGAGTTATTATAGTGCTTTACATGCTTTAAGCTCAATATACTGTACAAGGTAATTATATTTCGTCTACTTGGTGAATGTCTTCTATCACAACCCTAATTTTCATAACTGAAATCAAATATCAACAAAGTGAAATACACGAAGCCTAGTAACAAAGAGATTACAAGTTATAACCTACCAATGCAGTCACGGTTGGGGCCAATCTTGAAACCTCTATAGCACTGGCACTGGTATGATCCCATGGAGTTGAGGCAAGTACCATTATTACAAATGTTGGGGGAACGTACACATTCATCGAGGTCAATGCATGAGGATCGGTCAGCTGTGAGTACATACCCAGGGTCACATATACACTGAAAGCTTCCTTGGAAATTGTTGCATACACCATGTTGACACACACCTTCTTGTTCACACTCATTGGTGTCTGCAGAATAATAATAACAAAAAATCAGGAAGGGAAAATATTATCAATAATAAATTCAACTGTTAGGGAAAAGTAACAATATGGTACTTTATGTATAAAATTTCTTTAAATGACATTATCATTATATATTACTTTAATACCCTGGTTAGTGCTATCCCGTATAGGGCTGTTTTGTTAAAGAGCTCTTGCTTGCATCTTGGAGCTCTAGGGGGGAAAAAAGTAGTCAAATGTCACGAGCTGCTCTTTGTGTTTATGCACTCAGCCAATCAGCTCTAAGCACTCTGTTTACAGTACAGTACAGTACAAATTTGCTGTGCTTACACTGTGACCACGTTCTTGTTGACTCGCTAATATAAAAAATATTAGTGACTAATTTATACTCATCATGTCTGGAAAACAGCAGCAAGTTTTATGCTGCTAGTGCATTTAAAGTGCCATGGAAAAGTATCTCCTTGAAGTATCTCCTTGGATGTGAAATTACAAGTGTTGAGGCAGTTGGAAGCTGGAGAGCATCAGGTGGATGTCGGTGCTGCTTTTAACTTGGCTACATCAACTGTTAAAACTATTGATAAGAATGCAAAAAAGAAAAAAGCTTCATCCATGACCACCAAGAAGTTCTCATATTAAGTATAAGTCTTATTGTATGACATAATATTGTGTGTGGATAACTGAAGCACAATGTATGGTGTGTTGGAGATCAGCTGTTGAGGAGTGCTTGGTAACACCTAGTGCATGTACCACTCCCTTTCACTCCACCTCTCTAATCACCCATACCTTTCTGCTTTCTCACTTCATATTTTAAAATGCTATGTAACATAATGTTACCTTGTAATTCAATTGCAAGTAGGAACATTATAGAATCTAGTCTAATTAAACATACTGAATCTGTCAACATGAATTTGAGTAATGGTATGTACAAATTGGATAACTTTGTGATTAGGATGATTTGTAACCAGGTGAAAGGGTTGGATCACTATTTAGTGACCAAAATATGGTGAACACCTGCTGTTCCTAGGGACTTGTTCTCACTCCTTTACTGTATATATTAGCCTTGTTAGTAATTACTCCTTAGTCTGCACTCACCCCTGAAAATGTGAATTACACGAAAGCACTTGGGAACTTTGTGCTTTCTTTTTTCCTATGTGGTTATCAGCATATGCATGGATCACGTGCACCCATCATCATCATCAACCAGCAACATTCTACATACACACCTCAAAGTAAGTGTACTGTACTGCACTTTTGTTTAAACTTTGTATGTACTTTTCTGTGAGTTGGAACCAATTACCCAATATTCCATTGACATAATAGATTCGGTTAACGAACGACTCTGTGGAACGAATTGTGTTCGTTAACCAAGGGACCACTGTGTGTGTGTGTGTGTATATATATATATATATATATATATATATATATATATATATATATATATATATATATATATATATATATATATATATATATATATATATATATATATATATATATATATATATATATATATATATATATATATATATATATATATATATATATATATATATATATATATATATATATATATATATATATATATATATATATATATATATATATATATATATATATATATATATATATATATATATATATATATATATATATATATATATATATGTTATATATACAGGTTGTATCTCTCTAGTCCCGCATTCTGTGGTCCGGAACGATTTTAGTTTGTCCAATAGGTAGATAGGCAGCTTTTTTTCTTTTTTTTTTACTTATCTGAATTATTATTATTATTACAGGAGTATTAAATTTTTGCCCCTCAGGCCCCAATGTGGGTCAGTGACCTATGCCCGGGTGGGCTAATCCCCGTAAAAAACAATAACAACAAAGCCGCGGGAAATTAAGGTTTGTTTACATCCGGCAGTTCGGCTGCTCTCTCTCTCTCTCTCTCTGCTTGTCTATACAGAGTACAACATTTAACCCTTCAATATATATGAGCAGTAAATAAGTGTTGCTTTCATATTCTTATGTAAAGTAATGACGATATGTTTTCACGTGTGCGCACTTACATACGCGATCTCTCTTTTTTCTTTACCATTATCGTTAGCTACTTCTATTGTTCCATTTATTAACATTAAATAACATTACTTAAAACAACTATACTAATTTTACTACAGCTACAACCAAGATCTTATTTTCTTCAGTTTTATATGTAGAACCAGTCAGTCACTGGTTTTGTAATCAACAAAAGCAATGCTGTGTCATTTCCTCGTGTGTTTTAATATTCTACGTATTATTAATGAATTGTATTGCTTATTTTGCACACATAAACATTAATTCAATAAAAAAGACATTCAGTAATAAACAATAATTAATCTTTTGTACACAAGAGAAATGACGCTGTTTACACGATTATGCACGTCGTCTGCACGTTGGCGGGCCATTCAAACCCATCGAAATTCAAGTTTCCGCCGTCAAAATTTTTATTTTTTTTTGTGTGTGTTCCAATAAAATACGTTGAATTAAAAACTCGCAAAATTTGAGAAGCTACTATACGACATTTAACCCTTCAATATGTCTTCAAAGAGACCATGATGCAAAGAAAGTGGTGCTAGTACTTCCAAGCATAAGCACAAGTCACTATCTGTCCAGGAAAAGGGTGAATTTCCATGGTCCGGCACCGGTCAGGCCCCGAGGTTGCCGGACTAGAGGGGTACAACCTGTATATGCTGATAACCACAGTGATTTACTTGCATATATATATATATATATATATATATATATATATATATATATATATATATATATATATATATATATATATATATATATATATATATATATATATATATATATATATATATATATATATATATATATATATATATATATATATATATATATATATATATATATATATATATATATATATATATATATATATATATGTATGTATGTATGTATGTATGTATGTATGTATGTATGTATGTATGTATGTGTGTGTGTGTTTCAGAGTTTGTACAAAAAAGACACACAACAAGGACACATACCAACACAGTCATTTGTGAGTCTATTGATCCTGTAGCCTGTAGGGCAAGAGCAGCGGTAACTCCCTACGGTATTCTCACACTTGGCCAGACCTTGGCATGGTGTCAGCTCATCACATTCGTTGACATCTGTAACAAAGAGTTGAGTCAATGAATCATAGGTTTAATTTAATATTTCTTACAGGATACAAGGTACAGTACTGTACAAATTCATGAATCCAAATACTGTACCTTTTCATATCCCTACTTAACACTAAAAGTCAGTATCCAAACCACCACCTCTATTTAAATAAGGACATTGCATGGAGAGCTCCCCAAAGCATAGTGGGTGACATACATCTCCAGCATAACCATTAAAAAAAATACATTGAAGAATATTAAATTGTATTATAGGAGGCTTTCCTTCCCTCAACCCCAATCTTGCATAATCAACCTTTCTCACAACAGAACTGCTAGATACTTTACTGAATCTCCACAGGAGGGGTTATGAGTCCTTTATGTAGTTCTATTGAGGCTCTGCCATTGTTGAGTTGTAGCTACATTGAAAAAGTTAGTTTAATGTAAATTAAATCAAAATGTGTTGTCATTTCTCGAATACGTCTGTTCGTCATGGTTCTCTCCACCGAAAAGCCTGCCAAAAATGACGTCACTATGTGACATTTTGTCACTCAAAATATTAAGTTTATACTTTACTTTGACAGACTCAGTGTTGTTTCATAAAGTTATTAGTCAGAATGCAATTATAATATAATCATAGTTAATTTATAATCTACTTCACCAGGAAGTGATTTACGAGATAGTTAACTCGTCCCAACCCGGTAAACAAATCTGATGTCCACTGACGCACATCAGATTAGAGTAATAATCCAACACCATTATTAAAACATTTATACAAGTGATTTATGGATTATATAAATTACACAGAGAAATCCATGAAATACTGTACCCCTGACAACAGCACATTAAACAATTAATTATTACAGAAGCCCGCCATCTTCAGATACAAAGACGCTATAAATCTTCTGTTGGCAAGCTGCCAATGGCAATATCTATGACACAATTTCTCGGTGGAAAGATACATAATAATTTCCCTTTCTCAATGTTTCCCATTGTGTCCTTCCAATTTCATCATCAATATCTATATTCACTCCCATTCACATTTTCTGCTACAGTATATTCTATAACAAAATATTCATAATCACTTATGCATACCTATATTATCTCACCAATTCAAACTCAAACTATTTTTTTCCTCTTGTATATCACTTAAGTTTTTAATAATTTTGCCTCATCAACCTTAGAAATCATTAAAAAAATGCTCAACTGTTTGCCTTCTATTACTCAGGTCACGGTTAAGGACTCAAGTTTCACTTGCAAACTAAGGATGCACCAGAACCATAATACTGTATCAAGGTCTCACCAGAACCGGAACTTATAAAATGTTCTGGCTGGAATCAGAACTTTGGATATTACAGCTATTAAAATTTTGCTCAAGTTGTTTAAGTACATGACATTCAAAAATCTTAGTACTGTACTGTATATTATCGGTAAATGTTAATTTTTATAGTAATTTTTCAAGTTAAAGCTACAAATATGAAGGCTTAGGTTATTTATTGTTTACTTAATGCAGTGGTTCCAAAACAGAGGGCTACAGTATTGCTCAAAGGTGAATCACACATGCTTGCTAAATGACATGCAACCTTGTATTGTTGATGCCTTCACTGCATGTGATATTTCATAAATTACATTAAATGGAAATCAAAAATTTTTTGTCATTATATATAATTATGCATATTTTGATTTTGATTTTCCATATATTTAATATATCATGTACCATGTACAGTACAATAAATATGATTTAAGATGAAATAAAATTTTTGTTACACATACTGTACATTAATATTCATCAACCATTCAGTACCTGTACTTCTTTATGCTGCAATATCCATTAGAAATAGAGAAGCATTAACAGTGAATTATATTTTAATTTATGAAACAGTAAACAGTACCACTATAAAAAGTTCCAGTTCCGGCCGGATATTTTACCAAAGTTTCGACAGGAACCGGAACTTCATAAAAATTAAGGTTCTGGTTGGAACCAAGTTCCAGTGCATCCCTATTGCAAACTTTTACGTGATGTGTAATCCTCTCGCCTGCAAGCATATATAATTTTGATATAATATTCCTATAATAATAAATTTAAAAAAGAGAAAAAAAAGGCTTGCTTCTCCAAATACCTCATCCTTATTTTGTCATCCTTAATGAAGCTACAACCACAAGATTTTAACCTCTATCTATTTAAAGTTATTCCATTTCTTTTATGGAGAGTATTTATAAAATTCTATAACCTAGAGAAACATGACATATATGCCACTATTGCACAAAGAAATAAAAGTAACTTTTATTGCCTACCAACACACATGTGACTGGGTTCATCATAGTGGAAGCCAAGATTACACTCGCAGCGGAATGAGCCCATGGTGTTGATGCAGCGGCCATTCTTGCACATCATGTGACCCATCAGCTGACACTCATCAAAGTCTTCAGGTAAGCCAGTGATGGGATTGATCACCTGGCCAGGATCCACTGGGCCAGGACCAAACTCACGTCCAGAGTCACCAAAGTCATCTCCAAAGCCATCTCCAAAGCCATCTCCAGGTCTTCCATCTCCTGGTCTTCTATCTCCTGGTCTTCTATCTCCTGGTCTTCCATCTCCTGGTCTTCCATCTCCTGGTCTTCCATCTCCTGGTCTTCCATCTCCTGGCCTTCCATCTCCTGGTCTTCCATCTCCTGGTCTTCCATCTCCTGGCCTTCCATCTGGTCTTCCATCTCCAGGTCTTCGTCTTCCATCTTCAGGTCTTCCATCTCCAGGTTCCCTACCCCTAAAGTGTGTTTCTTCTGACTCTAAACTATCTCTGTCTCTATCTCCTGGATGTATACCATCTGGACCAGTAATTCTAGGATCAGGATCTCCAGGGCGTCTAGGCCATGAACCATCTGGCAGTCTTCCATCATCAGGTCCTCTTCCTCTTCCTCCATCACCTATTGGACCAGGTCCTACACCATTTCCTGTGTAACAGAGCTCACTGTAGGCCACTGTAAAAAAAAAATTTAAATAAACAAAATGACTCAATATCAATATATTACTGAAGAAATGTAAACTCTCTGGTGCAGTGCTAATAGGGCCAATGTAAAAAAAAATCAAAATTTTCAGGAGAGGCAAAGTATTATAAAAAATTTATTCCTATTGTAAAATTAGCCTTTAAATATATATTTGCCCAAGGCAAATACAGCTGGAAGCCCCCCTACTAGAAAACTTTATGTCCCAGGTTGCTGATCTGACTTTCTGCCTCATTTACACACAATTGCAGGGTCTCAATTGTTTCTCTTACTTTGACAACACAACATATATATATCCTTTCTCACTCTTGACTTGTTTTATTTTTTCCATTTTTGTATTTATTCATGGTTCAAAACATTTTCAACCTCCCACGTCTAGATGTGGGTCAGTGACCTATGCCCGGGTGGGATAATCCCTGTAAAAAAAAGTATCAGAAAATAATGCCATTAAAGTGACATTCACCCATTTTACATCAAGGTGATCAGCAGTTGTGAGTACTGTACCACATTACACATTGACCATTTTGCAACTAATACTCTGTAACAATTCTTATCATGTTCATGAACATCGTAAATGTTCATACTGCAAGATTTGGACACAGAAATGCGATTCTCAAATAAAAATATACAAAAGCTCATTTTTAATGGCATGAATATTTGCCATACATTGCAGCTTCAAGAGCATTGCAGATTACTGAAACTTATAAAACATAAAATATGATTTACTAAAGTAACAGCATAGTATTTTGCTTAAGTTGTTTAATGATATGAAAACCCAAGAATCCCAAACAAAATTGTGAAAATAATAATACTTAATAATCCTTTTGGAACATGATGAAACACAAAATAACCCAGGATATTTCAGCACTAACAAACTTCCATTAGCTATAAGACATCTTTGACCCCCAACTTCTTTGGTTCATCAAGGTAGTACTGTAATCCCCATTACTCTCTGAGTCATCCCTCTTTAAGGCTCTGTAGAAGAGTTGGTTACCTTCTCAGATAAAAGGAAGGAGATCCAGGAAGTCCTAACATTTTTAGCTGGTATTTTTTCATCCAGATTATATCATGTGAACCAGAGAAATCGTCTTGTCTGTCCTGTGATATTAAGAATGCCCTTCCTTGTTCTCATAAAAAGTAAAGATTGGTATGATATTGGCTCAAGGCACCTTGTCTACTCAAAATACCAATAGAGATAGAGTTTGGCCCTCCTTGCACTAAAACATACCTCACCAAGATATTGTTTCATAAGCAAACTTAAAAATGAGCTTTTTTGGACCTTGGACTTTTTTTCTATCAACTGGAGATTTGAAAGTGAAACTACAAATAAGTAAAATCATTAAAATTATATCAGATAGCTTAGAATAAAAACAACTTATATGACTATTTGGTCTATCATCTTTAAACCTCAAATGGCGACCAAGGATTTCCAACTATGCCCTCATATGCACAAACAATGGAATGCAAGGAAAAATAACACATTCACTGATGTTGGCTACCATTAAGGATTAAAAATTATTGGTTCATGAGAAAATATAAAAATTGTAGCAGACATGAATGTAAATTCTTACATTTACAATTCAAGAAAACTACAGTACCAATGTTTCATTATGCATAAAAGTATACAACAAAGAACTACTTACATGTATTCCTCCCCGGACATGGCTCACAATTGGAACCCCAAGCAGCACCCATTGAGCAACAACATTTCATTTTTGTGATATCAGCCATCATTGGAACACTGCAATCTCCATCTTCATACTTCATAAAGCAAGTTTCTACCCTCATATCAATACATTCAGCTCGGTTAGGCAGCAGCATGTAACCTTCTGGACACTCACACTCAAAGCTGCCGATGGAGTTGTGACAGAGACCATTTTTACATTTATTCCTGTCAGCACATTCATCGATATCTGAAGAATAACAAAACTTTGTTAATCTATTAGTTACACATCTTTTCCATTTATAGCACAACAGTTTAATTTCTTATTATGTTTGTATCCTGTAGCCTCATTCTTCTATAATCAGTAAAATACTTTCAAATGAATTGGGCACACTCTTACAATGTTATGATTCATTTCTCAGAAAAAGTAAATTTCCTTCATGGGGTTTATCGTGGTGAACCTAAAGCCTCACTGGTTTTAAAATTTTCAAAGTACCCACACAGCAAGGAATTCAAAGCACTGATTCAACTCTCTTTTTCTGTAGATTTACAATGATTTATAAGGCTACACAATTCAAAACCCTATACATGGCAGGCTATGGTAGAGATTGTTCTAGTCAGTGGAATCTCAAAAGTAAGTGCTTCCATCGTTTTTAACTTAAGAATTGATTTCATTATGGAGATGAGCTGGAGCAAGATACAATTCTACCTGACAGCACAGCAGGTTAATGGAACATTTGGGTAGGAAAAAACAAACAAAACAAAACTTAATCTCTCTCTCTTCCCCTTACCTATACAAAGTGATCCTCCAGCATTTAACCGGTAGCCTCGGTCACAAGAACACATGAAGGAGCCAAAAGTGTTGGAACAACGACCATTATTACACAAGTTCTCCATCTCAGCACATTCATCAATATCTTCTAGAATTACCTGAAAAATTAATTATAATTCACCTTATTTTGGTAACAATTGCCTGATCTTAAAGGAAACTATCTTTGATGACAACTGATGAAAATCTGCAATAATAAAACTACTTTATATTTCATAAATTTACAATTATCTTATGGGATCTATGCTATTCAACCAAGTCTAAGGGGTTAGAGTACAAAAGTACACCCTGTAAATAGCAGCTTGGCACTAAGCAAAATATTAGCTTCTACTTCCAGCTCTAACCAGAGCCCTGCCAAGGTCTCTTTTGGAAATATTTTTGACATTTGAAGCAAAAACCTGTCAGGTCATTGCCACATCAACAATTTCTTGTTGTTGACAATATGAAACACACTACCTACAGCTGCTTGCATACTCACAGTGATGGTGTTTGGTCGGAAACCTTCACCCCCCGGGCAAAGTTCTTTATATTCATCAGAATCCTCAGGCGGACACACCTCACACAAAGGACCCCAGCCCTTGCCAATAGAGCAGCAGCAAGTGGGCCTAGTTACATGTTCACCTAATGGATCACGGCATACACCACGTCCGCCTCGTACACCTACTACGTCTAGATAACATTCACCCTTACGACGATCTGGCAATGGAAAAATATATTATGAAAATTCTTCTATCAATGATGTTTTCACTTCAGTATTAAGATTTTATTTGCAGTACTGCAAAACCTGTTTTCTTTAGTCTTAATCTAAAAGTTAAATAAAAAGATTACATACCAACACATCCTTCACCACTGCTGATAAGTTCATAGTGAGGTGGACACTCACATATATATGTCCCTTGCTGGTTGATGCATGTGCCATATTGACACACATCAGGATTATCACACTCATCAATGTCTGTACAGTTACCACCAGTTTCATCCAAGTGGTAGCCTTCATCACAAATACAGCGGAACATACCAAATATGTTCTCACACTGGCCATACACACATAAGTTACTGAACATATCACACTCATCAATGTCAACACAAGCTTGCTCGCTGTGAGGGTCAGGATGCATGAAGCCCATTTCACAGTCACACTGGAAGGATCCAGGGTAATTAAGGCATTGGCCATTCTCACACAAAGTTGGGTCTTGAGTACACTCATCAATGTCTTCACAGAAGAAACCATCTCCACGGAAGCCAGCATCACAAACACACTTGAAGGAACCATCTGTGTTTATGCACTGTGCATCCCGGTCACAGCCACCATTGTTGGTTAGACACTCATTTACATCTCGACATGTCTTACCATTACCTGAAAAAGTTGAACAGAAAAGCTACTATCACAATTTTGTTGAATTCTTCCTCTAAATTAAATGTGGTGGCACAGAGTATTTGACCATTTCTTGGTATAAGTGAGATTAATATTGAATGGAAATTTCAGGGTGAGAGAGATTCAAAGAAAATAAATGGCTATAAAAATCGATGAGCGAGTACAGAGACTTTTCCTGAAATGTTTAAAAATTTTATCGACACAAGGTATATATGCATATGTACATAGAAGCAGAGGAAGGACGAGTTGAAGATGATTGGGAACAGTTCAGATGTGCCATCTTAGAAAGTGCAGGTAAGGTGCATGGGAATAAGATATTAGAATGAAAAACAAGACGAGGAAATAGTAATATGAGAGGTTGGCAGTCCTGCTCATTAAGGAGAGGAGAATGAAACATGAATTCTTGGTGCAAGATAGGACTGACAAAAGAGGGGGGAAGAGTATGGAGCAATTAAAAAGAACATAAAAAAATGGCAATGAACACAAAATAAAAACAGACGAAAGATGGGGAGAAGTTGTTACAAAGTTTTAGAGAGAACAAAGAGGTGTTCTTAACCCTTTAACTTTGGGAAGCCACTTTTAATATTTTATTTGGGTAATGCCAGACATCGAACAGTGAAAAAAATTATGGAAAATCAGGTTTTCTTAAAAAATTAAAAAAATCTGGTAGCCTTTAGTTCACTCACTTCTCACTTCCAAGTATGAACGATGTATGAAAACATTTACTACACTAAAACAGCAATTAACCCCTTCATTCGATGTTGGGTGGTTTTGTTGTCATAACAATTTTATAAAGAAAAGATTTCATTAGTAAGAATGAATGATTGACAATGAGTTATGGGAAAATGTGTGTGCATATTTGCTCTAGTTTCTGGCCACTCTACATTAAGCTGGCAAATGCATAAATAAAAGAGTAATGCAATCATACAGTTGGAGTTAAATAATGAACAAAAATATGGAGTTTGTCACATAATGTAAGTTTTATAATTTGACCATATGCAAAACGTTAAGAAACTATCTTTCATTTCAACAATTCTTGCAAAACAATACAATGAATGCCTTACCAGTAAAACCATCTCGACAGCGACACTCATAGGTGCCATCAATATTTACACATTCAGCATTCTGGTCACAGCGGAAAGTACCAAGGGTACATTCATCATCATCAGTACAGCCAGGGCCCAGCTCTGATTTGACACTGTAGCCATTCTCACAGCGACATGAAAATGATCCCACTGCATTGTCACACTTGCCATTTTGGCAAAGGTTGGGGTTCATCTCACATTCATTTACATCTGTAACATAAAAGAAAAGTAATTTACTCAAAGTATTAATTCTATAACAGGGACAAGTACTTCTGTAGAAGTCAGTGTAAAGAGAAAACTTTTATGGTGAAATAAGTTGTCCCATAGTCATAGTGTTATAAACGGAAGATTCACCTCGGATTTTCTGATGATGAAAAAAAATGTATTGTATATTAATAACAGGGGCAGATCTGTAGGGGGGAGGGGGGGTGTCCAGACCCCTTCTTTTCATTAGAAAATTCCAAAACAGTACTTTTTCTTTAATGCAGCATTGTACTCAGGCTTTCTGTATAGTAAAAAGATATTACTATTAACCTCAGAATATCTCTTAGTATCAAGTGCACATGGCCTCAAAATGCCCATAATATTGGTCAGATTTCAAAAATTTTCTTGGGGAGCTTACACCTCCCCCCTAAAACCCCCCAGCTGGGTAGGCTCACTGTGCTCACTATGTTCCCCCACCCACAACTTTATGGACCCCCCTTTTGATATTCCTGGATCTTCCCCTGAATAATAATTATAATAATAACTGTAACTTTGGGGCTTTCATTTGTATAAAAATGCACAGGATAAAAAGTTAAAAAACAGAATTCACTTGACACAAACAACACATCCCCGATCCAACACTAAAATGATCCTGAATAAATTATCCAGAAGCCTATTTTAATAAAAGATCCGTTATCCAAATACCTGAGCAGTATTTTGACATGATATAATGATGGAGACTCAATTATTTTATGGGAAAAAAGAAGTAAGCAATGTTGATATCAGAGTCTATAAAGTCGGTTCTAATTAACTTAGAAACACCATTTTTATTACCACAAAAAAATCACATATAGTTTATCTAATATATTGGTTAAATAAACATATTTAAAAAATAAATAAACAAATCTATAACATGGAGCAGTGTGTGTCACAGCCAAGACAATGGCATTTTCCATCCTACACTAAGGAAAATTTTCCCGCGAGTCAAAACGACTCATCTCATATGGAGCTGTATTTATTTATACAAACACCTCTGTACATGTACAAAAAATTGTAAATAAACAAAATAATGTATACAACTACTGTACTTACTAGTAGATGCTGTTGTTTTGAGCCTCAATAGGCATACTGTTCACTCTGCTGAATGTAATATGTTCCTGTAATCACTTTTTTGTCTTAGCACTTGTGCTGGATTAGTGGGTTTCATATTACTGACCTTCTGATGCGATGTCCGGTCACTCATTGTTGTGGTGAGGGATCAGTCGGTCTGATGACCTGAAGATGTCTTGAATAAAGATGGAAGCTAAGGTGCTCCAGTGTTTCCCACTTACTGAATGTACATTATTTTTGCACGTTTTTTTTTTTGTACAACCTCCAAAATTCGGAAAAGCCCAGGTACCGAGCATTCTGAATTTTAGAGGTCCATGCACTGTGAATCCAACCCAACTCTGAGAATGGTATAGATTGTAGTGGAGTGGTGTGGTCTAAAGATGTTTAGACACATTTTTAAAAAAAATGTATGACAGGAAAACACACATATCAGTGAAAATACCTTGTAGATGGCACAGTTTTTTACTAAGTTATCCATTTTGTATGTGCAAAAAATATGTATAAAGGGAGAAATATAGTGAGGACTGTCTGTTTGGTATCAGATACCATGACAAAACGTCTGTAGCTGTCGCCTTCATTGATTTCACTAAAGCGTTCGACCTAGTCGACCACAATATAATCATCAACAAAGCTATTGACCTCGGGCTTCGGAGAAGTCTTATACCATGGCTTACAGACTTCCTCAGTGACCGACACCAAGCTGTACGCTTCCGAGGGGCTGTCTCCACCTTTCAGTCACTCACCTGTGGCGTCCCCCAAGGCACCAAGATGGGACCACTCTGCTTCCTTATGCTCATCAATGATGCCCTAAGAGAAACCCCTGCTCGCTGGAAATATGTCGACGACTCCACCATTGGGATCAGCGTCAACAATTCTGCTCCCAACTATACCGCCTTCAGGATTTATTGAACAGTCTCCAAAACTGGGCCACCAACAACCATGTCACCATCAACCATACCAAGACCATGGTTATGCACATCAACCTCTCCTCCGACATTGTCCCACCTCCTTCCATTACTCTAGGTCCGAACACACTCCAGGTTGCAGATTCCACGAAGCTCCTCGGCGTCACCATAGACAACAAACTAAATTGGAAACCACACGTCAGTGAAGTTGTCAAATCCTCCAGTTTCCGTCTCCACCTCCTCCACCGACTCAAGTCCCTCGGAGTTCCTGCACACGAGCTCCTCAGTGTTTACACAACATTCATACTTCCCAAGCTCACCTATGCCTCCCCCACCTGGTCTTCCTCCCTAAATGCCACACAACGTAAACACCTAGAAAAAGTGCAAAAGAGGGCATGCAAGATTATTCTCTCCCTTCCTACTCCACATATCAAGAAGCGCTCAACACACTGACCCTTTCGACTCTCACTGACCATCACCACGACCTCATCTGCAAATTTGGTAAGAAGCTTCTACACCATCCTCGACACCGCCCTACTACCACCTGAAATCCCTAGTCCGAGAATTGCTGTTCGACACCACAACCGCATCCAGCCCATACGTGCACGAACTGATCGCTATAAGAACAGCCCAGTCCCAACCATTGTAAAAATTATCAATAACTTGTAATAAACCAGTGTATTCACTCCCAGTAAACACTACTCCTTGCACTGTCACTATGTTGAAATGAACTGTAGTTTGAGCTTTTCCCCATCTAGTTATTATATGTCTTATTTGTGTCACTTATGTTACTTGTATATTATTTGTAATTCGAAACCCATTCCCCAAATATGTAACTGTATATTTTCAGCCTTCTGGCTGCCAAGCTCTTTCAATAAACCGTTAATTATTATTATTATTATTATTTAAGTTTTCATAATCAAGAAATTTCTTGGATAAAACTGAGTGAGTGAAGTATGACTCACCAAGACATCCAGGACCATCAGCATCTGGAAGTAGGCCTCCCTCACAGGTACACATGTAGCTGCCTGGAGTATTGGAGCATGCACCACCTGCACAGATTTTTGCATTCTCTGGTGGAAGAATAATATGATTTCATGCCAACAAAAAATTTTAAATAGTAAATTATCATTAAATTAATATCTCAGAGTAACTTCCATACAGAAGTACAATATACACTAAAACTTCAGAAAAGATGTTTCTAAGCATCAGCAATGGGAAACTAATCTATCAAACCTCATACAGGTCTCTCAGAATTTGAAAACATGAAGAAGCTTGTCTCTCAGAATTTGAAAACATGAAGAAGCTTATCACTTAAGTTAATAATAAAAAAAAATTAAGACATCTAACTTAAGATTTTCATATACTGTATCTAAATGAGCTTTGTAAAAGGAAATCTATCATATTTAAGAATCCAGTAATGTCATAAACTTGTAATTATATTTCCTCTTCTGATCTAACAATTCAGATTTAGAAGATGTAACTTCAACTAAACATACCATCTTCAGTAATAAGACAGTTGGTGAAAAAAATAAAAAAAATTATATTCCTCTGATATCAATAATAAACCCACCTTTGCACTCATCAACATCTGCACAGGAGCGGCCATCCATGAGTAGCATGTAACCAGTGGAGCAGGAGCATGAGAAAATTCCTGGGGTGTTGATGCATACATCATCGCATCCACCATTATTCACGCCACATTCATCAATATCTATATAAACAAATCAAAGGAACATATAAGGTCACATTTATTATTTGAGAAAGAAATTTTGCCATTAACAAAACTTACGTTTTCAAGAAAGTTCTTCATAAAGTGACTGAAAATCTTTGCACAACTTGATGAATGTAAACAAATGGATAGACCAAAAGAAAATACATTAAACAATATACACTGTACGGTAGTTGTTCCTAATAACAGAATTTCTTTTATATATGTCTATATAAAAGCTACTGTGACTATATTTTATCTACTTATGAATAAACAATGCAGTAACAGTAGATAAAAAATATGGTTATCAAAATTCGTCATGTACTCAGTAAAGATTAAAAAAGTGGCCCCCCACCTTCACAGTGAGACTTCTGTCCAGTCTGTTGATATCCATCATTACACATACACTGGTAAGTGCCCATCATATTCTCACATACACCATTTGAGCAGATTCCCGATGTGCGAGAACATTCATCAATATCCTTACAGAAACGCTGGTCTGAAGACAGTTCATGTCCTGGAGGACACTCACATCTGGGAACATAAGTAATCCTCAAGTAAGGAAAGACATAACTGAATGAAGCATGAATGATAATATTTTTTAAGCAAGAACTAAATTAGAATTTTAACAGAAAGAGACTAAAGGGGACAAAAGTTCAGATAACTGGAAAATTCAGATACGTATACAGTAGTTGGAATTTGGATAAAAGGAATTGCACTGCTCTGTAAAAAAATTAAAAGGTAAATGATTAAAGCAATTTACATTTAATATCAGAAAATTTTTATTTAATTACAGTCAACCCTCGCTTTACGCGGTCCCGCTTTACGCGTTTCCAAGTTTACGCGGTACCCTGCCGAAACCGGAATGCTCACTTTCCGCGGTATGTGTGTACCCTTTTACGCGGAGAGCGGCGCGAGCAGGGTGCGCACAAGGTCGCCCAGTCATCAAAATATTACCGAGTTCTTCACCCGCCACCCACCACAGCCGGCCCAAGTCAGTGATAGTGATAATGATAGTGAGGATATGGACTTATATGGACTTTGAGGGGTTTGACAAAGAGGCCCTGCAAGCCTCTGTGGTAGATAGCGACACAATTGATACAAGTGATACAGGTGATGGCCAATAATCTGCCCTCTGCCTCGGAACCAACCCCCCATCCCCGTGTGCCCAGCCATCTTTTCTACTAATGTAAGTGTTAAAAAACCAAATATTATTGATATTTCTCTTAATTATTAATTGTGTGTGCATACCATCATAAAATTAAGAAGTTATTTTTACTACAACGTAGGTATTGTGTCTGAAAAAGTGGAGTTTGGGGGTCGGCCCGGTCTCCATTTCAATTAATCCCATATGTTATGTTGTTCACTTTACGCGGGCCGCCGTGGGTTCAATTGACCGCGTAAAGTGAGGGTTCACTGTAATCACCTATTTCCTGTTTACTTGTTTTTTCAAATCTGAAACTCCTCTAAATGCTAGATTTTCCTTAATTCTTTTACACTTTTTCTTCCACTTTCTCTTCTCTCCTTATTTTCACGACTTTAATTTTTATCGAATTCACTAACAACTTGTGTCTAGTATGTATTCTTCCAAACATTTTCACTAAATTTTTTTATTTTTCTATTGAACTGCCCACTAGAGCAATGTAATCTGCAAAGAGCAATGGATTTACCTCCCATATGGATGATCTTACCCTCTTCTTTGTCATTCTTACATTTACTATCTCACTAACCCACCAAAAGATATCAAACCACTGTATCAATACTACAAATCTTTGATGAAATCCTACTTTCATTTGGAACTTACTTTACTTTTCCTAATAAATTTGACACATGCTTTATTCCCCCTATAAAAACTCTTGGTAGACTTCAACAACTTTCTATTTAATCTATGTACCTTTCAAAATTGCCAAGACCTACCTGAAGCTGCCTGGAGTGTTGATACAACGACCTCCACGACAGAGACCAGTGATGCGGTCACATTCATTGATATCTGTGGAGCTCACAAACAAATACATGATAGATATATCTTATTATATTAAGCTCTGTCCATTATCAGAATTTATGTTGTTAATAATTTAGTTTCAAGGACTCTTTCTCTATTCATCAAATAAAATAATTTTACTAGATCCTGAGAACTGTGTATGAATACATGTGCAGTACAGTATGGTATTGTTATATGTATAAGTTACAGTACATGATTAAACTTAGAAAATTTCTATCAGGTGGGGAATTACAGTGACTATCATTCCTAAAAGTAAAAATAATATAATTTACAATAATCATGAATTTGTTCACTAAATTCTCTTGATCCTATCTTTACAACAGTATTATCTACATTGTCCATTAAGAAAAAAAAACACTAAGTGCTACAAGTTATGTTGTATTATTCAGCTCACCCATGCAAACTTGCATCATCATGGTTGATTCAAAGCCTTCATCACAGTCACATATGAATGACCCAGCAATGTTCTGACAGGTTCCATTACCACAAACACCATGCATGATGCCGCACTCATCAATATCTGCAGTAAAGATCAATATTCGCCTCAGTTTTGCATAACATACCATATATAATTTTTCATTTGCTAATAAAAATATCCAAGTGCAAAAACATGACAGTTATATGAAGTGCCTCAAAATATATTTAAAAGCAGTTGCGAATGTAATCAAAACATCAGCAAAACTCAGGACTTACCAACACATTTTACTCCGTCTTCATCCAGTGCGTAACCTTGATTGCAACGACAAGAGAAGGAGCCAATAGAGTTCCTGCACCGGCCATTGTCACACATGTCAGGGTACATAGTACACTCATTCACATCTTTACGTCCATCATATCCATAGCTCTTGGGGCAAAGTTCATCAAAGATATCAGTACCAGGGCGAGGGCAAGTTTCACATGCCTCTCCCCATGCCTTGCCCACTGTACAGCAACATGTTGACTTTCGGAACAGCCCCTGCAACAAAAGACATACATTTTGACTTAAAAATGCTGAAAAAGCTATGGTACAGCAGTAATGTACCATGAATCTCTCACCAATATATCAAGGGTTTGTGTCCTGCTTAGCCCAGACACACATTGTAAGATAAGTGTTATATAGTATGACCCTACTGAAACATCACATCAATTCCGGCTATTGGAGAGTTCTGGGTTTGAGGGTTCTGGCTAACGGAGATATTACTGTACATAACAGTGTCTACTCTATCAGATCAAAACAGTAATTTCAAAATGTAGAGACACATACAGTACTTGGTACATGTTTCTCATGCTATACATAAGGCTCAGTTTGGCCAACAGCATGTTGCCAGATCTCCTTCCAGTATATGACAAAAAATAAAAAGTACAAAAATTGGCCATTTACCATCAGAGGAAAAACTTGTGTCATTTATACTGAAAAATAAGAGAATCTTGATGGACATTCCAAATTTGATTTTGTTACCATTTCTTGTTTATATTTGAGTACTACAATCTTAAGTTTGAGGAGTCAACAACCAAGAACACTCTCTCTGCTACAAGATTCTGTTATTGCCTATAATATGGTGAAAGCAAGGAGCTAAATAACTTCTTTCCTCATGAACACCCTAATACAATGGTAAATTGATCACCATGTGCATTTTGCTTTACCAGAATGTAAATCTTTCTACTAACAAAATACCATTATTACATGCATGAAAACTTAATAACTAACATAATACAGTACCTCCAACTCTTTGCTGCATATTCCATTCCTATACTCAAGGAAACATGTCTCCTCTCTCAAGTCCAGGCACTTGGTCTTGGTGTCATCGAGGGTTAGACCAGGGGGACAGTTGCAGGTAAATGAACCATCAGTATTAACACACTCACCACCACCCTGGCAAATTCCAGGGTTCAGCTGGCATTCATTGATGTCCTGACATGTCTTACCATCCATCTGAAATTAAGTTATTATAAAATACTGTATTTCACATCAAACAATAATCTAATCAAAGTTGCAAGTGACCAAATACCCTTTGCAGCTCGTTCTTTTACTACCTCTGTAAGTTTTATAGAAAAGCAATGTTTAAAGAAAACTTACATCAAATGTTTTAAGTTATATAACCTATAGTGAGAACAAAACTTCTGAATATCAAATATTTCTTCCAATGATGCATTTAGTCTCAAAGTTTTGTGGTAAATTTATAACCTCCTACATACTAAAATGGGGACTTACAATATAACAGAAGGATAAATTTGAACACGATGAAATGGAACAATTACAAATCTTTAATTTAATATATTTTGACAGTGCACATTGTTTCCTGACATACAGTACTTGGTCAACCCAATTTGAACTGCAGTAATTAGAAGCGTGAAATGTTTCTGTGGTCATCATCAAGAAATTACAGTACTGTACTCTGTAGTTTATTCTGCAATAATAATTCTTTTTAAATCATCAGACTATGAAAAATACAACCAAGATGAGCATATACTTACCATAAAATACCAATCATGTCATCAATTTTGCATATACTGTAGAGTAGTGATAGATATCTCAACTAATCATATGATAGGAAATCAATAAAAATTATTGGACTATGAGTAGATGCAAACCGAATCTGAGGAACCATAGGATATCTACAGCTGCAATATGAAGGTAACTGAGCAACAATTCAAAGTTGAGGATAAAAATAATCTTGAGATAATGAATGGACATACAATAGGACAGGTGCCTCTGCCACAAAATGTGAAAATGGATGACACAATACAGTCAAAATTGCATGGAAAAGTATATGGAAAACAACAGCGTAACACAAAATGAATACAGTAATACCCTGTTGTAACACATCCCAGGCTCGCTTGCTACCCGCGAGGAAACATTTAGATTTTCTGTCGAGCCGGTGACTTCCAGTAAAACTCTGCCCATCGTCTTACTCCTCTCATGATCCTACTAGAAACATCCTTTGGTGCCATCGAAGTAACCAATCACATTTTTAAAACAGAAATATGATGTCATCACCGAGGATACTTAATGAGCTGCCCACACCCTTTGCAGCACACACACGCACACTCCATGCTTCACTCCCTCAGTCCAACCCGTGGTGGCTCTCCAGTGCATCTCGTTACATCAAGGCTAACTTACTCTAACTTATTCATGTATTTCTCTTAGGACAACTTAGTGTTACAATTGTGTGCCCTACTTGTGTACTTTACCCAGTGATTCTTGAAACAATAAGTGTTATGTGTGCTATTTCATTTGAAGACCATCACAATGTCCTTTTTTTTTTTCTCATTTGTAGTAATATTGTAGTGGATACTCTCCCCTACAACTGCCGATTTGTCGCTTACCAGCCAACCCGCGGCGAGTTCCTCAGACCAAACCTCTCTTTCAGACTGTGCGGTGATTGGCCAGTTACCGCCTTTCACCTCAGCCAATCAGCAGCGCCGCTCACTTCCGGCAGAATTGTATAAATACCCCCAGCCTCGCCGTGAAGAGGATTCTACTCAATGCTCTCAAACAGACAAGACCTCCTCTCAACAAGCTCCTCACCACACAGCATATATATATATATATATATATATTATATATATATACATAGTATATAGAAAATGCCATTGTGAGTTTCCTTTCTCACCTCCATCCTTAGTGCGAGATCTCCTACATGTACGTATGTATGTGAGTCTAACAAAGAGAAATTTGACAACTGGCCACATACACTACGCTACAATATCTTTAACTTTTATATAACTTAAGGTCATTTGGTCTATAGTAATTTCATTCCTCCAGTTGATGTCACCATAGATGAAGTCCCCCATGACAACGTGGTGACTAGAGCTGAACACAGTTTCGTTGTCCATTAAGGCTCATAAATTCCCTTGGTTCACTAAGTTGCAATTTGGGGATATTTATATACATACAACAATGAGTAAGTCTCTCTCCTTCAGTTTAATTTTACACCACTTTGAGTGTTCAAAAGTATCCTCCCCCTGCTGTCTCACCTGGCTGGCTCTAGCATAAATAACCACACCCCTCTTGCAAGTTGCCGGAGAAAGGTTCATAAATGAGTCATATCCCTCTATACAGTATTAAACTCACACTCCAGGTCGATCCTCCTGTAAAAGCATTTTTATCATAACATGATGACAGAGCTACATTTAATTATTGTAAATAAAACAAAACAAAAGCTAACACTGTAATGACAAATTTGAGGCTGTAGATATCAGCTGAGCAACTACCAGCACTCCAACAGCCATAGAAACCTACGCATCACCTCCTCCACACCTCTTATCATCATCTCGCTCATTACCACCACCTCCATCATTACAGACAAGCTTTTTATTACATATCTACCCCTCAGCTTTCTTCCTGCATGCTGTAATTGTTGAAACATTTTTATTGTAATACTGTATGATGCTGTAAATGTGTTCATTTAGTTAAATAAACACAACAATACTGTATTGTAACAAAATGTTTACGAGTACTGTCCTCAAATGATGTATTTATATGTCACCCATGGGTAAGTATAACAACGTTAGCAACACAATTACCATATACTAAACTGCTTAGAGTATTCAGTTAACGCTCTTCTCATGAATTCATCCTGAGCACTAAGAGGGGTATTGCAGTAATGTTATAATGTCTGTATGTGGATGATGTTGCATTGTTGTCTGAATCAGAGATTAAACTAAGCTTAAAGGACAGTTATGAAGCATTCCTCTTGAAATATGAAGAGCAGCTACTTTTTCTCCTGCTGGCTAAATAAATGAAATTTAATAATCAGAAACTGGTACTCACTTTTATAAGCTTTCAAATAGTTCTTTTGAAAATATAATATTGAGACTCAATCAATAGCACTCTGTACTGAAACACTAGAACTTACCTTTGCAAAACCAATGGGGCAGTCACAGTCAGCTGGGTTGCAGACTTCACATGGTGAACCCCAAGCTTTTCCAATGGTACAACAACATTCAGATTTGAGAGTAAGCTTGGGGAGATTGTTCTCACAGCGGCCATCCTTAACCTTAGTCCAACACGATCCACGGCGGTTGTCTGGGACATCATAGGAATGGGTAAAAATATTATAGTTATGTTTAATTAAGCCACAATGAAGTGCTGTATCACACAAATTTACCAACATGACAGAAACAAAGGACGAAGTTGCACAAGATATGTACTACAGCACATACTGTAAACACACCAGAACCACAATATCATTCCAACAGTGCATAACAAAAGAAGATATTTGTTTTATAAATGAAATTGTATAAAACAAGGCAAAAAAGTAATACAGGTTGTACCTCTCTAGTCCGGCATTCTGTGATCCGGAAACTCCCGTGGTCCGGAATGATTTTAGTTTGTCCAATAGGTAGATAAGCAGCTTTTTTTTTTTTTTTTTTTTTACTTATCTGATTATTATTATTACAGGAGTATTAAATTTTTGCCCCTCAGGCCCCAATGTGGGTCAGTGACCTATGCCCGGGTGGGCTAATCCCCTTAAAAAAAAAAAAACAAAAAAGCCGCGGGAAATTAAGGTTTGTTTACATCCGGCAGTTCGGCTGCTCTCTCTCTCTCTCTGCTTGTCTATACAGAGTACAACATTTAACCCTTCAATATATATGAGCAGTAAATAAGTGTTGCTTTCATATTCTTATGTAGAGTAATGACGATATGTTTTCACATGTGCACACTTACATACGCGCAGTCTCACTTTTTTTTACCATTAATGGTTAGCTACTTATATTGTTCCATTTATTAACATTAAATAACATTACAGGTACTTCAAACAACCATATTAATTTTTTTACATTAATTTTACTACAGCTAAAATCAGGGTCTTATTTTCTTCAGTTTTATATGTAGAACCAATCAGTCACTGGTTTCGTAAGCTTTAACATAAACAATGCCGGCAGCCGTCTCGTCTCCTCTAATATCCCACGTATTATTAATAAATTGTATTGTTAATTTTGCACACACACATTAATTCAATAAAAACAAATTCAGAAACATTAATTAAAATACATATGAACAGTAAATAAGTGTTGCTTTCATATTCTTATGTAAAGTAATGATGATATGTTTTCATGTGTGCGCATGCGCACTTACATACGCGATCTCTCTTTTTTCTTTACCATTATCGTTAGCTACTTCTATTGTTTCAATTATTAACATTAAATAACATTACTTAAAAACAACCATATTAATTTTACTACAGCTACAACCAAGATCTTATTTTCTTCAGTTTTATTTGTAGAACCAGTCAGTCACTGGCTTTGTAATCAACGAAAACAATGCTGTGTCATTTCCTCGTGTGTTTTAATATTCTACGTATTATTAATGAATTGTATTGCTCATTTTGCACACATAAACATTAATTCAATAAAAAAGACATTCAGTAATAAACAATAATGAATCTTTTGTACATAAGAGAAATGACGCTGTTTACATGATTATGCACGTCGTCTGCACGTTGGCGGGCCGTTCAAACCCATCGAAATTTCAAGTTTCAGCCGTCAAAATTTATTTATATTTATTTTTTTGTGTTCCAATAAAATACGTTAAGAATTGAAAACTCGCGAAATTTGAGAAGCTACTATACGACATTTAACCCTTCAATATGTCTTCAAAGAGACCATGATGCAGAGAAAGTGGTGCTAGTGCTTCCAAGCATAAGCACAAGGCACTATCTATCCAGGAAAAGGGTGAATTTCCATGGTCCGGCAATTTCCATGGTCCGGCACCGGTCAGGTCCCGAGGTTGCCGGACTAGAGAGGTACAGCCTGTAGGTGAATTTCTCACTTGCAAAATACAAGTCTTATGGTCCTCAGAATGATAAAAAAACATGCAATAACACAATATACATTATTATACTAAAACTGACAATGAAAAAGATGTATTATCTTACCAATGCAATACCTGCCAGTAGAATCAAGAATTGTTCCTTCTTCACATTCACACCTGTATGAGCCAATGACATTGACACAAGTACCACCTATGCAAGCATCCTCACCAAGCTCGTTGCACTCGTCAACATCCTCACAGACATGTGTGCTGGGATTAAGTTGTGTCCCAGATGGACAGATGCACTGGTAACTTCCTGGAGTGTTGCGGCACTACAAAATGATCTTAGAGTCAACCTTATATAAGTACATATTTGGGGAAGTAATGTTTTCTACAAAGCAATACAAATGTTTAAGCACACAATGCATATCTTAAATGAAAGTAAGTAATAAGTAAACATTTCTAACAACTGAGAGCATTAACTGGATAGATACAATGGAATAAATTATATCTGTATCACATATAAACAGAGAAATGTTCTACAAAAATATGTATCACTTTGTTTGAACATGTACTGTGCAATATAAAGGAATTATTTGCCCCTGACAAACAAAAAACTTGATTGTGGTATCCTTACAAGGTAGAGAATATCAAGACTAATAATATTAATACTGATAAGCATAATTTATTAAAAACTGAGATGATAAATAAACAAACTAAGTAACTAGATGGTAATACAAGTGTCAAAACTTTGTGTGTATGTGTGTGTGTTGATAGATACAAAGTGAAAACTCTTCCACTTGACCAATTCTTTCCCTAGTTGTCCTTTGTAGCACCTGTCACATTCTTTTTTTAGCATATATAGTTCAAGTGAGTTTCTATTAATACCTGTACTACCCATCCCAAAGCTATCCTGTGCATGAATATAAATATTCTAATGATGAAAATCATTAGTAACAACATCAAGTGGTTACCTTTCCTCAAATTCAATTACTATCATCATTACCAGCTCTTGAAGCTTCAGTCCAACTTTTTGTTTCCCATACTCTCAGTTGTGTTAACTTTTCAGTATTAAATCTCCCACTTGGCTATATATTTTTGGCTGAATTTATCACATTTATATTCTCTTCACCCACACAAACCTGGATTTCTTGTAATAGGCCCAGACACATCATATCTTGATTATGAACTCATAATTGACAGCAAATAAGTCATTTCTTGAAACAGCTTAAGAATACTAAGGGTTTACTCTTTTTGGTCTAACTCCCAAAACTACTTAAAAAAAAGTTCTAATTCTACACTTTCATTTACCTGCCCACCATCACACAGCAAGTTGTCGATGGCACACTCGTTGATGTCATGGCAGAGGCGCCCACTGTCATCTACCATATAGCCCGGATTACAAATGCAGCGATATCCACCCTCCAGGTTCTCACAGGCACCATTTCGACAAATAGTTGGGTTCAAAGCGCACTCATTGATGTCTATGAAGGATTAGAAATTATTGTTGTTTTTCTTAAATTGCTGATATCCTTGTTGTTATTAACACAGCAAATACCCATTGTAATGTGTGTACTATGACTACTACATCAAGTTATTATCACAGCTGCTTCTACTATCACCACATAGTATATACATCATAATGTATTGTTGATAATGCCTCTCTCAAAAATATAGAATAATTTACTAAACAAACTAGTACAACAAAACCATGTACAAGAATATACTATCCTGCATTTTATGTACTTGTTTAATTAGTTAAATATTTATATGATATGATCCTTAATGGAAAATGCCACAGTATGGGGAATTATTCTTAACTAAAACAATTTTAAATCTAACCGTGGCCTTCATGAGTAATGCCAGTGCCGTGTGGACAAAGGCCAAGGAATTCCTGAGTGCCAGTTTGAGGACAAGCCTGGCAGGGAGTTCCCCAGCCCATTGGTTGACCGAGGATCACAGTGCAGCAGCAGCATGCTGATTTGGTGGTGGGTGTGGTGGATGGGTTGGAGCACTGCCCATCACGATACACAGCATAGCAGAAATCCAATTTTGTATCTACACATTGAAAACATGTTTATTTATATTTATATGAAGAAAAAATATGAGAATTTTCAGCATAAAACTTTATAAGTCAATACTTTTCATGAAATATTATCATCATTAATCTTTGTTTACTTATAAAATACTGTAACACACACTAAAAAAACAAAATGAAAAATTAAAGGAAAGACTCACCTAAACATGTTACACCATTGACACCAAGTGTAAAGCCTGGTGGGCACTCGCACTGAAAGCTACCTTCAGTGTTGGTGCAACGACCATTCTTACACGGTCCCGAGGCACACTCATCCAGATCTTTAAGAATTAAGTTGATATCATTACTAATACATAGCACTATAAAGTTCACTGTTAAGCTGCTTTCTTAATCTATTTCCCATGATACTTATAGAACTGTCTTTTGCATTTACTCACTCTTCTTTATTTCTTTTATATAAACAACAAACTGTAGATTCAATATTCAACGTACCAATACATGTCTTTCCATTGGGAGCCAGAGTGTATCCCGGCTGACACACACATTTAAATGATCCATCGATGTTGACACAGGAACCATGTTCACACATTCCTGTCTCACCACACTCATCAACATCAGTACAAAAACTTCCATCCGTGGCATGTGTGTAGCCATCATTACACACACATCGGTATGACCCCTCAAGGTTCTCACATCGACCAAATAAGCAGATAAGTCGGTTCTCTTCACATTCATCAATATCTGGTAAATAAAAATGAGGAAAATGATGACATCTAGAAAATCCATGAGCAAATACAGTATAAAATTAACAGAAGATATCCTCTTGAGCCTTATTATAATTTTAAGGCATATAATTTCATATTAAGAAAATTCATATGCAATGAGAAGTAAAAGACTTACCAGTGCAGGCAAAACCAGATGGGGAGAGGATGTAGCCAGAGTTGCAAACACACTTGAAAGAGCCATCCATGTTAGTGCACACTCCATTAGCACACATCCCAGTCTCACTGCATTCATCATGATCTATGGATGTAAAAATATTATAAAATTACTTATTAGATGGTTCCATTGAGCATTAAAAAACATAAATTTCAAAAATTTTCAAAAAGAAACTGAAATGAGTTCAATAATAACTTTTTATTTAAAACCATATCTTGGTATACCATACCAATACATATAAGTCATCATGCATAAACTGAAAATTGTGAGTAACATACCAATACATGAAAGACCATCTGAAGAGACATCAAACCCTAAGGGGCAACGACAAGTGAAGCTGCCCATTGTGTTGTAGCACTGACCACCCCGGCATGCCCCTTGACGACATTCATCAACATCTGTCAGGAAACCAATTTCTTTTTTTTAGATTGTATGTTACCTAACACATTTTGCATATGGTGGATAATCCAGATTACATGGCAAGCCAAGTGAGTGAGAAGGAAGAAGAGTTTGAAGAGGAGGAAACATGTGCTGTCCTCTTACCACCCCCATCTCTTGTCCTGCCCTCTTACTCTACTTCTCCACAGCCTGGTCCCTCTCATCACTCTGATGATGATTTTGTAGAATTTAGGGGGGGAGGGGGTGGCTGTTTCCTTCAAGATGCCAGGGTATTATACACCCCAAGAACAGACAAAGGAGTGAATTGAGGGTGAGGACATTATCACATGGTTCCTCATCAAGTCCGCCACTGCTTTCTTTGCCAAGGCCCGCATCCCCCATCCCCCTTCAATTCCCATGTCTCGCTCCCCGAATGATTAGCCACATTTGCCTGCCTCACTCTCTACTTCTGGTCCTGCCTGCCATTCTGCCCATTTCAGAAAGGCTGTTCGCCATGTTTCGTGTCGGCGTGGTACTCCACGGAGTACCCTGAACCCCAAAGATGACACTAGGGATGATAATACTGTTGAAGGTGACGATACTGCAGGACAGGACAATGGTAAATGGGAATGCCGAGGACATGGAGGAAGACTATACAGTATCCCTGAAAAGCCTCTCTTTGACTCGACGACATCAGGAGTCCAAGAGCCATCCCTCAGCAGACATTTTCAAGTACTTCTGGGACGACACTATCCTAAGAATGATTACAGAGGAGTCCAACAAGTTTTTTTATTTAATGCAAGGAGGATGTGTCCTGCCACCCCAGTCAAGAGAACACCAGTGGTTCTGACCTCACACCACCTGAGCTGATCATCTTCCTCATTCTCGTGATGCTCATGAGGCTTATTCATAAGAGGAGTTACAGAGATTACTCGGCAAGAGGCCCAATTCTGTCCACGCCAATGTTCAGCAAGGCCATGACTGTAAACTGCTTCAACATTGTGAGGACCCTCCACTTTAATGACAACCTTCAAGCACACATCCAAGATATGTCAGATTCATTGATGAAGATCAGGGCAGTCTTTGATCATTTCAGAAGGATGTTCAAGGTCGTTTTCAAGCCTTATCAGAAACTGGTCATTGACGAGAGTGTTATGCTATGGTGGGGCAATATCTCATTCCACCAATACATCACCTTGAAGCGGCACAGATTTGGCATGAACTTATTCATCCTCTGAGATTGAAAGACTGGGTTTGTCCTTGACATGATCCTCTACACTGGTGCCACCACTGACCTTGTAACTGATGCTGCAATGGGGATGTCTGGATCCATAGTGACCACTCTGATGGAACCTTATCTGAACAAGGGCCACATCCTATATGTCAACAATTGGTACACCACCCTTACCTATACAGTACTCAAGACTGAGGGATGTAGCACTGTAAGAAGGAGGAAGCATATGACGTGCATTCCACCTCTGTTGCAGTGAGGGCAAATCCTCCACCGCCATGCCAAGCATGCCCTTGCTGTCATGTGGAGGGACAAGCAAAAGGTGGCCTTTCTCACCACCGTCCATCCAGCCAGCCTGGTCCTCTCCCAGAACTCCAATCCAGACACAAGGGAGAGGAACATCAAGACCACCTGTGCAACACCAACATGCACCTTGTTGACAAGTCTGACAGCATGATATCTACCATGGAGTTTGCAAGGAAGATGATGAAGTGGTACGTGAGCTCCTGTGGGAGTATGCGGAGACAGATTTCCATGTCAGACGTCTCCCAGATGAACCCACCCGCATCATCCCTCACAGCCACTATCCTCGCACCATTCAACTTGCACCCGGTGCCAAGAAGAATTATCTTCAGAAGAGGTGCCATGTCTGCTACCACACCCAGCTACAACAGATGAAGCGGCAAGAAACAAAGTACTACAGTATTGGCCTGATTGTGATGTGCCATTTTATGTTGACCCTTGTTTCTGGGAGTACCACACACTGGACATGTATTGAGTGCTTTATACAGTGAGAACCTCAGTTCATTATTGACATAAACTCTGAAGAAACGTTTTCTTATTTGGTTTCAGTGCCTGCCTTATCCAGGGATTTATGGTCATTCTTGCAGCGACATGTTCTCATGTATAGGTGTAGAGCAGCTACTCACCCAGTCAAACCAGATTTTATACAATGAACTTCCATCCCAGCTTGGTGGATGCTTCAAAAACCATAAGGAACACCAGGATGAACCCTGAAGCCCATTCACTCTTGCCTTGAACTCCATTGCCATACAAATAAGTTCCACATATCACACCTCTAAGATATCTACCAATGGGGAAAACCATCAAGGGAGTAGGAATGATTGCAGGTCACTTTTCTCTTCTCTTTGGCCATTAAATGGAATATCACACTTAAATTCTTGATTTATGGCCTTTGGATCATTTGACAATCAACCTGCAATATTCTAGACCAGGAGGCCATATTTTAAGAGAATTATCCAAAAGAACCCCAGGTGGGAGGTAAGTAGCTCAACTTTTACTTTTTACTTTTATCCTCTTCGCTACTGATCAGCTCATTAGCCGCTTGGGCGGTCAGTCACATCTCTGGTATGCACTGTTGGCAAGTACTGGGCATGAACTGACTGCTGAATATCTCAGAACCTGTTCCAGTGTTGGTCAAGTCTGGCCTTGAATGAGCTCACACTCAGTGCCATCACATAGATGATGAACTGTAAGTACTGTACTGTATTTCCCCAAACAGTGCAGTCACCATGAATGGTTTTGACAGCAATTAGATTAGACATGAATCACTTCCAGCAACGGCTGAAGATCAATAAACTCCCTTTAAAGCAAGCAACTATTGGGGCAGAATGCAGCCATTTAATAAGGGAACCACATCCTCCATTCTGGCCAGATAGCAAACTTGAGCCCATTTGCTTATGAAGCAACCATATTATCAATGAGCTATGGACTCACACACTGATGGAGAGGTAACACTGTAAGCAGTAATTAAGTTGCTACAGTGTGAGCATCTGGGAAGTAGTAATGTGATTGGATTTTCATAAGAGCATTCTAAGCAGAGGGATGAAAGCCTGACAAAGGCAGAACTACTACAGTCTGTTGTACTACACCAACACATATTCCAACAAATCAGCCCCAGAAAGAAAATAAGCAAAGGAACAGTTGCACACAGATGAAACGAGTAAGCAAAGAATGTGAGAAATGTGAGGTTGAAAATATGGAATCAAAGTTTGTGGTTGTGGATTTTGAGATAGTGGTATAAGTTGAAATTGGTTGATGATTCATTCTGGTGAACATTTTGACTTGCTAGCATTTGATGCAACCACTAGGTTAGAAGTTGTTCTTATGTAATTTAAACTGATCCAACTAAACAGTGTGACTGCCACAACTGTATCATAAAATTAACACCTTGGACAATGCAGGCTTTGCCAGAGGTTGTTCTAGAGGTTGATTTTCCCAGGTCTCATGCTGAATGACCCACGACTATAAAGGAATATTATCAAATAGCAAGTAAAGTTTATAGTTACGATCTGATTTGTTCTTCCTAATAACAAATGATCATGATCAATTATAGATGAAATTCAAGTTGCAAAGTAACTTTAGTTAAAATTAAACTACCAAAGAGGAAGATGAAGACAGTAAGGACTACCTACCCTCACATCTGTCAGTGACAGCACTAAGAGTGAAGCCATCATAGCACTGACAGGTGTAGTCATCACTGGTGTCAATGCATCGTCCGCCTTCGCCACACAAGTTTGGGTTCAGGGTACACTCATCTACAGGGGGAAGCTGGTACCCTGCTTGCTCACACATCCTCTGATAGAGTTCTGACAATAATAACACAATCTTATACCAATTACTATACAAAAACTGCCTTCCTGCCATTTAAAAATAAAAACCATCTTACACTACCCTGTAGTCTTTGAATTAATAAATTGCAACAAAATGTCAATGAACAGATGTTAATTTGAATCTTATTTTAAGTGTAAAATATCCTTGCTTCTAACAAACTTACCTTCTCCAGGCATTGGACATGGAACACAGTCATTGCGTCCCTCTCCCCATGCCTTACCCATGTTCTTGCCACAACAGCAGGCTTGACGAGTGAGGGGAATGGGAAGAGGTTTCCTGCATCGACCACTGCCCCTTATTTCTGTGTAGCAAAATCCTTGCCGGGCATCTATTGGCAGAAAATAATTTTAATTTCAGGATTATTACAATAGGAACACACATAATCAATGACAATAAGCTTACAGCCTTTTCTGAATGTAAGATTAAGCTTCGAGGTATTTTACTTGTTATTTCTAACAGCATTCCATATTAGGGTATTTAAGGGCTTACCAAAAGAATTTTAAAAAATTCGCAACATCTGTACGTTATTTTTCTTATTCACAATTTAGACCTTCGACTCATATCTTTGTCTACCTTAAGCCTATTTACTGACAATATATATTCTAACAGGGATCACCACAGAATAAAATGCAGGAGTGGCATCACGAAGTGAAGCATACCACCAAAACAGCATATGTAAATAAGATTATACAATCAGTTACATGTCTGTTAGTGGTAAACAGACATGACAGTTGATGCCTGGCTAATAGAGCTATACCACAATAACCGATGCATAAGCAGATTGAGAAAAGCCAACAGATGGTGAATAAACGGTTTTTGAATAAATTAATCCCATAACAATGTAACAAATTCGGGAGGTTAGGGAACAGCCACCCCCCAAATACTCCCTTCCTCCCTTGATATATCTCTGTTCAGACTGTCAAGTAAGAAAAAAACAGACATATAAAGCTGCATAATAAGCATTAAATAAGGAATATAAGCAATAACTGAGACTTATTCACCAGTGTCAAAGCATTAAGTCCACATTGAGGCATCATTCCTCCCCTCAGCCAGCCCCTCTGGCTGAAGGGCTCGCTGATGCTTTGGCCACTGTTTCTGTCAATAAGAGTTTTAAAAGATATCCACACACACACATGATGGGCAGTGTGAATCAACCTTAACACACCTAAAATACAAAGTCAAAGAGAAGAGAAAGAAAAAAATAGAAGAGAAGATAAGAAAAGATAAATAAGCAAGAGAATGACAGAAATATGAACAATATATACTGTAGAGTCTTGATAATTCACAAAATACAAATTTGCATACTCATGGCAAGAATTCACACCATGCCGCCACCCGCCAAACTCAAAAGAGCTCTGACGCTCCTCCCCCAATCGTTGGATCAATGGGTTAGTCAACAAAACTTGCATCGGTTTACGGGGTATACCTGTACTTGTAACATGATTAGTAATTATCACTTGTTATCATCAATAATTCTGAAAACTGTAATGAACACATACAATTCCACTGACATTATGAATTTTTTAGCATTATTCATTCTAATAAAACTTCAAGTGTGATAACATAAAAATCAAGTACTGTACGTGTATTGTATTTCCACACATTCATGAGTATGCTACTAATGCCTTTAATCAGATAAATTGGCAGTTAACCTTCTCAATCATGCAAACTATCATATTATTGAACATTATAAAAAGATCATTCATAAACTCTTCTAGTGTATGTATTTTTACAATCATCCATTCTACTTATGGAACTAGGTACTGTACCATAATATAGTAGTAATGTTCTTCTTTCACTATTTGTCAAAATTCAAACATCCTTTTTATGCTGTCGTTGTCTCTGGGGGCAAATACCTATCAATCATTGCCTCTTGCATTACCTGTTATCAATCAATTCCGATCATCTATTACAGTACACTGAACTTTTTCTATACATTTTAATTTATGAATTAACCTTCTGAGTTCTTTCTAGAAAACAGTCAATACCATTCTATTAGTATAAGAAATTTTGACAGTTAGCTAAGATCTTTCAAATCTGTACAGTAGATCCCTGTTTATCTGGCACCCATGTTGAGAGGTGCTGAATAAAAGATATTCCAGTTAGTTGAACCTCACTTAAGGAGCCCAATAAATCCTACAATGCACAGTGCTACAGGCTGACCTTGCAAATTCGTCTCAGATAAACAAACTTCTTTAACACTTATTCCACTCTATATTAATGATGTGGCTTAAAAATAAAGAAAATGTAATAAAAAAATTTTAAATGAAGAGCATGGGTGTGTATGCGTGGGAACTGAACGTGTGTGGAGGCAGTGAGCTATAATTGCGTGGCCACTCCTTCCTGATGTGAAATCATGGCATGCACACAGTGCAGTGCGGCAGCCACACATCTATGAGTCAGCTGGTTGACTGCCTGGCTGAACTGTGTCATGTTGCCCAGAGGATGGCTTTTTTTTTTTACATAAAATGTGCTATTGTATTTTATGATGTGCTATTGTATTTTATGGTATGCTATTGTATTTTATGATATGCTGTGTCTCAATTTTATTGCTTATCATAGCAATAAATATGGCAGCTCATCCCCATGCATGTGGTATTCAAACTTACAATTCTAGCTGATTTGGGAGGAATTTTTATTTTATTATTATTTCATTTTGATTCCAATGAGTTTAATCTGCCAATTACCCGGACTCCAGGAAACCGGGATTTTACTGTACTTACAGTATACTGTACAGCTCCTCCCCGACTTACGACCTACTCGACTTACGACCATTCGCACTTACGACCTGCCTCAGTCGTACCAAAATTTTGTCAAATTACGTATTTTCAAGTCCCAATGTCAGTACACAGAGAAAATTTTTGTTTTAATTCACTTTAAAATGACTGGCAAGCTTAAAAGTGAGAGTTTTGTGGTGCTGAGAAGAAAAAGAGACACCCATTTTAGATTTTCTATGCATTATTTAAGCATTTTCGACTTACGACCATTTCGACTTACGACTTGGATTTGGGTCCCTAACCCCGTCGTAAGTCGGGGAGGAGCTGTAATCTAAATCTTTTTTTATTTTTCATATCAACTCTCTTTTCAGATTACTGTACAGTATACATCTTCCATTAGAAGTTCATTATCATCATCATCCTGAAACAATCTTATGTTGTATGAGGCAAGTTTCACTGTCTCTAAGCTTTGTCTTACGTTTATCAGATATACAGTACTGTACTGTACTGTACAGTAATCTCTTCTTTAAATATTTAATATGTATTGTTTACTAACTACCTTAATCTATCCTACCTACACCAAACTGCCATAAGATCCTCCTGCTTATCATAGATGGTGGGAGGGCACACATCTATGACTAAGGCCAAGTGCATTTTATTGTTCATTATTTCATATACAGATGACCCTTATATATGAAGGATCTATTTTTAATAACCTTTCCAAGCCAAACTAAGAATGGTAGTTTCTATGATAGGTTATAAAATCTAATATGTAGATCAGGCTAATCAGTTAGGTTAAAATTCACATAACATGAGAGTACTGTACCTATGCAACTCTTGCGATCCTGACTGGGAATGAAACCAGTGTCACAGTTGCAGTAATAGCTGCCATCGGTGTTGACACAGCGGCCATTGAGACACACGTCACCTTCAACACATTCATCACGGTCTTCACAAGCATTTGTCTCGGGGTTTCTGGTCTGGCCCTCTGGACACTCGCATGTGAATGACCCAATGCTGTTAACACAGACACCTCCCTCACACAGCCCAGGAATAGCCTCACACTCATCAATGTCTGCAACAATAAAATCACATCTTGTCACATATCTTAGTAAGTCATAATATACAGTGTGATTATACAAGACCACAAGTTTATAATATAAATCTTAGAAAATTCTGAAAGTTAACATTCTTAGTTTCACAGTATCTCAGACCTAAGTTCATAAAGAGACAAAAATGAAAACTTACCCACACACTGACCACTGTGAATATTCTTAAGGAAACCTTTATTACAATCAAGTCTCTCTGGACAGTGTTCACAAGGATGTCCCCAAGCCTTGCCAATGGTGGCACAGCACAATTGCTTGGTACAAACAACCCCTGGTAGCTGGCCCTGGCACATTTCATGCTGCACCTTGGTGAAGCATGGCCCCGTCCGGTAATCTGGTGATACACCAACACTATATCATGTGGTAAACTTATGCTTCTATGACACAATCAGTCTTTCAAAAAAATTATTTTATACATAGAATTTTTTGTATACGGAAACAGGGTGAGAACTAAATTACACTGAAAATGATGGTTCAGCATATACAGGGGTAGTATTAGCTGAAATATAAATATTTTGATATGTAACCAGGAAATTTTTATTAAGTGCATAAGTGCAGTAAATTCAAATAATAATGAACAAGTCAATCATGATTTTGTGAAAATTATACACACCGTAATACAAACATGAATACAGGAATATTTTGTGATGATCAAGAAATAAATTTGAGTGACATTCTGGAAAAGTGTGTTTATCATCACAGTATCAAACTGTTTATAGCTATGGCTCTTATGTGAAAATATTTTAAGTTAGATTACTTACTGAAAATTTATAACACCAACAGATATTTCAAATAAACGAATAAAAAAAATACACGGGAAAATGTACCTGCTTCACAGCGTCTGCCAGTAAATCCATAGACACAAGCACAACGGTCTGGCCCAACACACCGACCACCATGCAGGCACGGCTCCCGACACACAGCTAAAGGGTATATAAAGGTCAGTGAAGGAAAGATTGTAAATGAATTATAAAAAACACAACACAGATGTCATTAATGCATTCTTTATAATTCTATCAGTAAGTTTAAGACACAAAAGACATGACAAAGAATACAGTTATGTACAGAAAATGATTGAATACAGTAAATATCAATGTTTTAGATGGATGGCATCCGTTAGGGGGCCTCTGGGAGCACAATTAGGGGAAGTTTTGGGAAAGGAAGAGCAGATATGAAAAACATGAAAATTTTTGATTGAGTTAGTTGTCTAATGCATCCTAATTTAATCTACCGTAACTTTCCGGGGGTCCCATTGTTAAATTTATAAACCTCTTGCCATCAATTTGATAATAAAATAAATGACACTGCATTGCATTTTGTGAAATATATTCCCAGAATGCAAAACAAATATACTGTACAATAAATTTTCATTAGTGTTTGTGATTTGTTCATTATTGCCTAGCAAATTCTGCTATTTCAGTAATCTTCTTCTATACTACAGTATTTCACGTTATTCCATCACTGAAATACCTAGAGAAAATAATAACAGAAAAGTACAGTAAATTTACGTAAGTTGAAGTACAGTACCAGCACAAATTTTTGTAGTACTGTACCTGTACAGTAGAGTAAATGCTGTACAGAGAACAGCACAAACACATACAGTACCCTGAGCAGACACATTTGAAATACAGTACACACCAAGTTTAAATACACTGAAGGAGGATCTCATACATACAAGGGAATGAAGTGTTAGTAAAAAATACCTACGTTCAGCACAATGGTCCCCTGTGAACCCTGACCGACACACACACCGACTCCCCTGACAGGTACCTCCATTCAGACATGTTGTCTGACAACCTAAGTCTGTAAAGGAAAAAAGTCATCATAACAGAAAAAAATCATAACAGCTCAATTTTGATAATGGAGATTTTCTTAAAAGATAAGTTAAATGATTTTTTGTTCTACTTGAAAGACAAGCATATGATCACCAATCATCCTTGTGCAGGTAATTAGGATAATACCACAAGTTACATAAGGTACAATACTTTACATAAATTTGACAAGTACCTGTCATGGTGGCACACAGTAGGCCCTGCTTAAGGTGGAGTCACATGTGCACTTGTAATGGCAATTTTTGCTTTCAGCTAGTACTAGCAGCTGGAGTTTCATCTGCCAGCAGCCGATTTCTCCAGCCGGACGTGTTGGTCTTGAAATCGCAACTACCAGCAATTCTCCGAATTCAAAAGAGAACCACTATTGTATTATATTAAAAATTAAAAGAAATTGTTTATGTGTAATATGCTTTGGTGTGATAAAGCTACCATCCAGCTAGTTATAATATATACAGAAAAAAATAGTAAAACAAAATTTGAATCAGTTGTTTATAACCTTCTCCTTGTCTGTTTACTAGCATTTGTCTTTTTAATTCCACAATGAAAATACAATACAATTGTATGAAACTGAATTACTGTATATACACAGGTACGAGATTTATCTTTAAAATATAAAAACTAGTGTTAATTAGGGATATTCCTGTCACTTTAGTCTGATTCCACAATTCAGGACCAAACTTTCTTCCTTCTTGTCAGCATGAGTTTCTTCTCACATTTATAATTAACACAATACAAAGCAATGATTGTAAGAGCTAAGAATTCATCGTCAAAGTCTTCAAAGGTATCCATCCATCTTGTTACTGTTTAAATTTGGTACCAGTCACTCAACTGCGGTTCCATTGGCAACAGTAGTCCTGTCGTGTGAACACTCTTGTTAATATTTGCAGGTAAAACCTCTGCTGCTAGTGGGATCCGAAAGCAAATTTTGCTGGTACAAGTGCCCGTGTGACGCTGCCTTTAGGGAGGGATAAATGTCAAGATTTTTTTACAGCATACCGAGAATTTCAAACAATATTGGTAGTTTATACAGCTAAAGGACCATTTCAATAATACAGCAGATGAATTACTCTCATGTCTTGCTCAATCTTTCTATTTCATTTTATATACCTGTTTACAGTATATCTATGATGTACAGTACAGTAGTACAGTACTGTATACTGTTTATACAATAGTACTGTATACAGTATTGTGCTGCCTACCAATACAATACATGTATATATATATATATATATATATATATATATATATATATATATATATATATATATATATATATATATATATATATATATATATATATATATATCATACTGGAGCAAATAGACAGCAAGCATATTGAGGGAAAACAGTGTGGGTTCAGAAAATAAGGAGGACATCTAGATAATTTAAATTGGTGATTAATAAAAAATGGAAATTAGAGATAGAAAAGCATTGTGAGAAGTGCTGAAAATGTATGGGGTACATTACATGTGATATTGTTGTATGCCACAAGAGTTTTTAAAAAGAGTGAAACATGTACAGTATTAAGAGACTGTCAGGAAGAGGGATACTGGTCCCAATTGCAAGTGGGGCTTTGTCAAGGATATGTAAAATGACTGGTTGTTACATATTCTCATATAACAGGAGAGAAACTTGCACCCACCCCCCCCACACACACCTCTTACTACTCCTCACTCACCCACAACAGTTACTGTGATGACTTACCTGGTCTACGAATCCCGCCATCAATGCGGCCGCCTGCAAGCGATAGAAAGCTTATTAAACAGTTTAACAACAAAGTGTACAATATATCATATGATAAAGGAATATCTGATATTTTAAAGTCTACAGTTATTCATTTATAAGGGATGAAGTTATTTAATAAGTGATAAAACTAAAATTAGCTTACCATTAATGCCACCTCCTCCTCCACCATTGAAGCTGCCACCTCCTCCTCCACCATTAAAGCTGCCACCTCCTCCTCCACCATTGAAGCCGCCACCTCCCCCTCCTGAAGGTCCTCCACCGCCATTGAAGATGCCACCTCCCCCTCCTGAAGGTCCTCCTCCGCCAGTGAAGCCGTCACCTCCCCCTCCTGAAGTTCCTCCGCCATTGAAGACACCTCCTCCAGTTCCTCCTCCTGTCCCTCCTCCCCCTCCAGTTCCTCCTCCACCTCCAGTTCCTCCTCCTCCATTGAAGCCATTTCCTCCATTGAAGCCAATTCCTCCTCCTCCATTGAAGACACCTCCTCCTCCTCCTCCTCCACCATTGAAGCCACCACTTCCTCCAGACCCTCCACCATTGAAGCCACCACCTCCTCCAGACGCTCCTCCCCCACCACCATTGTAGACACCGCCTCCACCATTCCTGCCGCCTCCACCATTCCTGCCTCCACCATTCCTGCCACCAGCGCCGCACGCAGAAGATATGAGGCCACTAAGGCACATGCACAGGTTAGGCCGCACGCACCGTCCACCAGTACCACAGTCACGCACACATATAGCTGCCAAGAGAAGAGTATATTAAAAAAAATGGATTTATTGTTCATCATAATTCATGGCACAAAAGAGCCTAAAGAACTTTACTGATGTGGTTTTGTGTTTGATGCTATAGCAATTTTGGTTTTACCTGGGAAGAATAAATTGCTTCTGGTACAAGACTTTAATTGGTGTGCTATTTCAACCAGTGTTACGGAAATGGTTTTGTATTTTATCTGGGAAAAGTAAAAAGTATAAATAAGTTGTTTATTTCGATGAACCTATATTATTAATAGGTTTTGTTGTATCTTAACCTATAACAAGAGAAATCACTATTACTGAATTGGTTTTGGTTTAAACAATGTAACCAAAATTATTCTGCATTTTAATATATATATATATATATATATATATATATATATATATATATATATATATATATATATATATATATATATATATATATATATATATATATATATATATATATACTGTATATATATATATATATATTTCAAACAAATCCTTACCAAAATATTTATTCATAGGCCTACCCATGACTCTCAGGTTAGTGTGATGAAAGTGTGATAAAACATAGCTTTTCTACAATGACTCACCTAACAACACCCTAGAACTCTCACTTAAATTTAAAGACCATTCATGCAAGACATGGTGGTTTCAACACCCCAGAGAAAGATCCAGTTTAGCCCTTGTAGGAAGCTCGGATGATCATTGCACAGCCCACATCCAGTGTAAATGTGCTGTTTTGAAAACGCGAGAAATAATCCAGGGCATACAGCATCCACTGTGAGTTCCTTTTTGGTAGGAGACATTACATCAGGTGTTCTATGAAACCTATCTGGTATATATAATTATCCACCACTTTAAACTTTATACCTCTACGCCACTGATCAGCTCGTCAGCTGCTTCGGCGGTCGGTCACATCTCTGTTACGCACTGTTGGCAAGTACTGGGCATGAACTGGCTCCTGAATATATCGGAACCTACTCCAGTGATGGTCAAGTCTGGCCTTCAATGAGCTCACACTCGATGCCGTCACAACACTCTCTGACAGATTGTTCCAAGAGTTCACAATTCTCACTCCGAAAAAGTTTGCCCTAACTCTTTTCTGGATTTGTGGCTTCTTCAACCCTGAGCTGTGACCCCTTGTGGGGCAGGCATCCACCAGCTCCAAGTATGTACATTCAACTGAGTAGTATCCTCTGAGATGTTTATAAACTTCAATTCGGTCGCCCCTTTACCCGTCTATACAGTAGTATAAGCTAGGCAGTTGCAGGTGTTCTAATCTCTTTGGGCAGCTGAGGTTCCATAGAGCAGACACCAGTCTGGGAGCCCTCCTATGGACATTTTCAATCAACTGACAGTCTCTAGCATATCTCAGGGACCAGATGGGGTCACAGTACTCCAGACGGGGAATCACCTCATTCCTGAAGATCGTGACGAGTGACGAGATATACTAGGGAATGTTAATTGATTGAAAATGTTCAAAGGAGGGCCACCAGATTGGTGCCTGCACTTCGGAACCTCAGCTACCCAGAGAGATTGGAGCGCCTGAACTTGCCTAGCTTATACTGCAGATGGGCAAGGGGCAACCTAATTGAGGTGCATAAGCATCTCAAGTGGCATTACTCAGTTGAGTGTCCTTACCTGGAGCTGGTGGACACTCACCCCACAAGGGGGCACAGCTCAAGGCTGAAGAAGCCGCAGGTCCAGAAAACTGTGAGGGCGAACTTTTTCAGAGAGAGTTGTGAACTCTTGGAACAATCTGCCAAAAAGTGTTGTAACAGCACTGAGTGTGAGCTCTTTCAAGACCAGACTTGACCAACACTGGAGCAGGTTCAAGTACATTCAGGAGTCGGTGCATGCCCAGTACTTGCCAACAGAGCGTAACAGAGACGTGACTGATCGCCCAAGCGGCGAAAAAGTTTGCCCTCACAGTTTTCTGGACCTGCAGCTTCTTTAACCTTGAGTTGTGACCCCTTGTATTCCTGGAGGCACTGGGTTTGGTCTTGGGTATATATTTATTGATCAAATGGTTAACTTTACTGGCTACGATGTTCAGCGTAGTGTCTGCGTTCTTAAATCTCAGTAAGTCAGGCCGGTGTATACTCCTTAAACCCTTGCTCATATAATTAAGCCCTATTTTAGATAATGAAACCTGATTTTCTGATCCACCATGATGTTACTATTAAGTTATATTTAATGTATTAAAAAAAATCTAATAAATTAAAAGATTGGTAACTCCCTTTTAACCCAGGCAGAATTTAGTACAGAATTAAACTTGAAGGTGATTGTAGCTATAATTATCATAACTGCCAGATTTTAGACTTGCCCCACACAGGAGCATGACTAGTTGATCAGGCCCCCCTTTACATACCGGTAGTACAGTACTGTATACTATATCAAACAAATGTTTCATTACCCGATACACATATGCCCGTTTTGATGGCAATCTCTGACATCACATAGCACTCAAATGACGTCACAAAATCGAGTTCTATCTCATAATTTTAAAATGTTGTTGGACTGTGTATTACTAACCTATGTTAATGTTTTGTAGCTGCCAACACCTACTTATATACTGAGTCATACAGAGGGAGAAACAAAAAAACTAATTTATTCTATAGCATTTCCATCGGAGATTTATATTTTTTGCATATTTTAACAAATGACTCCCCCCCCTCCCAATTACCAACCATATTAATTGTTCAAAGTGGGCAGGGCTTTGAAGTAGAGGGAAAATGTGGGGTAAAATACTAAAACTCCAAAAATTTAAAACCTTATCTAACATTTCCTAACCTCTAAAAATCCTAAAACTATATAAAGCTTACCTTATTCATTTTTTCGGTGTTTAGTAAATGATGGTTGTGTTTTCGGTGTCCAGTATGTGATGGTAGTGGTTTTGGTGAATAGTACGTAATGGTAGTTTGATTCGGTGTGTAGTATGTGATAGTGTTTTCGGTGTTTAGTATGTGATAGTGTTTTCGGTGTTTAGTATGTGATGGTAGTGTTTTCGATGTTTAGTATGTGATGGTGGTGTTTAGAATGTGATAATAGTGTTTTCGGTGTATAGTATGTGATGGTAGTGTTTTTTTGTTTAGTATGTGATGGTAGCGTTTTTTCGGTGTTTGGTATGTGATAGTGTTTTCTGTGTTTTGTATGTGATGGTAGTGTTTTCGGTGTTTATTATGTGATGGTGGTGTTTAGTATGTGATGGTAGTGTTTTCGGTGTATAGTATGTGATGGTAGTGTTTTCGATGTTAAGTATGTGATGGTAGTGTTTTCGATGTTAAGTATGTGATGGTAGTGTTTTCGATGTTAAGTATGTGATGGTAGTGTTTTCGGTGTTCAAATGAGGAGATCCATAAACTTGAAAGCAATTCTTAACCTTTTCACAAGTTAAGGTAGGGTAGGTTAGGATAAGCATTGCAGTCTTAGGATATCGGAGGTTAGGTTAGGTGAGGAATTATTAGGTTATATTAGGTGAGGTTAGTGTTCATAAACTGTAAATAATAAAGAATAAAAATAATGATTTTAAAAGTTCTTATTATTTGCCGTGAGGGCTTTGATTCCACATACGATTCATATAGACGCTTTATGGAGGGGAAGCCGGTTTAATATTTATTTATTTATTTATTTATTTATTTATTTATTTATTTATTTACTTACTTATTCATCTATTTATTTATTCATAAAGGTTAGGTTTAGTTAAAACCCAATTTCACACAAAATGAGTGTCACCTTAGGTGGCCGTAAATAACGTATTGTGTTGAAGGCCGGCAAAACAAAGCAACTACTTTGGAATTTGGAAAGAAGAGTAAAACCAACTCCAGAACCATGCCTTCTGTGCAGTAGCGTATCTTCTAAATCTGTATGTCATCATTGTATTGAATCTTTTCATTTCCAATAAGAGTGTTACTTTGCATATGTCTTATGAGTAATGACATTACTGAACTTCACTGTTATTTGGCTAAATTTCTAACGTGAATCTTTGACTAATGTCAACAACATACAGACTGGCACCAGTGCTTTCCATTTGGACTGGCTAGTGATATCAGTTATCTTTCCCGTGTCGACGGGCACGGGAGAAATGGGCACCAAACGTACTCATGATTCAATCACGATGTCCACCAATCGCAAGATTGGTCTTTGCACCAAACAGGCCGGTATGGTATGGCGTCATCAATTGCTGTGACAGAAAACGGGCTACTGTGATTGTTTTTTTTTTTTTTGCTACTGTGATTCGGGCTTTATTTATACCCGGTAGCGCCGTTTCCTTCACAAGGAATGAATGCTTTGGCGGTAAATTTTACCTAATCGGTGAGACACTTGTATTTCTCTTTAATTTTCAATTGTGGATGATTAGTGTGATTACTAACCTATTATACACGCTCAAAGACCTCAGTCGTTGAATCGGTTTAGCATCAATCTAGATAAGGTATAGCTTCTTTTTTTTTTACGGGATTAGCCCACCAAGGCACAGGTCAATGACCCACATCAAGGCCGGGAAACAACGGAGCACCTTAGCTTTCGTCTTTATTCCAATATCTTCCCAGGCGGTAGATCATTTTATGTGGAAGTGTGAAACTAATGATGCCTTTGCAACATTCCAACAATGAACATTGAAGGTTTAGAAGAGAACCACATCTCGCTAATAAATTGAGATCATAAACAACAAAGTGGGCAAAGGAAGAATAAGTATCCCACCAATAAAGAAATAAATATATATAAAGCAGTCTTTTTTTTTCAAATTAGGATTTAGCGCGGGGAAAAATAGTTATTACAAAGTAAAAAGCTGACCTGTATATATAGCTATAAAATTATAGAAGCAGCAATATTTGCTTTCCCACGCAGAAGTTTCATTGGTAAATAACTGATGTATTTATAAACAACAAGGAATCATTTAACGAACGGGGAGTTATTCATAAAGATTGGCACGATGAAATTCCTCGTAATTGAAGGTCTAAGAATGCACCAAATGGTATATTATCTTTTCCTAAAATAC